GTAATCTCTGTCTTCAAATTTTCACTCATAAACTCTACACTGGCTGATTCCTTTTAAGAGCAATTCTGGGAATACAGCTTATGAAATATGACTTTACACAAGACAATGATTCTCTACCTTCTTCAAGTTCAGGAGATACATAAAGTAATAAATAAATTCAAGTAGGTTAACAATGCTATTCCTGTCTCCCCCAACACTTCAGTATCCAGACACACACTTCTGTTACTCTGGGGCTTCAACTCAGGGTCTGGGCCCTGACTCTGAGCTTCTTTTGCTCAAGGCTAGCACTCTACCACTTGAGCCACAGCACCACATCTAGCATTTTCTGTTTATGTGGTGCTGAGGAATCAAACCCAGGGCTTCATGCATGCTAGGCAAGCGCTCTACCACTGAGCCACCTTCCCAGCTCTGGGATATTTTTTTAATCCAGTGCTCAGAATTTTAAATTTTATGCACATGTTAGTTCTACAAGTGTACTATGTACCGTTTTTATGTGTGGCTTTTTGGTTCAATATTTTATAAACAGATCCATGCTGTTATATATTCTCAATGCCTTCTCTTAATAGCGTAATATCCTATAAAAGAGAAGCACTGTTTATATGGACTTCCTTCTATTGTCATTTTTGTTCCATTTATATTTCCAATTGATAAGTTACTGAGTATCTAAAGCATCGTTAACAATCCCAATTTACTTACATAGCATATAGTTGTACAAATTGAATCGTCAGGTCATCAAATCAGCACATCTCTTTGTGTAACAAAAACATTTTCCCAGTGGATTGTAGCAAAGGTTGAAGGAGTTGTGAAGGCAGCTTGCTGCTGAAATGAACGGGAAGTAGCTTAGCCCTGTGCAGCTCCAGGTCACCGCGTTTGCTTTCGCTTCACAGTACCTCTCGTGTTTGACCACATCGAGATCCCAGACAGATAAACTTGCCTTTGACGTGGGTCTCCGGGATCACGCCACAGGTGAGTCGCCTACCGATCCCGGAGCGCGCGCCCAGTGGGTTCTTGTGCTGGGGCTTTCGCGCGCGCCCAGTGGGTTCTTGTGCTGGGGCTTTCGCCCGCGCCCAGTGGGTTCTTGTGCTGGGGCTTTCGCGCGCGCCCAGTGGGTTCTTGTGCTGGGGCTTTCGCGCGCGCCCAGTGGGTTCTTGTGCTGGGGCTTTCGCGAAGGACACTGAAGTATTGCTCATTTAGGATTCTCGCCTCTCCAGGTCAAAGAGGACGGATACAAATGTCCAAGAAGGAACTAAAGGGATAGGGAAACAGACATCTTGAATATGGAGAGCATGATGTTTTGGTCATAGTTGATACTCTCAAAAACTATTTTGGAGTTGGTACTAAAAGTATGTAGAAAAATCAGCCTTGGTAAGAACCAGTAATGCTAAGCAACTGTTACGGAGCGAATTAAAGCAGCCCAAGGAAGGGTGAAGTAATGAACTAGAATCTGGGTTAAGGAGCAGACCCGTTTGTTCTGCAATGAGCACAGTGTCTCCAACATAGTCTCCAGATGTCAGTCAGGAACATTCATCGCCCTCGATTTTACAAATCCACAGCAGCCCCTTTACTATCACTTATTTTATGTTTTTATTTAAACTTCCATACTTAACTTTTTTTTTTTTTGGTCCGGTCATGGGGCCTGAACTCTGGGCCTGGGCGCTGTCCCTCAGCTCTTCAGCTCAAGGCTAGCGCTCTACCACTTGAGCCACAGCACCACTTACGGCTTTTTTTTATTTTTGCTTATGTGGTGCTGAGGAATTGAACCCAGGGCTTCATGCATGCAAGGCAAGCGCTCTACCACTGAGCCACCTTCCCAGCCCCATACTTAGCTTTTGTAAACAAAGCATACCATATCTAAGTAGAGAAGTGTAAGTGGAGAATGTGTTTTGCTTGCTTAAAATAAAGAAAATAAAGTGGACAAATAATTGAGACTGTATTGGGAAATATTAGGAAAGCATTAGTGATGCTAGTCCTACACTTAAAATTTGTTTTACTAGAATCAAGTTAACAGATGAGCAGTTTTTCCCTAAATTTCTCACCCTTCTGATTCAGTGTCATTTGTGTTTTATTGTGTGTGTGTTTGTGGGTATGTGTGTGTATATATACAATAAAAAATATATTGATGGCTACCATGAGCACGCTCAGAATGGTAGTGACCGTAGTGGTATCTAATGACACAGAAAGCCAGAAATGGCTTTCTGTCAGCATGTCAAAGACAGGGGGCCATTTCCCATGTGTTACTCCATACACGGATAGAGCAATGGGTAGCAGGTAAATGGAGTCATGTTTCATCCCAATGAAGTAAACTATTTCTGCAGTAAGCTAATATCTGCAGTTCACCAGGGGAAAACTGCTAATCTGGGTGTTGCGTGCCCTGTGACTGGAAGTGCTTATGGGCAGCCTGACCCTTAACGGTGTTACATCTGGAACTTGTGACCCATTTAGGGGTTGAGCTATTACCACTCAGGATTTTTGGTTACAGGCAACACAAAGTGATTCAGATGGGCTCAAATAGAATACGAATTGACTAGAAGGGTGTTAGATGAAACTTCATCTGAGGCTGAGCCTCTACTTAGAAACTTTGAAAAAGAAATAGCCAGAAGACACACCGAGGTCTAACTGGCATCTCTCTCATGTTATAGCACCCCCAAGTACAAAGAGCATTCTATGTCGAGTCACCACAGCAGTGCACAAGTCTGCGTTGTTGTTTTAAAACTGGGACCGTTTGTAAGTTAAGGAGCCAGAGTGTCTGGTGTTTAGGTGATCAAGGAAAATAACCTAGGATTCGAACTATGTGCAACTGCCGTCTGTACCTTGCGAAGTGGTGTCTCAGAGGCCGCAGGAGATCCCCGCTCCGGGTAACACCGGAAGGAGCCCAGGTCTGCCGCTGCTGTTGTCAGCTTTTCCCTACAGTAAAGATTAGCTTGATTTGAGGTTTCTTTGTTTTCAGCTAAAGTACATGTCTTAAAATATAATTTCTTCTCAAATGTTGTCGACCTTTGCTAAAAGTTGGGAAATGAGTGAAGGCCTCGCCTTGTGCAAGCGCGTTGGCCTCTCCCAGGAGCAGCCGTCGGTCTTGGGGCACGCACCTGGAAATCATCTGTGGTTATTTCATATCAATACCGTGATTTTATTCTTTCTGTAAGTTGAGAAGAAATTGAGAAATACCACTTTCTACTCAAGTGTCCAGGGGATCTGTTTTATTCCAACTATTAGAACTAGCAATAAAGAAATGGAGGGAAGGTGATAGCAGAGGTTATTTTTTAGCACGTCTTTCTTTTGTTTTGCTTTCACTGTGAGGATGATGTACAGGGGTATGACAGTGACACGAGCACCCCCACGAGTTGTACGCTTCATTTTCAACACAGTGTCTGGTTAGTGTCACTGCTGCCTGTGTTCACTCTTTGCCTCACCATTTATGTGCTATACTTTGTTTTCCTGACTGTCTAAAATCACCCTGGGTATGAATCTCTGCTGACAGGCAGGGCAGACATGTGCGTCGGCCTGAGCTCCTGCGGGCTGATTAGAAACTGCACGTGGAGACAGGTAGAGAGGGGCCTGGCGTAATTCACTTTGATTTTACCTCCGTCATCCCGACTTACTCCGTCTCCTCCTTGATACTTGTGAAGAAGGAGGAGAGAGCAAAGCAGGCTCAGCACAGCTCAGTCCTCCCGGAGTTTCCTCTCCTATAGCTTGTTCACACACAAGCAGCAGCAGGGGCTTGCTGTTAACCATGTTGAACTCTTGCCTCTTGCTCGCTTGACAGACCCGTGGTGGTTTGCAGTTCCTCTGACGCTCTGTGGCGTGGAGGAGCGTGAGGCGTCACCTGTGGTTGACTAGGATAGGAAAGGGGTCTGGGGTTGAGCTACACGTGAAAGCACTCCACCCCATCTGCTGCTGCCGCCTTTACCTCCAGGTCCAGAGCGTTTCCTGGGAAATTTAACCAAGAGTGGGCTTTTGAATCCGTGTCTCCTTCGTGATTTTACTCAAAGACTTGTCTTAGCTTTCTCTTGGCTAAGAGCATCCATCTACTTTTCTTTTTCCAAAACGCCAATGTTTCTTCTTTGCTATATATTTCTTGTTTTCCTAGTCCTCATAGGTTTGATATTTTAAAATATCCCTCTATGATGTATTTATAGCACTTTATGGAAGTAGAGCGCAAATACAAAGTGTTTTAACTTTTCAGTGGAGGGGCTGGGACGGTGGCTCAGCGGTAGAGCGCTGGCCTTGCATGCCTGAAGGCCTGGGTTCGATTCCTCAGCACCACATAAGAACAAAGCCGGAAGTGGCGCTGTAGCTCAAGTGGTAGAGCACTAGCCTTGAGCTGAAGAGCTGAGGGACAGTGCCCAGGCCCAGAGTTCAGGCACTATGACTGGCAAAAAAAAAAAACACAAAAACCAAAAACCTAAATGTTCAGTAGACCCATAAAATCAAGCAAACATTTGAGAGACTTTGGAACAAACGTTTTATATATGCATTAAAATACTCAGACTGTGATTTCTGCCCTGCAGTACTCTTTCCCAAACCCTGTCTTGCTCTAAGGAAAATTAAAATGATAGATGTAGTCCGAAGCAATTGAAAGGGTTGTAAGGAAATAAAGAAGTCTGGAGTACGAATGTGTGCACAGGTGTATGAATATGCATGTGTATTTCAAGTGTTTTCATCAGGATTGTAGGGTATGAGGGGCAGAATTAGGGATATTGCTTATGACTAGAGTATGATTCATGTGCATGTATACTCTGTGTGTGTGTGTGAGAGACTGAGTGTGTGCTTGCAGGGTAATTATCAGAACTAAGAAGTACGAGCATCAGAGTTAGGGACATTGCTTTCCAGAACACAGCGACTAATCCAAGGGGCCTTCCTGCAGGAGAAGCCTGCTGGTGGACCATTCATCCCACTTCCAAACAGAGGTCCGAGGGGGAGAAAGTTCGGATTGGTGATGACCTCATCCTTGTCAGTGTGTCCTCTGAAAGATACCTTGTAAGTACCCCTTGGGGTGAGCGGCTTTCCTCTTGAGAATTTTCCCTTTAGAGAAAGGTGGCCCAGGGAAAATGAGCCACTAAAGGTTGGGCAAGAAAAGACGCCTTTACAGAGTGTGCTTGAGAGACGACTAACTTTCCTCTTCTGTGAGCTAATCGTGGTGCCTGAGATGTAACTGTTGGTGCCATGTTAAAATGCCTCAGGAAATAATATACGCTAGCTCTCGTCACTGGGAATTTATCACCCTGTTTGTCTTTCTGAAGAACAAGACACAGACACACAGACACACACACACAGACACACACACACAGACACATACACACACCAGCTTTGTGTTGGAGAAAGGCAATTCTGAACATATTAGTGCACGGGCATTGTGGAGGATGGCAGCCACCGGGGAGATCTTGCAGCTGAGGATGAGCGGTGGGCGGGCATCCCTGCCCGGGCTGGGCTGGGTCGGACCGGGGCTCTCTGACAGGAAGAGGAGGTCCAAGCTGCGTGGTTAATCTTTCCAACAGTTTGTCAACCTCACTGGCAGTTTCTACTTTGCCTTTTTCAAACGCTGGAGTCATTCTTCCCGTTGGGGAGATTTTAGTCTACAGAGAATTTCACATTGAATCTGGAGTCTGACTGAGGAGTTGGGGTCCACACGTATCTGTCAGCCCTGTTGCGGCTTCCGGCTGGGGTAGAGGAAGAAGTCTCCCACAGACTATGTAGAAGAGTCAGTAAGGCAGTTAAATGAAGTCCTTGAAAATGCACGCGAGTTGCTCTGATAGAACTGGACTGGTGGCTTAAAAGGACGTCTCCTTTTTGTTTCTGATGCAGCATCTCTCCATCTCGAACGGCAACATTCAAGTGGATGCCTCCTTTATGCAAACGCTCTGGAACGTACATCCCACCTGCTCGGGAAGCAGTGTGGAAGAAGGTGTGGGTTTTTAATGCATCCAGCCCTGGGCCTCCCAGGCTGTTTTAAGCTATTTTGACATTTTCTGCAATTTCACAGCTCCCACGTAAACTGCTTGGTGCACAGGTAGCATGATTTTCGTTCACTTCAATGTCTTTATGTGATGGGATACAGGTCATTTTCTGTCCTGACTTCCCAACCTTATTGTTTTTAATCTCTTGGCTTCTTATTAGTTTAGCACAGCAAGCATTCAAGACTTGAGTTTTCATTTTTGTTTACTAGTTATAAGTATACAAACCACATAACTTCCATCTTAGAAGACATAATTATCTATGGTTTATATTTCTCCCTATCCCTCATTCTATGCAAGGGAAAATTTTTCTCTGTATCAACAGTGAATTTGTCCATTTGCTTTTTACTTATCTTTATGGAAGTCCACTTAAAAATCATAAAAGAAAGCTTCTCAGTATGTTTTGCTTGGAAATCAGATCATTCAACTTTTCTTTCATATTCTATTTCTTGGAGCCAGGCAGTCAGAGCTCCGTGCACATTATGTAATAAACACACTGGCCTTGCACACAGATAGGGAATACACTGCTGAGCGGAATAATAAAACGTCAGTGACCTACAGGTTATTGCATTCCGTGCTAGAACTTCATAGCAAGCTCAGGCTTTTAAAAATAGTCGTATCACACAGGCTTTGACCCTATTTTTCTTCATTTCAAACCGGGAATGCCCTTTTGTGCCATGATGTTTGAAACACGGGGATTGAGATAGGCAAAGGTGACGCCTCGGTTTCCAAATCAAACTGAATAATCAAGAAAAGACAGAGCCTTCCCGCTTTCTGACAATGTGGGGAAAGCTTTTAAAAGACAGGATTTGTTCACCTTTTCTTGGATGCCAGAGTTAACCCACTACCCTAGATCTGTTCCAAGCTCTGTCTTCTCAATCAAGCATCAGCTCTGGGTTTAGATCTTCCCCTAGAACGTTTTGAATCAATTTCCAAGTAAGAATTTTCATTTTTACTGTAAGAACGAAATTACTTCTCTGTCTCCAGCAGAGCATTGGTGGGGATTAATTAAGGAATATTTGCAAATCATGTCTAAAAAGCCCTCGCTAAAGTGTTGCGGGCCCTGCGGTGCCAGGCCGCGCAGCGTGTCGGGGCAGGTGCAGGCGTCTGGCTCTCTGCAGAGAACGCCCCTTCAGCACCCACTGCAGAGAAATCTGTCATTGCCCGAAGACTAACGGCCTCCATCACGCGCGGCTTCCTCGGCAGTGGCTCTGGGTGGGTCCACTCAGAACGGTTCCGATGTGCCAGTTGAACGCGGTGTTGGCTGAAGAAGCCCAAGAGTTATTAGAGATGAGCTCTAAATGAGTCTCATTCCCCCCATCGAGAGATGAAGTGGTGAACAGGAGCTTGGTCACTGAAGTTTTAGTTTTCTAAGTACATTGGCATCTCACAATTCCCCTGCAATGTATTGTAAATACATTATCTTTATCGCAAATACACATAACTGGATGTTTCACTACAATAAGATATGGAGGGCTGGGAAGGTGGCTCAGTGGTACAGTGCTTGCCTTGCATGCATGAGGCTCTGGGTTCGATTCCTCAGCACCACATAAGCAGCAAAAGCCGGAAGTGGTGCTGTGGCTCAAGTGGTAGAGCGCTAGCCTTGAGCTGAAGAGCTGAGGGACAGTGCCCAGGCCCAGAGTTCAGGCCCCACGACTGACAAAAAAAAAAAAAGAAGAAGAAGAAAGAAAAGATACAGGACAGTTGAGGAGAGACTTCCAGGTATCTGAGAAAAATCTTTCCTTGCCTAGGTGGAAAAAAAATGAAAGGAGTATTAAGATTGTCACCATACAAAGTAGGGCGCAAACACCCCCTTTTCCTCTTCTGTTTTCATTGTACATTCAAAAGAGTTGAAGATGTTTCTCCCATCCCGACTCCCACCCCTAGCAACCTAATTACGTGATTTAAAAAACCAACCTGACCCAAACATTTGGCATTATTAGATCTGTAGGTTTCCTGAGACTGGAGTGGCCTGGAGAAGTTTTGGATTTTTTTTTAACCCACAGAAATAACGATTCCCACTTCCTTGAGCAAAGCAGCTCAGTCTGGGGCCTCTTCCCTGCTACAGTGTTTCTGAATTAATACTCAGAAGTTATCTGAAGAATAATGGGTCATTTTGCCCTTCAGGTTGATTATTTCCTTTCGGCACTGGAACTGTGACTATTGAGATTCCCGTCTTGAAAGCTGACTGATGGTTGATAACAGCATCTGTTCCTGTCCTCGGGGATGCTGGGGAGTAATTCTCCTTTCTCCTTGATAGCTATAAGAATACCGTCAGATTTAATCTAGTTACTAAACAGCCTGAAGAAATCCACAGCAGAGAATCCCTTTCCCAGTGCCTTCTTTCTTTGCCTGCTGATGTTCCGTGCACACATAACTTACTTCGATCCCACGCTCATTCTTCTATGACTCTATTACCCACCCTCCACTCCTTTTTAGAGCAGTGTCAGTGTGCTTCTTCTGTGTACATGCGTGGATCACACTCAACCCCCGTGCCCACTCCCTGACTGCACCAAACCGTCCCTCGTTATACTCATGTCCTTGTTTTTGGTTTGCTTTGATTTCCAGAATCTAGATTCCCCATATATGAGGGAAAAAATGTGATACCTGTTTTTCTGAGTCTTATTTGCTTCACAGAATGATCTCCAGCCCCATCTGTTTTTCTTCAAATAACATAATTTAAGCATCTTCTTTCTTTCACATGACTGTAATTTGATTTCGATTTTGCCACAAAGAGTACACAGCAAGATTGTCAGGATTTATCAGGGAATGGGTGTTGACTATATTTATATCTGAAGAAGTGGAAAATCCTTACCTTTCTAATAGCAGCAACTTAATGTTCCTTTTGTTTTTCAATGCTGCCGGCTGGCATGCTATTTTCATCCAGCCTTTGATCTTAGCCTTGCTTACCTCTGAACCCCTATTTTACTTTCAGAGTTAGAATTGTTAGGATTCTCTCACATTTTTGCCTGGGGCCTGAATTCTCCGGTTCTGTAATTTCCCAAGTGTATCTGTCTTGGCTGTTTTCTGCCTGTAGCTCAGACCTGCATGAATGCACTGTAAACATGGTGCCTAAACTTTTCCCCAGCTTGTGGCAGTGTCTTTCTCTTACAGGGTACCTCCTTGGCGGCCATGTTGTGCGGCTCTTCCATGGTCGTGATGAGTGTCTGACAATACCGTCTACAGACCAGAACGACGCCCAGCACAGGTGAGCTGTCTCCATCCTGGCGTGACTCAAACCGTAGAGCTTACCTGTGTATTTAGTTGCAGATGCATTCTCTATGTGTTGCTCGGTTGGGACTTTCAGTAGTTTGTAAAATAGGAACAGCAAGAGGGTAGAGTTTGCTCACAGAAAGTGCTACATGTGCACGAATATCCTCAGGAAACAAACCTCTGAAGCCTTCCGTGCCCTAAATTGTCTTTGGTTGGTTTTGGTGATGGAAATAAGTTTTTCTGATGTGTGTCTGCACAGTTACTCACCGGGCTCTCCAGGTTACCTCTACCCTTCACATCTCATATGCTAAGAAGTGGTTAATGTAGTTTTGTTTATTCTAGCATTAGGCAAAGCCAACACTGCCCAGCGGCCGCCGGATTTATCAGAGGGCGATGTCAGGACATCAGAGGTGACCTCGTTCTCAGTGCTCATCAAAAATTCAGAACTGTGAGATGGAGGGCAGCCACATCTTAAATTTATACCAAGAAGTCCCTTTGTATTCTGATGGTCACAAAAAGAGCAGAGCATAAAATTCTTTTTTAGTAAGTTTTTTATTGTGGGAATACCGTGCAGAGGAGGGGCTACAGTCAGCGCATAACATTCTTAACCCTGTAACTGTAGAAGTCGTACATAACTAAAAAACAGTCCAATTCATAGTCCAAAGTAGAGTGAATTCAGATAACAGTGACCCTGGTCTGGTGACACTGGCTTCTGGTTTTTGTGTAATGCCTATGGGAACTGCATTTCCTCTGCTTCCGCGGGACCGGGGCTCACAGCATTTCCTCTGTTTCCGGGGGACCGGGGCTCACAGAGCTCACAGTCTGGGGACTGCTAGGTTAGTGGCCTCCCACCCAAGGCCACAGACTAATTTCAGATGTGAGCCTGGAAGCCAGAGCTTTGACTCCACAGTGGGCCTAGTTGTTCATTTGATGTTATGAAGAATCTCAAACAAGGCGCTCAATGCATTATTGTCACACCTATCAGAAGCTATCCTTTGAGTCCTTATAGTTCTTCTTGCAGTGTTGGCTGAGTGCCCCTTCGTGGGAACCAGATTTGACCTAAACAGTGTCTAGAACACACAAAGCACAGATCTGTCAGGTGCCATGGTTACTCACTCCCTGCCTCCTCCCTCTGGGGCCCGGGCTTGACAGCTTCCCTGGAGAAGGGAAGTTAACCTGATTTCCCTTAGAATTAAGGATCTCTACCCTAAATATCACCATATGATCTTATTTATTTGTAGAATTCTTCTTTAAAAAATGGGGCTATGATGGGCTGGGAAGGTGGCTCAGTGGTAGAGCATTTGTCTCACATGCCTGAGGCCTGGGTTTGATTCCTCAGCACCACATAAGCAGAAAATAAAGTGGCGCCATGGTTCCAGTGGTAGAGCACTAGCCTTGCATGCATGAGGCCCTGGGTTCAATTCCTCAGCACCACATAAGCAAAAAGAAAAAAGCCGGAAGTGGCGCTGTGGCTCAAGTGGTAGAGCGCTAGCCTTGAGCTGAAGAGCTGAGAGACAGCGCCCAGGTCCAGAGTTCAGGCCCCAGGACCGGGCTCAAAAATAAATAAATAAATAAAAATAAAAATGGGGCTATGCAATAGCTCATCTACTGTCTCTCTTCTACCTTTTGCTACATCAAGTGGAAAGTTCCTACGTAGCCAAAGAATTGATGTTTTGTGATTGTGAGTTTTTCAGAGTTATCCACATCTACGATGGAAATCCTAGAACTTCATTTTTCCTTTCTTCTAATTCCTGTTCATCTGGGGAGGGGGAATGAAATGCTCTCCCCACATACATGTTCCCCTCCGGCACCGATTCACAGCCCTGCCATTAAAAGTAGAACCACGTTAGAAAAGGCTGGTAGAAGCTGCCCTGTTCAGAGAGGCTTGCCGTTTGGTAGGCTTCCTGCTGAATAGGAAAGCAAGGCAGGCATTAAAAACAGAGGCAGAGAGAATGAGGTGGGTGCACAGCAGTCCCCAAATGACTGCCTCCGGAAGGCACTCACGGAAAAGGCTAGACCGTTCACAGCCGTTGCTCTGAATGAAGCGGATGCCCTGGCATCGTTTGCTAAGTGCAGTGGGCAGTAAGCCTCTTCACAGCCTGCTGTTGTCAGGAAAGTGCTCAGAGCTGGCCAGGACGGTCCAGATCACAGGAATATGGCAGGTTGAGGAGACAGGAGGCAGGAGCTTGCTGGGAGAGTCTGGCAACCACAGAGGCACACAGTGTGCTGAGTCTGTGGAGGAAATCATGTTCATTCCTCCTACGCCCCAAGAGTGGCCAGATTTGGTTGACCAAGGTCCTGGGATCTCAGGATCAACACCCTCACATTCTAGGCTCTGATCCTCGGCTCTGCCTCTGGCTTGTCAAACAATCTGGGATAGGTCATGTAACTTTCTGAAGCCAGGGCTAAGCTGTCAGCCCAGCTTTCAAAAGCACCTCGGCTCGCCACCCACTCTGCCTCTCTTCTGGGAGCTGTTTTAGAGAACAGGAACAAGCTGTGTGAACCTCAGTAACCTTGTGAGATTAAACAGATCAACCGCCTAGCATATCCGCGTAGGAAGAATGAACCTTTAAGAACCCTTCTGACTTCAGGGGATAAAGGGCCCCCTAGGACTGGCTCACCCACTACCATCTCACCTGCGGCCTGGGCAAGTCACTTCAACGCCACCTGAGGGAGCCTTCCCTTCCTTGCTGGGCTGGCGGGAGACCCCAGTGAAAATCTGGATGGCAGAGTGCATGCAGCACCATTTCCATTCTAGGCTGGCCCAGAGACACTGGGATGATGGAATTCTGAAACAATGTAGGATTCCCTTCCCTAATAAGCACCAAAATATCTCCATTTCAAACAAGATTTACAAATGTCCTCTACAATTCCATCTTCCAGAAGTAACCAGCATTACTTGTATTCTGCCGGTAGCTTTTTTCCTTCCAGGTGTATTTCTGAACATCTATATATACATAAACTTTGGATAAATTTATAATTCATAGTAATTTGTACGCCTGTGAATATCCTTATGCATCTTACTCTTTGAAAGCCACAGTCAGTATTTACAATTATTCAATAAGGGTCTTTCTTAGGTCCATTTAATAGATAAGAAAGCTGAGGTTCAATGGTGCAGGGGCTCACTCACAGTCACTCAGCGACACATCCAATCCAGGCCTGTCTGACTTCTCAGCCCATATTTGTAGCATTTCCTGGAACTTAACCCCTAGGTGAAAAAATAAGTATCTAGTTCCTTTTCATTGCTATTAAATAGCAACTTTATCTAAAACCTACTTTAACGAGCTCTTCCTAGAGCTCGTGTGATTGGCTGGTAATACAGGCAAGCGTTCTGCGGTGGAGGCAGAACTTCCAATTAGTGAATCGAGAGGAAGAGAGTCTCTTCCCAAAAGTAGCTTTCATTCCTTCTCCTGCTCTCACTGCATTTGATGTCGGTATAATGTGTGGAGGGGAAGGGGAAAAACAATCCGTTTAAATAGGGATACAGGTGGACCCAGTGCAACAATGAGATGTACAAGACATTGTGTCAAAAAACGAACTTTACAACTTTGGCACGGGGTGGGGGAAGGGGCGGGAGATGGGAAGGGAAACAAAGGAGGAGGCAACAATGCTTGATAAGAAATGTACTCATTCCCTTGCCCATGGAATTGTAACCCCTCTGTATGGTATTTTCACAATAATAAAGTGAGATTGGACCCTGCCTGCTTGTATTTTGCTGACCTAGAAGAGCTTAGACAAAGAGCTTGTGTAGGGATCTGGTCCTCACCTGGCACTGATTTCCAGCTCTGCTCACAGGAGGTTGTTCTATGAAGCTGGGGGCGCCGGGATGAGAGCCAGGTCTCTGTGGAGAGTGGAACCCCTTCGGATAAGGTAAAGCAGCGCGCAGGTGTGACCCTCCCCAGAGCAGAGCGCTTGCTTCCCTAGAGCAGCCCGAGCCTCAAGTGCTCAGCTCCTCCGTCCCCTGGCGCTCTCCGAAGCCCTGGGTACAGAGTTAAGCTCTGAAATTACTGTCTCTCTGTCTCTGTCTCTGTCTCTCATTCACGTTTGTTAGAAACTAAAGAAAAATGGCTTTGGTACAGCTAAAAGATGAGAAGCTGTACACACCAACAGTTTGAAAGAAATGAGCCCATAGGCGTGAGACATTAACAGGCATGAGACATTTACATTCTCTCTGTTTAAAATCTTAGGAAGAATAGGCGTATGCGTTTCGCTGTAGTTCTAGGAGTTAGTCCCTTTCCCCAGAGCCTGAAACAGGAAGGGCTTACAGCCTTTTATCCTTCCTGCAATTTGAATTCACTGGCAGCCCAAAAGTTGAGAGTATCTTTAAAAAATTAGACATAAGCATCTTATTCCCACTGAAGAGGTAACTTTTCAGCTGCTTGTTATTTTGTGAATAACTTTGCATTTACGACAACTTCTGTTAGATGCAAATCTTTTGATGAGGGACCAGGGCAAGGCTGGCGTTGAACTCAGGGTCCCTCCTCTCAATCCTCCTCCTTTGCTTTCCCTGCACTTCATTTTCTCCTCACAACGCCCAGCATCTGCTCGCTTGTCACCTTGTGGATCACCCTCCTCTCTCTGCAAATGCCAGCTGAAGGACTTTTCTGTGTGGGCAGTTGTTTGTTCCGTTTGTGCCTTTCACTGTTTCTCTTGATGATAAGGCCATCTGTGGTAGTGAGATGTTTGAATTCAGAGAATAAATTGCCCCGTCAGGAATGAGTTTCCTTCGAAAGGAAAATTGGCCACTCCCTCTGTGATGATGGGCCTTAATAGAACTTAATAGTTCTTAATAGAACTAAGGGGAGACGGAAGGTTGAGCCTCCAGGGACCGTCAGCTCTCGGCCTGTCCTCAGGATTGTGCTGCTTTAAAAGGAATCCAAGAGGGCACCATGTTGTGCTGTAGGCACGCGTGAAGGCCTAGGCCCAGCCAGGACACTGGTAATTCATTCCCCAGGGGGCTGCATCCCCTGGCTGGGGAGGTGTTGAAAATGACTTGTTCCGTATAAATCCCAAGTCTCTTGTCTGCTTTATCTGCCAGCTGGAGTGGCAGCAACGTCCGCTGGGGCCAGGCCTTCCGGCTCCGGCATCTCACCACAGGCCACTACTTGGCCTTGACCGAGGACCAAGGGCTCCTGCTGCAGGACCGGGGGAAGGCCGACACCAAGTCCACAGGCTTCTGCTTCCGGGCATCCAAGGTAAGATGTGATGAGGTGATCTGGTTCCTGTGTGAGCAGTGAGCTCTCCAACTGCAGGGAAACGACGCTTAACAAAGTGAAATTGAATTAGACCTCTGGTAAACGGAGTTCTTGGAGGAATGTGTACCTTTTTCCAGTTTTCTTAACTGTTTGTGGAGTTTTTTGTTGTTGTTGTTTTGGGGGGCAGTATGGAGTTTGAATTCAGGCCTCATGCGTGCTCAGCTGGCACCCTACACTCGAGCCATACCTCCAGCCCAGTTTTTTGCTGGATATCTTAGAGATGGAAGCTTGCAGATTCTTCTGCCTGGGCTGGCTTTAATAGCCATGATGCTACAGATCTTGGCTTCTTGAGCAGCTACAGCCACTTGGTACCCAGGAGCTTGCTCATCCTTTTCCTTGATTATCTCTACTCTCCAGCCCTCTTTGTCTGTCTATCCCCAGCCTTCACTAAGAATGGACCCTGTGCTACCATGGATAGAATGAGGTAATAAGCTTGCTATTTGATGTCTGTATATACAACTATCCTATATATACACCGCAGCGTGTATTTTAAAAAAAAAAAAAACTTGGACTTCTAGCATTAATGTTCAGCTAGTTTTGATTCCGCACATGTATCTTAGAGCTGGGTATAGACGTGTAGGCAGAATTGCATGCTGGAGCTAACTTCTGATGGGCATTTGGCCACTCTTCCACACTGTGGTTGCTCTGGGAAAGATCGTCCAAGCATAGCAAGCCCTCTGCACAGGGGCGTGCGGTTTTTCAGAAAACCTGCACGTCTGCGCGGACAGCTCAACACCTTTGGGAGCTTCCTCTCCAGTTTCATTCTTCCTTGCTCTTTTCCAGAAATAGAGTTTGATCTGTGTTCCCGACACCGTTTCAGTGATGGGCTGATGATGATTCTGTTCACGTGGGGCTAGCTGACAGCTGAGTTTTCTTTCGGCTCTGTGTCCTCCGAAGCAGGGCGTGGGTCCTCTCCCCCGCTTCTGTGGGTCTAAGGTCCCGTTAGGCAGAGCAACTCTTTGGTATGTGATTTTGCCTAAACTGCCCTACATTAGAATTAGGCTTTTTCCAACATTCAAAGATGCTCCGTTCCTGCCCGTTTGCGTGCTCTGCCCAAACGCCACCTTCTATGGACTTCTAGAGAATTGACTACTTGATTTCACTCTGGTTTGCTGAGTGTATCTCCTTTCCATTACTGTCAATATATTTTTTTTTTTAGATTTCCAGAAGTGGGATTTTAAATTCAAATGTAGGTACAGTTAGCAAATATTTTGGCCTCAGGAAGTATTTCTGAACAATACAACTTGATAAAAGAATCAAAGAAAAAAAAACCAACAGTTTTAAGAGCCGTTGTAAGATCAGAGACAGGTAGGTCCTGTTCTCCCCTGCACAGGAAGGAAAGGGAGATGGGAGCAGAGCCTCAACTCATCGCGGCCACTGGCCTTTCTGGAATATGGCTCAGCCTTTCTTGGTCCTTACCCAACTGGAGATTCGTTGGCACAGACACGTGACCCCCAAGGTCTTTACTATTTCTCTTGCAGCAGAGAAATCAAGCAGCTCCTGACACGATCCTGTTCCCAGAGGAGTCTCGACTCCCTTCCTTGGCTTGGCCTCGTGGAGCGCAGCTCAGCACTATGCCGAAGCCTGGGGGGAGCAGGCCAGAGAGGCCTGGAGCACCACCGAGCCCTGGTGTCACCGGCCGCTGCCTGTCTCTGTGTCCTTCCGTTTTCAGGCAGGGCAGAGGCAAACACCTGCTGACTCCTGGTCCTTGGGGACCAGGAGGCCACAGCAGAGCAGAACTGGAGACCACAGCTGCTCCGAGCATCCATGTCCCCGCAGTCACTGATCGAGTTTTAAATGACCGAGCCCCGGAGCTTGAAGTCTGAGGCTGGGTCTCGACCCTGGCAAGGACCCTGAGTCCTGTTGCTCGCTCCTGACTGCCGCCGTGTTACGCAGCGCGGAACACAGAGGCCGTAGCCTGAGGTAGCACGTGGGCATCTAGACGGTGGCGCAGCAGCTGGGGTCATCTTGGAAAGGCCAGGGGATGGACGGAGGGTTGTGTTGTGAGAATGGAGTCGGGGAGGGGATGGTGTAGTCACCTGGCCCTCCGGTGGGCAGGGGGGGACGCCTGGGGTTGGGGCTGTGACTCGATGATGAACTTTCCACCCTGTCTCTTCTGTCAGGTCGCATGAGCCTGAGACCGCTATGACCGTGCAGTTGGACCACAGGGCAGTTGGAAATGCTGGTTCACATCCTGAGCAAGCTTTTCCCCACAAGGACAGAGGCGGGAGCCTGGGGGGGGGGGGGCCTGTTCGTTTGTGAGACGGCGTGCAACTGACCTTTGTGGAAAAGCTGGCCACACCTCAGTCTCAGCCAGTCCAGCCCAGGAGGTCTAACTGAGGCCTTTGAGCAAGCTGTGGGCCATGGAAAATAAGGAGGTGAAGGTAGCCAAAGGCTCCACGCCCCCCTCCAGCAGGGAGGCCCTCCAGTCAGACTGGGGTCCGCAGGGGGCTACGGGGCTAACGCAGAGCCGCTCAGCTCCTCGGAGGGTAGTGTGGCGGCAGACATGGCACAGCTTCAGAGCTGCCCAGAAGTGGACCAGGAGGACAATGTGTAACCTATGTGAGCCCCAGTGAGGTCTGCCCGCAAAGATTCTTGTGTATCTGAGCCCTGCCTGCCCTGCCCCTCTTACCCCTCTGCATACCACTAGAAAATCCTCCTCATACTTCCAAACAAGGGTTATAGGAGGAAACTCGTTCATCCTTCTGGCACTATCATTGCCCCTCTATTAGGAACCCCTGCATGACAAAAATGATCATCTCAGCCCCGGCTCGTGCGTGCGTGCGTGCGTGTGTGTGTGTGTGTGTGTGTGTAGCAAGAGAAGACATTTTCTGTGTGTGTGTGTGTGTGTGTGTGTTTAATCCCAGCGCCTCACATTGTGTGCACGTGCAGCCTGTAGTAAGTTTAGCTTGCTGAGCTCCCTCGTCCGTGGCGATGGTGATGATGGTAATGGAACATGAATGTGAGGGGCCTGCCTCGGGATCTGTAGGAGGGGGAGGAAGCACTGAGGGGTGGAGAATCTGAGTGTGCATGTGTGTGCAAGCGCGTCTGTGTCTGCGGGTGACGGCAGCCTAAGGAAAGCCACCAGATGCCATTTGGAAAAAAAGGAAGAAGGAAGGAATAGGAATAGGATAGAGGAGATGGCTTTGTTCAGAATGTACTGTGTATGTAACATGAAACTTACTCAGACTACACCTGTCAGATAAAATTTCCACCTATATTCCAATAGATCCATACCCACAAAAAAGTAAATGAGACAGCATGGCTCGCTGCAGAAACACGTAACTCCACACTTCAGACACCGAGTACAGAGTGAAATTTGTTTCATTTTAGCCCCTGTCATCTTCGTAGAAACGTTCTGTCATTCTGTGATCATTTTGCTATCCTTTTCCATCCCTGGACACATTCAATGAGTATATTCATCTTATTGTGAACATCTAAGTCAAACTTCTATGCATTTGATTTGACGTCATTTTCCACGATTGTGACATTACAGGGCCATTCCCCGGCGATGGTCAGATAATTGGATGTAATATGTACTCTGCATTGCAATGCCATTTAAACTTCGCGTCTCAATGTCAGTTTACAGCACTGAGTTCCTTTCAGGGAATGGTGAATTAATAATAATACTAAGGCAGGCCTTATTATTTGTAGCCATTTATAGCCACTCTAAAAGTGCTTTTAAAAGCCACTTTAAATGATGGCAACGTAAGTCTTGAGATGATTCAGATAGAAACACATGTTTTCCTGTTTCACTGGTCAGAGCATGGCGCTATCACTGCTGCTAATTACAGGAATTTTCCCTCAATAGCAAGAACCTTAGATTGAAGTTAGGGCACATTCATCACATTTCTGCTGTGCACGAGGCATGGTGTCCCTAGGCAGGCATGACCTCTCTGCCTGCCTTTCCCATGCCCTTTGACCTTGTCAAACACCCCCCACCCCCAAAGAAGGTCCTGTGCACCGGTCTTGTGACAGCGTTTGGTAAAGCAGTGCCCTCATGGGGTCTTCAGTTGGGGAGACAAAGGAGACTAGAGTGAAGGAAATAGAGACAGTTCGATCCAGATGTCCAGAAGCATCATCCCCTCCCACTTCCTCTTTAAATAAACCCTAAAAAGGAGTTTTAGATAACCAGTCTGATGCTGCATCTGTTCTTTGTCCTTCTAAGTGTACCAACCACGAAAATCCACGATCTGTGATGGGTAGGAGACCTGGATTTGAACCCTGGCTCTGCCACTTGCAGTTTGGCCTTCATGTCTCTTTTCGTAAAAACACTCACATTTCTTTCCAGTATACCATTTATGTTCATGCTGTGTGGTTATTCTAAGATGCAACTCTGGTGTCTTCATTGCTTTCCATTACCTATATAGTAGCTTTCCCAGAAGATAATCCAGACAGTTGCAGAGTGTGAGTTGATGCATTGAGTTTAATAGATCGTTTTGTTGTTGTACTTTTTGATTTCACTAGGTTTGAGTCCAGTCCTGGGGCCTGAACTCAGGGCCTGGGCGCTGTCCCTCAGCTCTTTAGCTCAAGGCTAGCGCTCTACCACTGAGCCACCTTCCCAGCCCATCTAAAATCTTCTTTACATGAAGTGTGTTAACATTGTAGTTTGAGAAATATGAGTGTGTAGGATATACAGATTTTAACCTTTAATTTTTGTTCGGGTCCTGCTGCACTGTCCTTGTCTGACCAGAATGCCTTTCTTTTATGCATTCCTTTCCTGCTGTGGTTAGATCTGGCTTGATGGGTCCTTTCAGGGTCCATATGTTGAAATTTCACTGCCATTATGAAATGTAAGAGGGTAGAAGGTTATTTGACTGTGGTGTTCAAACGTGTGGCCTTTGGAAGGCGATGAGCATTAGACAAGGTCATCTCTGTGGCCTTAGAAGAAGAGGGAGGGAAACCAGGGCAGGCGTCATTGTGCTCTGAATGTAGATCATACCACTTCGTTGCCATTTTTATAAAGTAATAGTGTACATTTAACGTGTTTCTTTATGGTAGACATTAATACTGTTAGAATGTTGTCTGACTAATTGCCTAATTATAAAAGTAACTGTCAAAATGACAAATGGGCTGGCGCACGTGGCTTCTGTCTGTAATTGTAGCTACTCGGGAGGCTGAGATCTGCAGATCACCATTTGAAGCCAGCTTGGGAAGAGAAATCTGGAAAACTTTTATCTCCAGTTAACTAGCACAACACTGAAGCACAAGTGTAGCTTAAGTGTGAGAGCCTGTTTTTAATTGAAAAAGCCAACCAAGAGTGCAAGTCCCTGAGTTCAAGCCTCAGTACCCACACCAAAATGAAAAAGAAAATGACAAATTGGCTTTGGAATTATACACAGTTTGGGATTCTATTCTGTTACTTGGTAGCTCTGTGGCTTTGATCAAGCCTCAGTTTACCACACATAACAGGGGTATTGAAGGATTTTGAGGACATGCTTGTCTACAGCATCATGTGTTACACATTTTGCTTTGTAGAGCCTTAGTAAGCTAGGTACTGAGCTGGTACTAATTCTGGTTCCCCTCCTTGTTCTTCAACAAATCCTACACTAGTCTGGGGATTAGCGACTTGATCACCTAATCCAAATGCTGGCATGCCATTATGACATGCGTGTGAGGATTCCCTCAAGCTGTCAGTGGACAGAGAAATGGAATATTCCTCCAACACATATTTGGCCAAGTAAAAAGTTTCTTCTCTGAAAATCAGCTCATCTAATACAGGCAAAGCTGATGGAGATAAAGATACACAGCTTGCCTATGAAACCATAACACAGAAGCAAAGTATCTGGAACTTGTTTGAAGCAGGTTGTGTGTGAAATGTCAAGCTCCAGATCTGGTTCTGACCTTTCAGTCTAGCAGGAGCAGCCAGCATGCCAGCAAAGGGCTCGTATGTGATCTGACGTGTAGGTCTCAGTGTAACACTGGCATGATGAAGCCAGCAGGTGGGGAAATGATTAGCGTTTGAGAAGGTAGGCTATTGCTCACCATCTTTCACATTTCTCCTGGTTGCCCTGTGTCCTGAGGGTCTACGCACTTCCCCGGTGGCCCTGAGTGGTAGGAGGTTAACAGTGATATGTACTCTACTGCTAACTAAATCAAGCTCTCCCGCTCCAGCCTCTTGCTTGCTTGTGGATCGTTACAATGTGTATGGGAGGGTAGAGTTGCTTTAGCACTGGTTGACTTGGTCCTGGGTCTCAGATTTATTATTTTTTTGGGGGGGGTGGGTCCAGTCGTGGGGCCTGAACTCTGGGCCCAGGCGCTGTCCCTCAGCTCTTCAGCTCAAGCTAGCACTCTACCACTTGAGCCACAGCGCCACTTCCGGCTTTTTTTCTTTTTGCTTATGTGGTGCTGAGGAATTGAACCCAGGGCCTCATGCATGCAAGGCAAGCGCTCTACCACTGAGCCACCTTCCCAGCCCCTCAGATTTTCTTGTTGTTGCTGTTCTTACAACTTAGAAGTGGCCATTGCAGCTGGGATGTTTTGTAAAGCAAAACACAGAGACTTTCTGTTCTCGAGAGTGACAATTTGTTTATTTCAGTGGCTCTCGAAAACAGACTTCGGTATTTGTTTCAGGAAAGCCTTATTTAAATGGTTCTTAAAATGTATGTAAAGTAACTTATTTTCTTATGAAAGTCTGAAGGGAAAGAAGTAAGAACTGAAATAGAAAATAGGCATGAAAGAAAAACTTCCTCCATTATACATGTATGTTCGTTAAGCAACACATGTTGAGGTTGAATTTTACATTACTTAATGAATGTATATTGAATTTGAATTCTCTGTATTAGAATTCAAATAACCTGCCCCCCCCAAAAGTGTACATTATGATGTACTAAGTGCTCAGGATAGGAAAGTGTACATTATGATGCCCTAAGCACTCAGGATAGGAATGAGGCCATTCTGGGAAATATATAACGAGAAGACGACATTGGAGCTGGGTTTTGAGTGATGAATAAGAGTTAGAGTAGCAGGAAAGGCATAAACTGCAATCTGGATTTTGTTTTGTCGGTCGTGGGGCTTGAACTCTGGGCCTAGGCACTGTCCCTCAGCTCTTCAGCTCAAGGCTAGCACTCTACCACTTGAGCCACAGTGCCACTTCCAGTTTTTTCTGTTTATGTGGTGCTAAGGAATCAAACCCAGGGCCTCATGCATGCAAGGCAAGCACTCTACCACTGAGCCACCTTCCCAGCCCCAATCTGGAATTCTTTATTTAAATGCTGACATTATTCCTTAAGTTACCTTGGACAAATTACTCCCTTCCTTTTCTCAACTGTAGAACTGGGACAGTGTTAGTAGTCACATCCAAGGCTTGGTCCTGAAAAACACCTACCTACAACTCTGCACGAGCATAGTAGGGCCTCAGTCCATGCACTGCTATTGCTCCATCGTTAAGAATGAGAGGAGGGCTGGGAAGGTGGCTCAGAGGTAGAGCGCTTGCCTTGCATGCATGAGGCCCTGGGTTCGATTCCTCGGCATCACATAAACAGAAAAAACTGGAAGTGGCTCTGTGGCTCAAGTGGTAGAGCGCTCGCCTTGAGCTGAAGAGCTGAGGGACAGCGCCCAGGCCCAGAGTTCAGGCCCCACGACCAACCAAAAAAAAAAGAATGAGAGGAATGTGGCCACCTCAGTGGGAACAGCATGCCATGTTTTTTTCTGAAAAAAAAAAAAAAATCCAACACTGCAGAGTTAATGGCTTTTACAGATGAGCAGGTTAACACGAGATGTAAAAAAGAAATGGAAATAGAATAGAGTCATTCAGAATAAAACCACCAGGGCTCTGAGTGACAGGGAAGCAAGCCGCTCCTGGGACAGGCACTTGGTGTTGTCATAAAACAGCTGCCTAATTCACCGTGTGCCCTAATTCAACGGTCACATAGGGGCCGCTGAGGAATGAACCTGTTAACCCGAACCTGCGGCCGCGGCTGCCTTTCTTGAGTATTGTGACAAAATGCTTGAGAAGCAGATCCATCTGAAAGGGAGAAGAGTTGTCTTCCTTCACAGTTTCAGAGGTGCTGGTCTATGCCGGCTTCATTGCGTGGGGGCCTGTGGTGAGACCAAGCTTCTTGGCAGGAAACACACTTTAATATCCAAGGAAGAACGTGACTCCTGGCAGCCAGGAGGTGACAAGAGGAGCCTGGCTGCGGTGTGACCTTTACCAGCACATCCCCCGTGGCCTCTTCCCATCAGGCTCTACTCTGAAGGTTCCCACCACCTCCATGTAGAACCAGAGACCAGCAACCACGTCCTAAACACATACCCGTGGCGGGTGTTTAAGATGCAAGCCACAGAATAGTCCGAGGAGACTGGTTGGTGAGATGCTGTGTTACTGGAAAGCACAGCAGACTGTGTGCATGTGTGTGTAGATATAGATAGAACATAGAAATAGGCTATCTATGAGTGTATGTGTGTGTATTACGTATGTACACACATGTACATATGTGTCTGATAACCTGAGTCCAAGTATTCACATAAGATAAATAACCATTAATATTATTTAATGTATCAATTGCTGAAAATACATTAATTGGCCAGTGTAGGGTTCCATACTAAGATATCTGTTAGGATGAGAAAAGTCAAAAATATAATGAAGAAATCTATAAAACAATAACAAGACAGAAAGCTGTCCAAGTGCCTTCTTTCCACAGGATTTACATAATCACGGAAGTGGCAAAACCTTGAAGTCCATTCATTTTAAAGTTAACAGCTGATGAGAAAAGCAAGCCTTCCTAAAATGTGGGCTTGGATAAGTACATCGTGATTATTTTGGTAATCACATCTTGGCTTACGGAATACTGCACAGATGATTTTTGTGCTAAATTTCTATTTAATCGGGCATGCCTATGCTTCTTTCTTTTGTGTGGAATAGGAGATCAAGGAGAAACTGGATTCCAGTCACAAGCGCGATATGGAAGGCATGGGAGCTCCAGAAATCAAGTACGGGGATTCTGTCTGCTTTGTCCAGCATGTGGCTAGTGGCCTGTGGGTCACCTACAAAGCACAAGACGCCAAAACCTCCCGCCTAGGACCTCTGAAGAGAAAGGTGACATGTCAGATCTGTCTCTAGTTCCTTGCTCTGGGCTCAAAAGTTAATCTGAGGACCAGGTAGACGTACATGGCTGTGGGTAGATACATCCTACTATTGGGAAGAGTCGTGGCATATATGAAGTTTCTCTATACTTCAGTCTCATTTGGTTACTTTGACTTCATTTTTGATGTTTAAAAGAACATTCTGTCTTCGAGAAGGGGTTGAATTGGTTTAATTCATCCCTGATCCCAATGACTTAGTAGTGTCACCATTTTGGGATCATCCACATCATTACTCCCTTCATTTAAGTGGATAGCGGAGTTACTATGCAATTTCGTAATGTGGACACTGAACAGAATCTCTATAGAGAAAATGGGGATTGCATACTAACAAGCCCACAGGAACCATTGTGTGAGTTGACCCTGAGTCCTCAGAGACTTGTCCAGGCTGTGTGGCCCACCACATTCTGCCCGGGGATGCCAGCCTGGGTCCTGCAGCATCTCCTTGCCAGAAGGTAGCATTGTTTCTTTTGATAGGAGCCAGGAATAGATGCCAAGAGCATCATCATCCTCTTTTCTTTCACTTGGAAAACCCTTTCAAACTATGGGGTAGGAAAGTCAAGGAATCCAAGAGCACGGGTCCAGAAGGGCCTGCGTGCTGTGGTGTAGGTGTAACAGCCTAACATAGAGGTGAAACCGTTCCTCTGAAGGTTTCCACTGCAAGAAAGAACAGCATTCATTTGGGGCAAACCATGAAGTCTTATGTTCCCTTTGTGTAAAGCAAAAAATACCAGGAAAATATCCATACAAGGGAAAATAAATTCAGGAAGAAGAGGTAGAAAATAGACCGAGGGGTCCACAGGCTAGCCCAACCTTTCTTCTGAAATCAACTAAAAAGGATGGGAAAAATACGAAACTGAGCAAGCAAACAACCACCAATCATTGAAGGTTTCAACAACAAGGACACTCAGAATGTCAGTATGCCAAGGTGAACTCACCACAATTTTTCTGGCTTACAGAAGAGGGAATGAGGTCCTGGATTCTCTCTGCCATGCTGGAGAGACCGATCATACTTACTGTCAGTGTGTTTGTTATGTGGGCACAGCCATGACCATACTGGCCCAAAGATCAACCTAAACGCTGAAAACTTTTGGTCTGGGGTTTCAAAGGGTTCAGTCCATGGAAGTTTGGCCCCAGGAACAGAGGCAGAGCATCATAGCAGCAGGAGCAGGTCATGAAGAAGCTTCTTTAGCTCAGAGTGGATGGGAAGCAGAGAAAGAATACAGGAAGCGCTTGGGGTAAGATGTAGGCCCCAAGGACACACCTGTGGTGATCTGCTCCCTCCGGCTACCTGGAAACTATCTAGTTCAACACGTGAGCCTTTTGGAGCAGTGCTTCATATCGAAGCCATAATCGCCACCTGTGCTACTTGACGGGGCCAAGACCCCAGTGTGTGGGCAGCTGTAGGACCTGCATCTGAAATGCACGCAGATTCCCCTGGAATCCTGGGATGCGACCAACACAACCAAGGGAAGACTGAAGCAGGGACAGAGCAGAGAGGGAGAGCCGGGGTCGGAATGGCGATCCTGTGACGCGGATGTTGGGATTCACTGTCTCTTAAGATGAGCTGGTCCTGGGAAATACATGAGGCTGTGGACAGTTCCAGAAGAATTCGCGCTCTGTGCGGGGAAGAGGGCAAACTGAGTCGATAGCAGAACCCACCCCGTAGCAGCGACCAGAACCTCGACAGAGTGCGGTGGTGCCATTGGCGGCCTCAGGCTTTCCTAAACCTACCAAGGCGGCGATAGCACTTAAAGGTGGGATTTATGGATTCTGAATGAGATGCTGGGAAGGAAGGGGGCAGCCCAGCACGCGGCCCGTGGGGAGCGATCTAGCGCTGGGTGGTTGATTTACCGCCTTTCACTGCCCGCACGGCCACTTTCCTTCTGGAACGTGAATGTGAGCTTGGCTCTTTTCACAAGGATCAGGTTACGTTTCCCTATAAAACTCTGAGGGACGTTCATACCTGCGTGGAGATTGATGCAGTGAGCGAGACGAAGGGGGACAGACAGGGACGGAGTGCGTGAATGGTGGCAACGCTTTTCCGCCCCAGCATCCCTGTCACGGGCTGTGGGATTCCCTCACAAGTTAGAGGGTCTCAGGACTGAGATGCCACCGAGGCCTCCTCCAGCCATACTACCTCAGCTCCCAGCCCTTGCTTACCGCCTGGCCATCTGACTGTGTTATCGGAATGAGCAGAGCCCCAGAATCTTAGTCTTTCCGGACCAGAATCTGGGCCTGAGGCCGAAGTAAACATAGTGGCAGTTGAGTGCTAAATGTCATGTTTTCTAACGGTTGTGAGGCCCTCTTTGCTAATGCTTCAACCTGAAAGATGAGAATGCACACCCGAGCTTCTGCAGCCTACATTGTACTTCCGGGTGAATTCGTTATATCAGACATGCTTTCAAAACATGAGAATGAAATGGGAAAGCTTCTTCATGCTAGCCCTGAGAGAAACCCCACATCCCTTTCTGAAGATGTCTTCTGGCACCACGTGTTTAGAAGATATTGATGCATAGATCTACAACTGGACGCAGCTCACGTCCACCGAGAAGAGACCATGGCCGGGAGTGTGAGTCAGGCTTGGACGGGGCCCAGTGTCTGCAGGTACTTGACCGTTTAGAGGGAATGACCTTCATTCCACTCAGAGCTGTCTCATCATCAGTGGTCCATAGTCACTTAGCTTCTTGATAACTGGTCAAAGGGACTAACACACCACCCCCTTAATCAGCATTCCCCCAGCACCTCGTACATCCCAGGAACCACTGAAGCAACTGACCGTGGCTCATCTAAACATCCAGACAGTTCTCTAACATACAGCCAGTTGGAAATAGTGAAGGTGAAGCAAGGAGAGGTTAAGTAACTCGTCCAAAGTCACACAGCGAAGAAATAACACAGCAAGACTGAAATTGCCAGCGATGCCAGAGCCTGTGGTTTAAATCCCATTAAGCTACCATTTGGGGCTGTTTTCTGCTGTCTTAGAGTTAACTAATCCAGAGAACTTGTCCCTTGGTAGAGCAATCCAAACCTTCTCCCAGGAGAGTTTGCTTTAAATTGTTCCTTCCTGATATATATCTGGAGCAAAGGCTCTGGACAGAGTGACTTTTTCCATCTCTGGAGATGAGGCTGTGTGTTCATGTTAGGAGAAAAATCCATCATAAGGAAGTGGTTAGCCCTTCAAAGTGGCCATCTGGGTCCAAGGAACTGACGGTAACTGGCACCGTGATGACACGTAGATGGCATTTTCATCAGAAGCGTGTCTCAGGAGTGATTTGTGTGGCAGCCATGGGACATAGAGGGAAATAACTTGGTCAATGTCCCATTTGCAAGGTGGACCGGGGGCTTGGTGTGGGAAGCGGCGGGAGGAAGCGGCGGCGTGAAGTATAACTTGGACCTGCCTTCCTGCCTGTGGTAGGTTATCCTCCACCAGGAAGGCCACATGGACGACGGGCTGACGCTGCAGAGATGCCAGCGTGAGGAGTCCCGGGCTGCCCGGGTCATCCGGAACACAATGGCCTTATTCAGCCAGTTTCTCAGGTATGCTAGCACCTTCCTTTGCTCGCCCTTTTTCCTCCCGGCCTTCCAACCCTTGTCCACTTTGTTTTGATACTCTCGAGTGCTTTCCAGAAATAACTGAACACCAGCAAAGAATCTCACCAGAGAGGGCTGGGGACTGAAATTTAATTCCGCATAGCTGATCTCATGCCAGCTTCTCTCTGCCAATGCACACCCAAGCCCCATTAGATTGGTTATAGATGGGTGCTATCAGTGGCGGAGGTCTTTGTATGAAAATCAAGTCAAAAGACTCAAGTCTCAGGTCTGGGTGAAATTGGATACACAGTGGAAGCCTTAGGTCACTGTTTCTGGCCTGTTCCTTGGCTGTTCCCGGTGTTTAACTGGGAAAAGCAGCTGAGCCGCCTGCTTGGCTGATGACCCCTTCAGCCTAATCCTGTTGCCAAAACACAGCCCAGCCTTGTTTCCATCGCTTACTCTGAGGAGCCGTTTCTGTTGGAAACAGCCAAGCCAGTCTGAACCTTGAGGACCCAAGGAGGTATATATTGTATATATGAACTGGCACGAAATTAGAACTTTTTTGCAGTTGAAATGCTGCAGTCTAAGGAACGCGTATTAATCAGGGTGTAGGCTACACTGTTAGTGTGCAGAATAAACCTTGACTCTTATTTCCATTAGTAATATAGACAGGTGGTTCTGGAAAAATAGATAGCGCAGTTCCTGGGACTCAGATTCCTTCTCTCGTTGGTTGCTTTAGTGTATCCCTCGTGTTCTTAAAATGTGTAGTGGACCAGCACACAGTATCACTTGCGAACTTATTAAAACTGCACAGTGCCAGGTTTCACCCAAGACATACTGAAGAGACATCCTGGGCCTGAGATATCGTGATCGTATTTTTATAGGCCCCTCATGTGTTGCCCAGGTGTGATGAAGCTTAAGAAACCATTAACTTGGAGTAGAGATCTTAAACTCGGCTCCTTGTTAGATCCACTTTCTCTGGCACAGGGAATACATGGCAAGTCAATCAGAAGCCAGGCTGCACCTTCTCTCCACGGTCTCCAGGTCCCGTGATATCCCGGGAGGCAGGTTCTCAAGCACATTCCGAGAGCATACCGTGTGTCAGGTACACCTAGAAGCTGAACTCAGGTGGAGGAGTGGCGCAGCGCTGACTGTAAAGAGCTTGCAGACCATAGGTGTTTTGCCCTCATGAAGGAACTTGGAAACTTTTTGGTACAAAATGAAAGTTACTAGCAGGGCGCCGGTGGCTCACGCCTGACATCCTAGCTACTCAGGAGGCTGGGATCTGAGGATCGCGGTTCAAAACCAGCCCAGGCAAGAAAGTCTGTGAAACTCTTATCCCCAATAAACCATCAGAAAACCAGAAGTGGCACTGTGGCTCAAGTGGTAGAGCACTCACCTTGAGCTGAAGAGCTGAGGGACAGCGCCCAGGCCCTGAGTTCAAGCCCCACAACCGACCAAAAAAAAAAAGTTACTGTAAATACAGTAAGCAGGGCTGCAGTGGCTATAGTCAAAAGCTTGATGGAAACACAAGAGGAACTGTAAGGTATTCCAGGGGAAACAAAGAACCTTTCCCAGGAGAAACGGCTCCTTGTTGAGCCTGGGGACAATCAGGGCTGAGCAGAGACAAGGACGATTTTCAAGAAGAGAAACTGCAGGCCACAGGGTGTGGAGATTCCACTGTACAGTCAGGGATAGCTAGAACTCATCCGGTCCCAGTGTGGAAGGAGATACTCAGACAAGGCTAGAGCGGTGCCTGGGACCAGGTCATGAAGAGCTTTCTCAGGATGCCTAGTGTATGCATTATAGTCTACCCTGGGCATTCAGAAGAGAGAATCCATCTAACATTAAGGTTGTGAGCTAGCCAGGCGCCAGCAGTTCACATCTATAATCCTGTCTACTCAGGAGGCTGAGATCTGAAGGTTACCATTTGAATCCAGCCGAGGCAGGAAAGTCTGTGAAACTCTTATCTCCAATTAAATAGTAAAAAAGTTAAAAGTGGAGCTCAAGGAAATAGAGAAGAGACCGCGCCAGACCCTGTATTCGAGCCCCAGTTCTAGAATGGAAGAGAAAAGAAAAGGTAAAGTGTTAAAAGGTAGAGAAAAACTAGTTCATATCCTGGCTCTGAGGCTCACTGGGGAGAGTTACCCTGAAAACTCGGTGAACTTCAGTTTCTGCTCTTTTGAACTAAAAATTCCTCCATCAAATGGTTTGCAGTTATGAAAACAAATTACATTTTTTACCGTATTCCTTGACTATGGGCAGAGCTGATTTAGTATTTGCACTAAAGCATAGAAACTACCTTTTCTAAGCATGTGTCCAAATAAAAATAAAAGCAGTTGACAAACCAACTGCCCTGTATGTGCACCAAACACGTAAGTTGTTATTTGCATATCCATACAATTCCCCACCGCTCCAGAATTCCACAAGACTAGGACCTTTTTTCCTTCCCTTGTTTGTTCTCTTAAGAAATTCAGGGGTGTACCCTCCACTGGATGGGAAAATGAAGGTTCATTTTGTTACTTACGGGAGTTTTCTGATCTCTGTTAAAAGGATGTCATTACAAAGGTTTTGGTAAATTACACCTGAAAAAGAATTCTAAGACACAGAGATTCACAGGGGCTAGGAGTACCGCAGCTGAGAGGCAGGGATAGGACAGATTAACCGGAGTAGGAAGATGCACATGTAAAAGGAATAGACCTGCCAGGCACCCGTGGCGCACGCCTGTCATCCTAGCTGCTCAGGAGGCTGAGATCCGAGGATCACGGTTCAAAGCCAGCCCGGGCAGGAAAGTCCATGAGACTCTTATCTCCAATAAACGACTCAAGCCAAAAGTGGTGCTATGGCTCACGTGGTAGAACACTAGCCTGGAACAAAAAGAATCTCAGGGTCAGCATCCAGGCCCCCAGTTCAAGCCCTACGACCGGCAAAACAGCAACAACAACAAAGGGAGTCAGGGGGAGAGGTTTTGACAGACTGATGGGGAAGTAGAGTAAGAGTAAGTGGGGCTGCGCAAACACACACTGAACACAGAAGAGAGCGGCACACGCAGACCCTCGGGACAGTCAGGGACAGTGATCGCGGTCACGGGAGGCGGCCAGGGGTAGAAACCCGGCCTGACGCTCAGTCTGTTCCAAGAAGCTGCCATCTTACAGATGTTTGGTTTAAAAGGTGAGTGTGACAGACGGTCCGTGTGCCTGACATGCACGTCACCGTCGTGGCGACCCTGGCTAGATGGACAGATGGCAGGGAGGTCGCCACAGACAGCAGAGAACACCCACTTAATGGGAAATGCTGAGAGATGGCAGAAACTTTGGCCTGCCACATCATAAATGACTTGAAAATGGATATGTTATCATTGCTTCCCTGTGTTTCTGAAGTGGCTTTGAGGCTGAGTCTGCATCTTGGCCTCGGCTACCCCATGTGGGCTGACAGATTACACCTGTAGTTGGTGGTACAGTGGCTGCCTCCGGAGGTCGCTCTCTGTGTTCCGGGCGAGGCGCGTGGGAAGGGGCAGGGCCGGCCTGCCGTGGCCCCATCCCGAGCCACGCCTCCTCCTGGTGTTTCAGTGGAAATAACCGCACGGCCGCCGCCGCCATCGCCCTGCCGGTAGAAGAGGTCCTGCAGACCTTACAGGACTTGATTGCCTACTTCGAGCCTCCAGAGGAGGGGCTTCGGCACGAAGAGAAGCAGAACAAGCTTCGCTCCCTCAAAAACAGACAGAACCTCTTCAAAGAAGAGGTAAGTCGGAGCAAAGGGAAGGCGAAGGCGCGCACAGAGCTGACATAGCCTGAGCTTCGTCTGCAGATGCCGATGTGGATGAGCGAGCCCGGGCGCAGGGGAGGGGTGGGGCTGGACGCTCCCTCCCACTGCCCCTGACGACACGGGCCGGGGCTGGCACAGCCAACCCTCTATTGTGTGTATTTGTGTTTGAGCAAGCCTACGTTTGTCACATGAAGACATTTCATGATGATGTTTCCACACATGGACACAGCACGCTTGGAAGCGTTCACCCTCTCCTCCATATTCTCACTCCTCCATACCGGCAGAGTATTAAAGCTCCCGGGCCACGTGTGTGCCCCAGATACATGCCAGCAAATTGGCTGTCCTGGCACAGCATTGGCTGTGATCTCTAGAAAATCTGTTTGAGGGATACAAATACCTACCCCCTGCCGTACTGGAAATGTCTGAGCCCTGGTGTGAAAGGTTCGGGCACGCTCAGGTCTGGTGTTAGAGCTTGCACACGGGTCATTGGAGGTGGGAAAACATCAACTGGAGCCCAGTTCTAGCGCCACTCCGGGCGCTGTGGGACCTGGGATCTGTGACGAGCCCTCTCCAGACCTGGTGCTCACACACTGTGGTTGACATCGGCACCCTTCACGCCTGGGCAAGGCAAAGCTCACGTGTGGGACTCCCTTCCCTGCTCAGACTTGGGTCTAAGCGAGGCGGATGCTCCAGCACGCTGTGCTTTCGCACGTGGCGGTTTGGGAGTGCTTCCTCTGCGCGCCAAGCCTTGGTAAGCGTGGGATAATGCAGCTGGGGGACATTGCCTAAGGAGTGGCCAGGTCTTATTTTCTCTGACTCTCCACATTTGAAAGAGCGGGAGGAAGAACAAAGAACAGTTGTCTTTTGCATTTGAATGCAGTTTCTTGAACTTACTGGCGATTTAAGAGAAAGCGTGGTATTCTATCCAGAGCTGTTGGCGGGTGAGTCAGGATTTCTTCAGGGCAGATGGGAAGCAAGCTTTGGGACGCGTCAGGCTCCTCAGATCACGTGAAGCAGGGACGCTGACTGGCCTCCAAGCCTGTGCCGCGCAGGTCTCTGAGGCATAACCATGTGTAGTTTGTCTCTTTGGGGGAAGAAGAATTCAGCTGGCACCAGGAACACCTATTTGCATTTTAACACTGAACCAAGTGGAGGGGGAAAGCAGAGGGAAGTCATCCAGAACGTTGACCTTTCCTCAACTCTCCTCCTCAGGGAATGTTGGCCCTCGTGTTGAATTGCATTGACCGCTTGAATGTCTACAACAGCGTGGCACACTTTGCAGGAATTGCAAGGGAAGAGAGTAGCCTGGCTTGGAAAGAAGTGCTGAGCCTCCTGTACGAGCTGCTAGGTGAGCGCGCCGGCAGCCCCCTTCCCCAGCATGCTTTCGCAGGGCTGGGGGGCCACCTGCCAACCCACAGTGCCCTCCGGCCATCTGACTAGCCCGCCATTCACCTGAGCTGGTCTGCAGCTGACTGCACTTTCTAGGTTAGAGCAGAAGTCAGCAGCAAGTAGTAGATGGTGACCACTTTTACCAAAACTACATGTGAAACTCTTTAACACCCATACTTTCTGATCCTCAATTCCTGAGGGAACCAGGGCAAAGCCTCTTTACAGAGCCTTCCAGTTCTAACGTCTTCGCAGAAAAATCAGACTGTGAGGGTTGCTGCGCTCCTACGCCTGGCCCTTCTGCGTGTCCTCTTGGGAGTCATGGCCCGTTGCTTATTTTATCATTGTAGAATAGAGAAAGGCAAGACATAGACATCCTGCACCATCTTTTCTAGCAAGACTTAAGAAGACATCCCAAGAGGTTGTATTCTTAACTCATGGCCAGGCAGATGTTCTGTGAGTTGATTAGCAGGTGTTTTCCCCCCTTGACCTGTCTCTGGAAGGCGGGCAGCCCGGGCCGCCCCGGGGACTGGGCAGCCTCCCCTGCCCGCCCCTGCCCTCTCCCGCATCGTGTCCTGGCCCAACACCATCAAACCTCCACTCCTTTGCAGCCGCTCTCATTCGTGGGAATAGAAACAACTGTGCACAGTTCTCCACCAACCTGGACTGGCTGATCAGCAAACTGGACAGGCTGGAATCTTCCTCAGGTGAGAATTGACAGAGCACGATAACGAGCACAGTGCGTTTTGAATCTTCCAGCAGACTGCCAATAATTCGCAAACCATTGCTGCAACAAAGAGAAAGTTCCGGGCTCCCTGACGCGTTCTTTGCTGACAGCTCAAACCCCGACCCTGCAGGTCTTGTCTTTGCATTTGCACTGGCATAAGTGAATTGCGCGAGAGGGTCCCGTTGTGATATTCCGACCTGCGTACAGCGCGTCCTGACCAAGTCCTCGCATCCCTGCCCCTCATCATCCCCGCCTCAGAACAATCCCAATAGATTTTATTGTTCTGTTTTCACTGACGCATCTCGCGGCTATTCACCTCCTCTGATTGACTCCCCTCTCCCCTGTCTTGCTTTCCGACCACTTATTTTTAGTGTCTATGAATTACGCAAGGATTTCACCATGACCTTTCACACATGCGTATAGTGTACCTCAATCCGACGGGCCCTTCTGGTCCTCTTTCTCCATCTCCTCTGCTGCCTTGTTGCTTAGAGCCTTCAGGGAGTCTTTCTGCCATCCGCACACCGCGACGCGCTGCGCTTCACCATTACTCCCCTTCCCTCACCCCATTCTCTGTGTTTCTTCCCTTCCGCAGCTTGAACCTTCATCTTCACTCCCTGGGCCCTTCACACACCCCACCTAGGAATCCCAGACTCCTGGTGACTCCTGCGGTGCCTCTGGTACTCATCATCCAGTTAGGAGCAAAGTTCAAGGGCAAATATGGAATAAGACAGAATGAGTCTCACTCACCCCAGATCCCCTTCACTAACGTCAAAACCGTCCTGATGACGCAGAGAAGCGGAGTCATTGTGCTCATTGTCGTCAGGGATCAGCCATGGGCTCCTAAGGACGATGCTCAAGACAGGTGTGGGCATCCTGCAGGGTGGAGAAGTGTAGGTGCGTTCCTCAGAGGAGGTAGACGCAGAGAGCGGGCGCATCCACACACAGCGCTCCTCAGAGACAGCGGCAGAGACAGCATCCACACACAGCGTTCCTCAGAGACAGAGACAGCATCCACACACAGCGTTCCTCAGAGACAGAGAGAGAGCATCCACACACAGCGCTCCTCAGAGACAGAGACAGAGACAGCATCCACACACAGCGTTCCTCAGAGACAGAGACAGCATCCACACACAGCGTTCCTCAGAGACAGAGACAGAGACAGAGAGCATCCACACACAGCGTTCCTCAGAGACAGAGAGCATCCACACACAGCGTTCCTCAGAGACAGAGACAGCATCCACACACAGCGCTCCTCAGAGACAGAGACAGAGACAGAGAGCATCCACACACAGCGTTCCTCAGAGACAGAGACAGAGAGCATCCACACACAGCGTTCCTCAGAGACAGAGACAGAGAGCATCCACACACAGCGTTCCTCAGAGACAGAGACAGCATCCACACACAGCGTTCCTCAGAGACAGAGACAGCATCCACACACAGCGTTCCTCAGAGACAGAGAGCATCCACACACAGCGTTCCTCAGAGACAGAGACAGAGACAGAGAGCATCCACACACAGCGTTCCTCAGAGACAGAGACAGAGACAGCATCCACACACAGCGTTCCTCAGAGACAGAGACAGAGAGCATCCACACACAGCGTTCCTCAGAGACAGCGAGCATCCACACACAGCGTTCCTCAGAGACAGAGACAGAGACAGCATCCACACACAGCGTTCCTCAGAGACAGAGAGAGAGCATCCACACACAGCGTTCCTCAGAGACAGCGAGCATCCACACACAGCGTTCCTCAGAGACAGCGAGCGGGCACATCCACACACCTGGGCCAGGAGCACCCACCTCTGCATGGCTTCCTAAGGCTCGCTTTCTTTCTCTTGTACATTATATTCCAAGATTGGTTCTACAAAGCCTGATTTAAAAAAGAAAAGAGTTGTTTTCTTTGCTAGATGCCTGTTATCACCTGGTACCCTCGCTACTCTGGAGGCCAAGATCTAAGAATCATAGTTCAAAGCCAGCCAGGAAAGGAAAGTATATGAAACTCATAACTCCAGTAAACCACACAGACAGCTGTGGAGCTATGACTCAAGTTCAGGGACAGCACGCAGGCCGCGTTCAAGCCCAGAGACCTGCACGGTGTAGAATATATAATTGGGGGGGGGCTGTGTGGGTATGCACGTGCGTGTACATTTTTGGTTCTGGGGCTTAAGCTCAGGACCTGGGCACTGTCCCTATGCTTTTTAGTTTGTTAGAGTCTCACAGACTTCCATGTCTGGGCTGGGTTTGAACTGTAGTCCTCAGATCGCAGCCTCCTGAGTAGCTAGGATTACAGTTAGGAGCCACCAGCTCTGAGCCCTTCTGTGTGTTTTAACAGACACAGAGAGATAGTATTGAATTAACTCTAAATTATAGACTAGCCCTCAGGGCTCCCGAAGTCTACCTGAGATGATGCTTGCGTCTCTCCTCTAGCTGTGAACATTTAAGAGTTGATAGCATTGTCCCCTCAGGATAATTGCGTCTCTCCTGGGTTTCTAAGTGATGGTCAGTTCTGCAGGTTATTTAACGTCCCAATGATCTTTGTGTTACTCACGTAGGTATCTTGGAGGTCTTGCACTGCATTTTGATCGAAAGCCCAGAAGCCTTAAATCTGATAGCTGAAGGACACATCAAGTCCATCGTCTCCCTGTTGGATAAACATGGTCGGAACCACAAGGTGGGTATGACCGTTTTCCTTGCCTTTCCCTCCCTGATACTTCCCATACGACACCCAGGGCCTGAGGATTTGTTCCGAAAGACCTTCTTTGCCTGTAAAACTGCTCCAGGCAGCCCGGTCAGATCTGAGATGGTGTCCTGTGTGCCCACTGGCTTCCAAGCTGTGTCCACTGTCATTACCTTAACGCAGAGCTCGCGCTCGGTCACTCCGCTGGGCCCCCGACACCAGGGCCACAAGACAGTTCCCACCTTAGGAAATCTGTCTTCCTCAGCTATGCAGAGCAGATATGCAAAAATCAGATTTAAAACAGCAAGCCATGCGGTTAAATGAAACTCATTTTAATGAGTCAAACCAAGCAAAAGTAAGAAAACAAAGGACCCCTCAGCATTATCAAACGGGACCAAAGACGCCAGCCTTTCATTTGACACACACTTCCGTGAGACTCTGTTATTTCTTCAGTAAAACCAGAACATTCCACAAAGACGGGGTGTTGTATCAGTATTTTTAGGTCTCTTATAGTTTCATTATCTCTGTGAAATCCTATTGCTAAGAAACAAGCATCTGTGGGAAGAAATCCGCAACGTGTTTTTCCATCCTGACCTCCAGATCCTCAGCACAGGTAGAGGCTGATGTGCGGCCTAGTTTGTAGTCAGGAAGGCTCTCAGAGGGCGGGGTGTCCGGTTCCCCGGACCGCGGCAAGGCGGGGCATGCGGGGCAGCAGCTGCGCTTCTGCAGACTGTGAACGATGCAGCTGGGTTCTGCCCCTCTGCTGCATGTTGGACCCACGGGCAACGAGTCCAGAAGGAGCCTTGTAGAGTACCGGCTACACCACGTGCAGCCTCCACAGAGAGCAGAAAAGCCATGGTGCTTAGCATCTGTGACGTTGCTTGGCCAAGAAGAGAAAGAAATAGGTGGGGTCGGTAATTGCTTCCTCAAATGTGGTAAATCAAAACCAGGCCTGACCCCGGCCTCGGTCTCAGTTTGCTGTCTTCCATGACATGTTTTCCTGTCTGAAAAATACAGTTGAAATGATTGATAATCCCACAAGAAACGCATGGTACTAGCCATGGTCCATGCACAGATGTTAGAAAGGCCCTTTGAAGAAACGTAGGTCTTGATTTGTTATTCCAGAGCCTTCTCTGTGAGCCGCCCAACACACTTCATAGCTACCCAGCTTCTAAGGGCTTCTTTAGCCTTAGACACTATTGAACGGGTGTGACTTGGTGCAAGTTAACTGCTAGTCTGTCCAATCCCATCCTCATTGCTGCTGTGAACAACTTCTGAGCGTGCCAAGGCCTCGTTAGTTAGAGGAAAGCAATACCTGATTAGCCAACTTACCCAGGTGGGCTAGTAAAAGGCCTTTTTTCTGTCGGTCGTGGGGCTTGAACTCTGGGCCTGGGAGCTGTCCCTTAGTTCTTCAGCTCAAGGCGAGTGCTCTACCACTTGAGCCACAGCGCCACTTCTGGTTCTCTAGTGGTTAATTGGAGATAAGAGGCTCACAGACATTCCTGCTTGGGCTGGCTTTGAACCGCGATCCTCAAATCTCCGCCTTCTGAGTAGTTAGGATGACAGGCGTGAGCCACCGGCGCCCGGCAGTAAAAGTCCTTTTACTCCTCTAGAATAAAGGCACTCCTGAAAAAAGTTTGACAGTACAGTTGAACCAGTTTGGCTTTGCTATGAATTCCAACCATCTTGTAGAGATTAATCAACTGGATTGATGTATTTTCAAAGAGAAGACCGGGGCCAAGTCATCTTCTGTTCGTTTTGCAGAAAAATGTGCTGAGTACAGGCCAGGCTTGGTCCCAGTACTTCACCTTTGCATAGAAAATGTCAAGGATCATGTTGAATTGAACTTCTTTGAATAACAACGTATAGATGATAATAATAATAGTAATAGTAATAATAAATATTTTTAAAAAGCAAAAACAGATATGTCAAGGAAACATTTTGCTATACAAGCTGCTGTATGGTCTGTAGCCCTAGATTTTCAGGAAATTCTGACCCATCCACTTAGTTTCCATGAAGATAATGACTCAAAATGCACAGGACTCTGGAGACACTGAAAGGTATCAGAAGCCATTTGCCAGAAGCAGATGACGATGACTGGCATTGGTCTTAACCTGTTCTGGGCACCGCTCCTGAAGTAGCATCCTCATTGTTCCCACTCAGCAGAGACAGAAGAAGACCAGGATAGGGACCCTTATGTTAAGAGAGTTCTCAGGGGCCAAATGGCTCAGTGGTGGCAGGCTCCACCAGAAACGTCATCTTCCAGTGTTTCTCACGCTGAAGTCTGGAGACCGGCTGTCCTGCGGATGTGTGTTATTTTGTTTATAATGATTGAAATGCAGACCTCCTTGGAGTGGAAACCCCACATCATGACCAGTACGTGAGTGTCTGCGTTACATAGCCTAGGAGCGCGCCGCAGGGAATTCAGAGGCGGTCCTGCGAAGCAGGCTGGGGGTGGGTATGAAAAGCAACCGCTCCCGTAACTGCCGAGAAGTGGTACACATCACCTCCACCAGCTTGCCCCAGCCAGAGCGCAGGCCATGACCCCACGTACTTGGAGTGACCCTGCGTGACCCCGCGGAGTGCGTCCGTCCGTCCTTGTGGGCTCCGGGGAAGGTTTCCTCCGGGGCTGGGGTCACCGCAGAGCCTGCCTGTCCACCGGCCTTCCCAGAGGCTGCTGAGCTGGCCTAGGGGCCCTCGGCATCTCTGGGCTATTCCCCCGCACTCTACATCCCGTATGGTTTTTTTTCTTTCTTACAAAAGTGACAAAACGAGTTCCCTGGTTTTCACAAAGGAATGCCTTTTAAAACGTCAGCTGTGAGTCCCGGTGCTGCTGGCTTGGGTGAGGCACCACTCTGTTCGGGTGGGCCCTGTGCTGCTGGCTTGGGTGAGGCACCACTCTGTTCGGGTGGGTGTTTTTGGCAACGCTTTCCCTGCTCTTGTCCCTGTTGTGTGGGGATTCGCTCTGCTTTTCTCCTGGTGGTGACAGTGGAGCTCCCGCGGCTGTCACTTCCAGGCAAAACAGGAAAATGTGTGAAAGGCCAGATGAAATGCCTTTAATTTCCCGCCATAGAGTGAGAGATGACCCTCCAGATTTCAGATCTCCACCGTCGATACCGTTCGTGGGGTGTTCGTGGCAGGAGCTCCTCATCACACAGCTTTGGGGCTCTTCTCTGCTTCTCCCGTAAATGTGCTTTGTATTTATCTGGAATGAAGTTGACGCTCAGGGAGTCGGGTAGAAAATCAGTTTGTGAGAACCACGGACACAAATGCCATCAGCACCCTAAAGCTACCCCAGTGAGCACTACGTCTTTGGTGGCCACTTTGAAAGACTGACGCTCAGCGGCTCCCCCCGGGCCACGCGCCGGCCGGCCTGGACACCGCTGTTGTTTACTGACTGCTGCTGGGGCCTTCCTCCCTCTGAGGGAGAGAGGACCAACCTGGCCTCTGCCACCGTGCCAACAGCATCTGAAGGACAGAGCATGTGGCGATGCACGGGGCAGGGCGGGAGGTGGTGGCCCGGCCCGCCCTCCACTTCCCAGACAACTGGAAAGGGGCACGGAGATGACAAGGCTCTCGGATTCATGGGCCTCCTGTTTTGAATACCGATTTCCCAGAATCCAAGGGCATTTATGTGTTCTGAAGTATCGCCGCAGGCGTGGAAGCCCTCACTGAACGTAGTGAGCCTTTTGCATGCAGGGACCGTGGTGAAGGGAAGCGGGGTTCCTGCACCACAGGGTCACCTCCATCTGCCGGGCAGTCGGGGCTGGGCTAGAGGATGGAGCTGTCTGGGAACCTCGGACGGCCCCACTCCACACTGCGCCTTCCGCGGGTCTAGGCTCCTGCTGGCTGCCGGGGAACAATGACAGCGTGCAGGTAGCATGTGGAGTCGGGAGGGATGGGAGCGCAGACTCGCTTCCCGTGGGAGGCAGCGGGTGAGGCGCCCTGTCCCCGACTCCTCCACCCTCCGGTCTCACCCCGCTGCCTCTGTCTCCGGCGGTCGGGTCCTGCCCACGGCGCCCTCCTGAAAGTCTGAGGTGTGTCCGGTATGTTCTGCTACAGGTTCTGGATGTCCTGTGCTCCCTCTGTCTCTGCAACGGGGTTGCCATGAGAGCCAACCAGAACCTGATCTGTGACAACTTACTGCCCCAGAGAAACCTGCTCCTGCAGACGCGGCTGATCAATGACGTGACCAGGTGGGTCGCTACTGTCATCCACACCCGCGGACGGTTTCCCCTGCGTGCCCCCAGGAGGAGGCCCACTCTGGGCTTGAGTGGCCCACTGTTGTTTCCATGAAAACCCGCGTGTGTGGCACAGGCCCGGGCAGGTGTGAACGTTTTGTGAGGACCTCTTTGCAGAGCTTCTGGCTTCCTCCCTCCAGGCGCCTGAGTTTGAGGCTGTGGGAAAGTGGGCTGCCAGGCTTTATCTGGCACCCGCCCGCCCGCGCTGCAGGCTTTACATCACATATTCACGGTTTGCTAGAGCAGTGTCTTTTCTGAAATCTTGTAGTAGAAGGGGTGTCACACGTTGACACTTGGGTTGTTTGTATCCTCCGGCATACGGGCATTTGTTTGCCCGACTGCTACCTCTGTGAGCCAGGCTGGAGAGGCTGGTCGCAGGACCTACTGCCGGTCCACACGCAGCCACACTCGAGCTCTGTGCACTCACCAGGCCTGAGACCTGAGGATGTTCATCCTCTCATTGGGCAGAGCACACCTTCTGAGGTGCGGGGCGGCCTACAGACCCAAGTCGCCACCCAGACCCTCCTCCCTAGACAGCCCAGATTTCCCTTGCCATCCAGGAAGAGTCCATCTCGAAGACTTCACCCCAGACATATCTCTCGTGTGTGTTTTTCTGGCTGTGTTATTGAGCTTTGGTTTCACGTTGGGTTATGGTGGTGGTTTGGACACTGGCCTTGCTGTATTTCATAGACTGCCGTGACGCCACTGATCATGCTCTGCTTTTCACTGGTTATTTGACGGATAGGCCCTCATACCCCTCTCTGGCCCACAAGTGAGATGTGATCCACAGACTCAGGCTTCCTGCTGGGGTCACAGGTGGACACCACCACTCCACCTTCTCTTCTGTAGAGAGGTAGACTCGGGGCTGGCCTGAGTCTCAGCCTCCTATGACAGCCATGTGCCATCACAACCAGCTACGGGTTAACTAGGAATCTCATGAACGTTTCTGCCAGGGCTGGCCTTGAACCACATCCTCCTGTTCTCAGCCTTCAAACTAAGATTACAGGAATGAACCGCCAGTAAAACCAAAAAGTCAGACTACAAGGAGACGTCACTATAATTCCAGTTCCATTATGACAATTCCACAGTGTATAGCATACTTTGATCTTTATTATTCAATATCCTGTCCTTTTCCTCCCCCCATCCCTGCCAATGCTCTGTAGACAGAACCCTGTTCACTCCTGTCCTGTGACCACTATCATCACTTACGGTCTAGCTTCGATTGCAAACTCTTAAACAAGGCCAGGGGTGGTTGCTTTCATCAAGCCATAGGTAAGAGGATCTCACTTCAAGGCCAGCCCCAGGGAAAAAAACTATGAGAACAACAAGCTAAAGCAAAACAGGACCAGAAGCAAGTATGAGGCCCTGAGCTCAGACGCCAGTACTCCAACTCCCCCTAACCCAAACCAAGACTCCCAAGCGTTTAACCATGCCGCCCAGTGTACTAATACCGCTTGCCCTTAACAAGCTTGTGGCTGGTAGCGACTTTTTAATGCTTTTAAGAGGCTGTTGGTATTAACAACGCTCAGGGGACAAAGCTGCGCTTTAGAAAATGAGGATGCTTAAATCAATTTAGCAGAAGATGGAACTTGAGTAATTTCTTTCACTTACAGAAAGACTGTACAGCTCTGGGTAGTGTCTCAGCACCATTGCCTGTAGTTGGCATGCATAAGTATGTTGCCTGGAGTAGGATTTTCAGAGCCATCCTCCATGTTTCATAATGGAGTTGTGCGGTCCTGATTCTTCCCGCAGAGAACCCGACCGTGTGCTGAGGGCTCTAAGGCTTTTCTGCTTTTGAACAACGGCTAACACCTACGCTTGTTCTCGCCCGAGGTCCGGTTGGGCCAGGGCCTTCGGTAGAGTCTGCCCCAACTTGTTTTTTCCAGTTGTTCATCGTCTCTGGGTGACGGCTGTCTGGTGTTTAATTTCAGTATCCGGCCCAACATCTTCCTGGGAGTTGCCGAGGGCTCAGCCCAGTATAAGAAGTGGTACTTTGAGCTGATTATCGACCAGGTGGACCCCTTCCTGACAGCGGAGCCCACGCACCTGCGGGTGGGCTGGGCATCGTCCCCAGGCTACGCCCCGTACCCCGGAGGCGGGGAAGGATGGGGGGGCAATGGTGTGGGCGACGACTTGCACTCCTACGGCTTCGACGGACTTCACCTTTGGTCAGGTGAGTGCCCCCCAAAGGCCCGGCCTCTGACCTCTCCCCCAAAACCACGGAGTCTCAGATTGCTCACGCTGAACATGTCACTGTCTGGTGAAACAATACAGATTTATGAGTCTCAGAGTATTAGGTTTAATACAGCACTACTTTGACTAGTCGTCGGTACTTGGTCCACAGCATATCATGTGACTTGAGCTCAGGCTCTCTATTGGTAAAAACCTTGATCACATAGGATTGTTGTGATTTCATGAATAAACAGACGCTTAGCTTTCTTTACCAGGCCGTAAGCTTTTTTTTCTCATTTTCTCATCCTTTTATTCATAGACTTTCATAGAAGAAAGAAAGGTTTCTGGAGCTTAGCATATCTAAACTCCACACCATGAGCTGGGAAGAATCAGTCTCCTTAAAGAAATTAGAAACACGTCAAACCTGCATACTGTTCACGTTTGACTTCATTGTTTGTTTGTTTAATATTGCTGTGGGTCCTATAACGAGGAACTTATTCCTCATTCTCTGCAGCGAAGTAAAGTACTAAAGCTTCACGCATAGACTCCTAGACCACACTCAACAAACTGGTCAGTGTGCACCGCGCGCATTCTAGGCGGGGTACTCCTCCTCGACAGACAGCCTGCGTTCCGTGCGCCTCCCTGGCTTGGCTGGCCACTCACGCCGGACCCAGTGTTCATGGACCCTACTCCAGCCTGACGAGCTCTGCCAGTGGCAACTTTGTCATTCATTCCTTTGCGCTTTTCTTTCTGGTTTGTCCACTTCATGTTCTGAATTCCCAGACTGACATGACACCCTCCTTATCTCTAGAAAGCAACCTTTGTACCTCCGTTCCAGTGTTTACCCGGTAGCCTTGTAAGGTTTCTTGGTTGTTCATTCCCATCTATGGACTCCTCAGGGGCAAGAACCTTGGCCTATGTTTGGTTTTATTTAAGAAGGATATGATACTTTCAATCTTTCAGTCCACTGATAACAGTGAACAGTTTTAAGCTGAGATGAGAACTATTACCAAAGATTGGCATATAGCTCCCATACCCATCAGGTGAAAATTTTTTAATTACCTTTTGGTGACTTATTATGAAGCCATTACAATCCAGTACTAATGAATAGTTTATGAGAGATATTTTAGTAGGAAAAAATGATAAAGCCTGCATATCCCAGTTTGGTTAAAAATCTGTAGGTATGCATGCATGTACTTTACCAGAAACATTTTGTGGACCTTTTTTCTTTTTTTATACTTTTCTGTATACATTATGAACATTTGTAAGAAACATATGTTTTGCAATCAAGAAATAAGGTGTCTTGCATCTTTGTCACCCTACTAAATCTGACGTTAAAGTTCTTAAAAACCAATGAGCTGGCCAGGCTGCGCGGTGGTATCTGACCACTTGCCGGCCTCTGTGGCTTCTCCCGCAGGGATAGAGTGGCCACATCTTCTTTTTCCCTGGTGGCTTCAAGAAACAAACCAGGGCTTTGGGCAAGTACTGTGCTGCTGGACTAGATCCCCGGCCCTTGTTTTTGAGAGATTCTCATGATGTAGCCCAGGCTGGCTTTCGGCCCCCTACCCCACCCCACCCTCTCAAGCACTAGAATCCCTGCCAAGTGCCCGCACGCTGCTCTGGCTGTATGTTTTTGGGGATGTAGAAGGCAGCAAGGCCTTTGAGTATGAATGGTGGAGCAGATACACGTACCCCTGCCTCCGGTGAGCTTCACCCAGCGAAAGCAGTATCTGTCAGGCACGATGCCTGCTCTCTCTTCAACTTAGAAATACTTTCTCAGTGTTCATATCACAAAGCAGTGCTTCAAATGTGTTGGCCCCTCCCAGCCTCCGACGTGCCCGCTGTACCCCCCACCTCCCCGTGGTGGCCGCTGGGTCTCCCCCTCCCCGTGGGCATCCCCAGGGTCCTCCATTCCTCTTCCTGTGCTGTGCCCACCAGGACGGATACCCAGAGCGGTCGCCTCCATCAACCAGCACCTGCTGAGGTCAGACGACGTGGTGAGCTGCTGCCTGGACCTGGGGGTGCCCAGCATCTCCTTCCGCATCAACGGGCAGCCGGTCCAGGGGATGTTTGAGAACTTCAGCACCGACGGGCTCTTCTTCCCCGTGATGAGCTTCTCAGCCGGCGTCAAGTAAGTTACTTCCGGGTCACAGGAAGTGGCCCGGCTTCCTCTGCGGGTTCCATGAGCCCAACCACCCTGGAAGGTCGGCATGTGACAGCCAGACCGCGTGCTCAGGGCTGGCTGAACAGCCACCTCCCCTGCAGGGTCCTGTGACATTCCCAGATACGGCACGTAGTGAGATAAATTCTGTGCAGAAAACTAATAGTTACGAGAGCATTGCGTGTTTATTTGAAGAGAAAATCTTGAAAGGTTTAAGTAGCGCAGTAAACATCCCCTTTGAGTCTGATGCTTACCAGTAATTGTCATTACTATTTTGACGTATTTTCTCCAAGTCTTTTTTCACATGAATATGTACATTCTTCTTAAATGGCAATCACAGTGAGTATGAAGTTTTATGTCTTGTTTTGGATTCGGCAGTACGTTACAAGCCTTTTCCTAAGCCCTTAGGGATCTTCGAAATGACATTTTATGACCAAATTATGTCCCTTTATTTGGCTGCTCCATAAATAACCATTCAAATTCCATTTCTATTGCTGTAAATAAAATCACCACGAACATGCCTGCATATAAATCCTCTTCTGAACTTAGTTTGTTCTTCCTAGAAGGTCAGAAATATATACTGAACTTTTTTAAAGTCCCAGTTGATGGTTATGCAGCCAAACTGATTTTCGGAAAACTGTCTGAAATTTCAGAATTTATTGTCAACAGTTGAACCCTCTATGAGGCTCTAAAAAGCCATAAATTCCTTCATAATTTACTTTACAGTAAATCTGGCCCCAACAGAAATAAAATTTTCAGTCTATCATCGATCCTACCTCTTGCTATTGGTTTGTTTAGTTGCAGAGATAATGTGTGGCTTGTTGTAGGATACTGACCCTCATCTGGCTTCGGGTTCTGCCTAATGTGTGTATATGCAGCATATACTTTCTTATTTTCTTTTTTCAACTCCCAAGAATTCCAAGGTCTATATATTTCAGGTAAAGAATTTGGACCTAGCCTGTCATTTAGAGCAGTACATGGAAAGGCCCGGCTGGCTGAGCGCTTCTTAACTCTTCCTGCCCTCAGTGTTTTCCTTTTTTATTTTTTTTCTAAACAGTTGGAATCCAGGGCCTCAACCTCTTCCATGGGAGCCACACCTCCAGCCCTTTTTGTTCTGGCTACTTTTTAGATAGGGCTTTATTTTTTGCGAGGGCTGACCCCAACAGCCTAGTATGACACACGCATGCCACAGCCCAGCCACGGTTGAGATGGAGTCTTGCAGACGTTTTGCCTGGGGGCCTAGGCCTGCCGTCTCTGATCTTAGCCCCTCCCCCCATCCACTGCAGAGAAAGATGCTCAGGCTGGCCTCAAACTTCAACCCTCCTGATCTCTACTTCCCAAGTAGCTAGGATAACAGGCCTGAGCCTGTACCCAGCTTGTACTTTGACCGTCTTAACCATTCGTTCATTTTTCCTGTTTCCCTTAAAACACTGAGATAGGACTTTCGTATCTATGGCTTTTTTTTTTAGGGTGGGGAATGGGGCTCTTTTGGAATCCTCTCCTGCAAAGAATAACTGGATGATGTAGGTGATTAAATGTCTTCTGTGTGGGTCAACAAGTCGTGCTATTTTTAGAGCAAACTGAGAAGCAACGTTGTCCAGATAAAAGAAATGCAGCCTCCGTCTGTCAGCCACAGCTGCTGAGAGAGTAGAAGGAAGGAGAGCCGTTAGGAAGCTGGAGGTGCACGTGCTGATTTGGTCCCAGCTTAGTTCTGGCTGTGCTGGGCTTGCGGCTGTGCAGGGGTCACTGAGAAGCAGCCCTGATGCGGCTCAGCTTGCCCCAGGAAGCGCTCACTCTGACGCATTGCTGCCTCTGCTTCAGAGAGGAAGGAGCACTGCCCGCAGAACTGGAGCAGGTGAACGCTGGCCTGAACCCCACACCTCACAGACGCCACGCCCTGTCCCGTCAGGGCCAGCCTGCCCTGCAGACAGCGAACGCTCCCCATAAACCAGCACCTCACAGACGCCACGCCCTGTCCCGTCAGGGCCAGCCTGCCCTGCAGACAGCGAACGCTCCCCATAAACCAGCACCTCGCAGACGCCACGCCCTGTCCCGTCAGGGCCAGCCCGCCCTGCAGACAGCGAACGCTCCCCATAAACCAGCACCTCACAGACACCACGCCCTGTCCCGTCAGGGCCAGCCTGCCCTGCAGACAGCGAACGCTCCCCATAAACCAGCACCTCACAGACACCACGCCCTGTCCCGTCAGGGCCAGCCTGCCCTGCAGACAGCGAACGCTCCCCATAAACCAGCACTCCCTCCCAGCCCATCCAGGGAAGGCTGGTTCAGTGCTCACACCCACTTCTTCTCCTTATTACTTTGTTCGGTTATGGAAAAAAGTAGAAAAAAATGAGATACTAATTCCTAGTGAATTAAAACTCCTACTGAACAGAAATGTCTCAGTGATAACTGCGTGTGTCATAGTGCAGGGCTTGAACTTGGGGCCCGGGCACTGTCCTTTACCTTTTTTTCCTCAGCACTAGCATTTTACTACTTGACCCGCAGCTTTCTGACTTTCTAGTGGTTACTTGGTGACAATAGGCTTATGGGCTTTTCTGCCTAGGCTGGCCTTGAACTGCAGTCCTCCTACCTCAGCCTCAGAGTAGCTGGGACTGTGGAAGTGAGCCATCGGTTCCGGCTCTTCATGACAATTTTTTAGATTTATGTTTCGCCCGCCCTTGTCAGGTTTGCGTTGCCCGTCCAGACAGTCTTTCTCCATCATGGAGAGCTCAGAATCTTCTCTTGTAGTCGCTTCTACCTTCTGTGCGGCTCTGGCTTCTATTTCCCATCGTCCTATCGCTGTCAATTTCATGGCCTTTGACAAGACCATGGTTTTAAACTTTTAGTAATTATTTTCCTCTTTACAAACTCTGTTGTTATAATACCTGACAAGATGTCGACCAACAGTCGTCACAGAGTGAGGCCACAGGAGGAGCGAAACTCTGGTTCGGTTCGGTTTCCCCAGAGCCAGAGTCAGCGTAGTAACTGCTGACTGGACCGCGCATCAGCATGCGCCCTCCTGGCTAGCTGGCCTGAGAGCCTCTGTGGCTGTCTTCTCTGCATTACAGGTGTAGCACCTGAGGGACAGCCCTGCTCAGTATGCAACAGAAGTGGGTATGAGACACGTACACCTTGGCACCCACCAAAAGGGCTCGGATGCCAAGAAGCCCTTATTAAAAATAAAAAGGGGCCAGCTGCCAGTGGCTCACACCCGAAATCCTAGCTCTTCAGGAGGTTGAGATCAGAAGATCATGGTTCAAAGCCAGCCCAGGAAGGAAACTCTGCGAGACTCTTACCTCAAACAAACTACTCCAAAAAGCTGGAAGTAGAGTTGTAGCGCAAGTGGTAGAGTGTTCACCTTGAGCAAAAGCAGCACAGGGACAGAACCCAGCCCCAGGACTGGCAAAAAAAATAATGGATCATTGTGTCATCCCTGCCCGTCATCAGCAAATGGGACACGGACATCTCGTGGGAAGCCGCAGACGCTGGTGGGACTTGGGGGCCACTTCATGTTTTGAAGAACGGGGTATTTTCTAGAGGAGAATATATTTTACAGCTACAAACTCCTCAAAACCAGTTTATTCATCTTCCATGACCCTGTTACCAGCCCCTTCTAATTTAAAAACAACCATGTCCTAAAACACGTGGTGTCTGGGGTTGCCGTTGGCTTTTTACCGGTATACCCCAGACTTGGCTGGTGTTCAGGTACCCAGCAGCTTTGCTGTGGTCAATGCTGTAGAAATTATTGCTGCAGTAAATACGCTTCTGTAGAGAGCAGCGTGGAGCTGGCTGGCTGGCAATAAGACCTCAGGCTGTCCTTCAGTCTTAGTGACACAGACTAGAGGTGTGATGAGGAGCCATGACTGACTGACTAAGCTCGGGTCAGCAAGGCTTGGACCTCTCTCCACAGCTGCCCCCTGGTCTCTTTTGGAGCATTGTCCCAGCTCTTCCAGAAGGGTTCAGTGAGCACAAGGAGACCTCCGGGAAGACTGACCTGATTCCATGTTTGCTAGTGATCTGTGAATGATGGAAGGGAAACTCACCTGTGCTGAAATTCAGGGATCAGTCTTGTAAATCTGAGTAGTCATAGCCCTTTCTACAAGTTAGTAAGCAAAAATGAACAAGACTCAGAAGAGGAAGTTAAAAACACTAATGGAATTTATTCTCCTATGAGCCCGGTAAGTAAACGTCACACATCGCCAGACTTCTGTGCTTTGTAGGCCCCTCCCTGTTCCTCTGGGAAGTGAACGCTTCATGAGAAAACAACTCTTCTAGTGTGAAGCATCTGACTTGGAGGAGGCCCTCGGGTGACACAGGAGACAGGGAGTTGATGAAGGAAATTGTTTTTAAAGTCTGAGGATCAAAAACAACTAATTCAGGCTCACACCCTTCGTCCTAGGTTAAAAAAAAGTGTAGGACAATCATGGTCTAACCCTAAACCAGATAAAAATGCAAGATCCTACCTAAAAAAAGAAGAAGAGGTAGAGCCCCGCTCAGCAAACCCCACAAACACACACAGAAGGAAGGGAACGGTGGGGAAGATCAAGGGCTCCGTTTTCACATTCTCTGTGCTTTGAGTTTAACGTTTGTTGGAAGCTGGGAAACTCAGCGAGAAGGAAGGAGAGGACCGTGGAGGCTGATTGCAGGGCCGCGTGGGTGGGGGGAGCTTGCCGAACGCTGGGTGTCAGGTAGAGTGTGTGTTAAGTGATACAGACGAGGTAGTTCTGCTGCTTCTCTTTGTACCCCATAAACGCATTCCCTGGACTCCTGAGTTGGTGGGTGGGTCCAGTAGCTTTTACTGCTCCTTTACGAGAAACAGCCTTGTCAGTCATCTAAGAGGCCAGTCTATTTGACCATAGAACGCGGTCGCGTCCATCACGGTGGCAGCCCTTGCCCATCTTGGGCTGGAGTGTGAGGCAGTTTGTCCCCTCCAGTTCTGGCTCTGCCCCCGACCTGTCCTGGAGCTCTGGAGTTGCGTCCGGGAGGCGTGGCTGGTGCACGGGCAGGCCTTGTGGCGTTGGACGGGCAGGCCTTGTGGCGTTGGACGGGCAGGCTTTGTGGCGTTGGATGGGCAGGCCTTGTGGCGTTGGACGGGCAGGCCTTGTGGCGTTGGACGGGCAGGCCTTGTGGCGTTGGAGGGGTGGTGCACGGGCAGGCCTTGTGGCGTTGGACGGGCAGGCCTTGTGGCGTTGGACGGGCAGGCCTTGTGGCGTTGGACGGGCAGGCCTTGTGGCGTTGGACGGGCAGGCCTTGTGGCGTTGGACGGGCAGGCCTTGTGGCGTTGGACAGGCAGGCCTTGTGGCGTTGGCAGGTGGCCTGTGGCACTGGGCGGTTTGTGGCAGTTGCTGCAATTGTTGTCTTTGTCATTGGGGGTTCTTCCGTAGTTTTCCCCAGTGAGCAGCAGCCTGTGGCATCTGGAACTGCGATTCCCAGTCCTGCGGCTGCTCCCTGTTCCCAGTGCTCAGCTCCCCCACCCCGGGGCTTCCGGCCTTTACTTCTAGTCGACCTGCGGAGGGCGGAGCCTTTCCTGGGCCCCTGCCTGCCTCTCCAGGGCGGCATCTGGCCTTACACTCCCTGGAGGGGATAGTCCCTTTTTTGCTCTCTTGTTGCTCTCCCGGGCAAATGTATCCTTTGCTAGCTTCCGGAGGCTCGCTGTGTTCTGAGCAGCCTGACGCCTCCTCGGGAGCCGTCTCCTTCCCCAAACACCCTTCCTGGGTACAGGGCACGGGTGGCCGGCAAGGCTGAGGCCCCTGCTGTGAACTTTTTGGTGTCTTCTGCACAGCAGGTCCAGCAGCTCCATTTGGAATGCCAAGGTAAGTTGGCCTCCGAGTTATGGATTCATGGATCTGCCTTCGGGCTTCTTGCAAGAATCAGCTAACTTGAGCGCCAGACACCAGCCATCTCTTGGCCTTTTGGCTAAGATCAAGGGCAATATCTCCAATAACTAAGATGGGTGTCTGGCATTTCTTTTCCTTCTTTTAAGAGTTTCCTTCAAACTTACACTTTACCCCTAGTGATTTCTTCCTAAATAAATAAGTCTGCATCCCCCATGGCGGTCAGGAGGAACCCCACAGTTCTGGTAGCCGCTGTGTGACCCGGCAGCCCTCTCTGGTGGTGAGGGAGAGGGGCCCAGGGCCAGGCCAGTCCATCCACCAGCTGGGATAGGGACTCTAATCCGGCAGGACTCTGGGTTGTCTTCCACCCAGTGGAGCACAACGAAATCGGCTTTGAAGACAGACGCCTCAGTAAGCAGTAAACATGGACTTCTGCCAGAGTTAAATTTTCATTTTAGAGATTCGGGGCCCATTAGAGGAGAGAAAATTTATAACCGAATCATTGCTCTCATTTTAATAACAGAATACAATCGCAGAAAACATTGTTCTCTTTAAACGAGACATGAAACACTACCTGTCTTGATTTGTTACCTACCCAGCAGATCTTTCAGTGTTAAGGAATTATCTAAACGAAGCCCTGCTGGCAAGAAAGCACACAGATGAATCATTAAGTCCATCTAGAAGTTCTGTGTAGATGTTTCTGGAACTCAACACTAGTAACAGGACGCACTTGCTACAAGTCTTCGGCTTCTCACAGGCAGTCTGCTCAATGAGAAGAGAGAGCCAGAACTCTTCCCACACTAATGCTTTGCTTGAAAAGATCCAGTTTTATCCTGAGGTTGCAGCACGTCAATTATACAATCCTTTATGTTGCAGTTGAATCTGGAAAGTTCTCAGCAAATAATCCTCAGGCTTAGTCACGATTTCCTGAAGGCTCCCTAGGTCAGCAACACTGCAGGCTAATGACAGTTTCATTTTAGCGTCTTGTGAATGTTCGTGTCCTTAGTGTGTAAGTACAGATCATGCTCCATTACGTAACACGAGGCAGGCACGCTGCGGGAGGGGCATCCTGGTTCCGATTCTGTGTCATGGTGTTTGGAAATTTAAAAGGGCAAAGTAGGAGGCTCCATGCGATCTCTTTAATGAATTTAAAACAGCAGTGTGTAAGAATGCTATTTGGATAAAGCATTCTCATTGAGAACGTGTCTCACTTGGAGAGATCTTTATTTTCCAGTTTCATAATTAGGATTTTTCCATAATCATACTTACACAGCCAACATTGAGCCTTCTTTGCAAGGCTACATTTCCAGAATGTTCCAGTTAAAGGAAGAAGGGCCTAGTTAGAAATGGCCTTTCTCCCTATGCATCACCTCTTACACACACACACACATGCACACACATGCATGCACACTCATGCACACAAATGCATGCACGCACACATGCACGCACACATGCACGCACACATGCATGCACACACATGCACACACGCATACACATGCATGCACGCACATGCACACCCGCATGCACACACATGCACACGCACACATGCACACACACATACACACACACACACACACTAATGGCTGCAATTGGGCTGGGAAGGTGGCTCAGTGGTAGAGCGCTTGCTTTGCATGCATGAGGCCCTGGGTTCGATTCCCCAGCACCACATAAGCAAAAAGAAAAAAAAAAAAAACTAATGGCTGCAATTCCTGCCCATCCCAGCTCCAACACAAAGCTGGCCCCTGTCGCGGCCTCCCACCCTCTGGCACTGGGACTGTCCCATGACTGTGCATCTGTGCAGACATGTGGGATTGTGTGGATAAGCAAATGCTTGTTAATGGCAAGAGCAGAAGAATGGACAGATGTTGTCTGCTGACCCTGTGTGACCCTGTGAGGTCACTGTCCACCGCTGACCCTGTGTGACCCTGTGAGGTCACTGTCCACCGCTGACCCTGTGTGACCCTGTGAGGTCACTGTCTGCTGACCCTGTATGACCCTGTGAGGTCACTGTCCACCGCTGACCCTGTGTGACCCTGTGAGGTCACTGTCTGCTGGCCCTGTGTGACCCTGTGAGGTCACTGTCCACCGCTGACCCTGTGTGACCCTGTGAGGTCACTGTCCACCGCTGACCCTGTGTGACCCTGTGAGGTCACTGTCCACCACTGACCCTGTGTGACCCTGTGAGGTCACTGTCTGCTGACCCTGTGTGACCCTGTGAGGTCACTGTCTGCTGACCCTGTGTGACCCTGTGAGGTCACTGTCTGCTGACCCTGTGTGACCCTGTGAGGTCACTGTCCACCACTGACCCTGTGTGACCCTGTGAGGTCACTGTCGACCTGCTGACCCTGTGTGACCCTGTGAGGTCACTGTCTGCTGGCCCTGTGTGACCCTGTGAGGTCACTGTCCACCGCTGACCCTGTGTGACCCTGTGAGGTCACTGTCCACCGCTGACCCTGTGTGACCCTGTGAGGTCACTGTCTGCTGACCCTGTGTGACCCTGTGAGGTCACTGTCCACCGCTGACCCTGTGTGACCCTGTGAGGTCACTGTCTGCTGACCCTGTGTGACCCTGTGAGGTCACTGTCCACCGCTGACCCTGTGTGACCCTGTGAGGTCACTGTCGATCTGCAGGTCCGCCTGTCTTGCCCTGTTTTAAGTTCTTGGCACAGTGATCATATTTTCTCGTCACCTTGCGGGGGTTTGTGTGTGTTTGGTTTTTGGTAGTCGTGTTGGGGATTGAACTTGGGGCCTTGGGCTCGCTAGACATACTCTACTGCTTGAGCCACAGCCCACAAAGGCCTTTTGCTTTTAGTTTGTGTTTCAGGGTCTTACGTTTTTGTCCAAGCTGGCCTTGAACCAAGATCCTTCTACCTCTAGCCTTTCAAGTAGCTGTGGCCACAGGCATGTTGGCTTGTTTTGAGATAAGATCTTGCCTGAGCTAGTCACAAACCACAGTCGTGCAATCTCCAGCTCCAGTAGCTAAGATTACAGGTATGACCACCATGCCCAGCTTCTAATCACTTTAATGTGGTTGCGGTTGATTTGTGGAAGCTCCAGTTGTAGTTATAAATCTTGACGCATACGTTGGATCATTTTGAAATAGCTCTCTTTTGCGTTCTCCTCCTTACTGGTGAAACTTCAGGGTTTAACTTTAATTCTAACCTAACATATGGGTGGATGGTTGGTTGGCTGGCTGGCTGCCTGGATAGACGAATGGATGGACACTGGAATACTTCCGTGGGACAGTAACTAGTGCCTGTGCCCTTGATTGGAGTCCCTGGAGGCCTTTCTCCTGCGGTGGAGATCCCGGAGCTGGCCACGCTGGCCACTGCAGCCTCCACCTCTGCGCCCCCCTCCTGTGGCCGCGTTAGGGAATTGCAGCCTCTTCCGTGGGTCATTGCTGTCCCTTCACCTGCTACACAGGCCCCTTACTACATATCTCCGTCTGGATATACAATTTCCTACGTTCTTTGTCATTACAGTATGCTTTTCTTTTATATGTGGATAATTTCACTCAAGGAGACATGAAGTTCTGGCAGTTGAGCCTGATTGTAACCCAGTAATATTGTTATTACTGCTCTTTCCGGTGTGGTAGTACTATCGATAGTGACTGTTAGGAACCTCGCGGTGCTGTACATGAGTAAATCCCAAGAGCATAGCTGATGTGAACATCCGGTCATGGTACTGGGCTCTCGGTTACCTCTCTACTGCTTCTTACCTATCTTTGGTGGGCCCTGTTCAGTCCCCTTCTGACAGATGACTTGGGGAGTCTTTCACTTGAGTTTGGACACATTTTGACTTTCAATTTCTGGTCTCTTCGAATGACAGAGTGCGTTTCCTGATGGGTGGACGCCATGGGGAATTTAAGTTTCTGCCTCCCTCTGGGTATGCCCCGTGCTATGAAGCCTTGCTCCCGAAAGAGAGGCTGAGACTGGAGGCTGTGAAGGAGTACAAGCGCGATACGGGCGGCGTCCGCGACCTCCTGGGCACCACGCAGCTCCTCTCCCACGCCTCCTTCACCCCGTGTCCGGTTGACACCAGTCAGGTAGGCTCCAAGGGCCGGACACCAAGCCTCACAGGGCGTGGCAGGGTGAGCGCTGGCGTGGCGGGGTGAGCGCCGGCGTGGCGGGGTGAGCGCCGGCGTCTCTCTGTCTTTGAGCTGTTCTTACGAAGTGTTCTGTAGAATCGTGTGGTGTGAATCGCTGTTCTTTGCCCTTGCAACTCGTGTATTGATTGAGTTTGTTAGGTTTGTCTCCCAGTAGACATGTTGAGTGCCTGTGCGATGCAAGGCATTGCACTCCCTGAACGATAGGGAAGAAATGTAACGGCAGCGAGAAACTACAGCCAAATTGAAGAGGTGAGGAGCAAATATGTTATTATTTAAGGCCAGGAATGATGAATGCAAACTGAGCAGTATGCACAAGTAAGTTCATACTGCACCCTGCTAGTGTGTTTCTAGAAGTCCGTAGACAAACGGCGCTCAGTCAGGGCCCCTGCTGGGCTTACGTGGGGAGAGACATCTGGGGTACGAGAGGATATTAGGAAGGAAAGTAGGGGCAGGTGGCTGAGTCTCCGGTGGCTGGACATTTGGGGAGGGAGGAACATGCTGGAGCAGGACGGAAAATAAAACTGAAAAGTTAGGATGGTGCAGCGGGCGGGTGCTGTTGTGTGGTGGGAGACATGCACTCAGAGTCTGGCGGGAACCCCCAGCATCCCAGCTGTACGCACGGAAATGGGTGAGGACGGAAGGACCTCGAGGCAGCGTGTGACAGCTTATATGAGTCATTTCAGCATGCAGAACGTTCTGGTGTGTATTTCCTTACACTCATGCGAGCTCATTATATTCAACTGTGCTGCTTTTACCCTGTGGAGCAGCAAAGTAAAGTTGGGGGGAGATGGGGAGCCCTTCACCGGGAAGACCACGCAACACAGACATCTGCAGAGAAGGGCTGGCCAGAGGCTGCAGGCGCAGAAGGGCTGGAGGCCGGGGGGCGGAGCGGGGGGGTGCGTGGTGCTCTCACGGCGGAGCACTGAGCCCTGGGGACTCTGCAGTAGATCCTGACATAATTGCTTCTGCTTTCCACTTTCTCCTTTTCCTTCAGGTTGTTTTACCACCTCACCTGGAGAAGATCCGAGACAGACTGGCCGAAAACATCCACGAGCTTTGGGGAATGAATAAAATAGAACTCGGCTGGACTTTCGGCAAAGTACGTATTTCAGGGTGGAGGACTAGAGTCGGGTTTCCCAAGGGGTTCTTGAAGGACTGCTGAGGATGGGAACTCTGCCAGCTTCCAGGCCCACTCTCCTCTCCTACCATCCGGCTGGCTTTCGCGACATTCAGAAGCAAGCTTTTACTGTCTGTCCATGGCAGGAGCCCTGGAGACCTAGCTCTTCACAGCCAGTGTCCATCTCCTGTCTCCCCTCAAGTTCTGACTGCTTTATTGGGGAAATACGGGGTTCATACCTCCACGTCTCCCATTCAGAAAAAAGCCACTGTCTTTGCGTGGGTGGTAATAGCCCACTGATTCATTGTCTTGAATCTGAAATTGTTGAACATGGCTTTCAGATGTAGCGTGAAGATTAATGGACACTCAAGGGAGGTTAGATAATCCCTCACTAGAGAACATTTTTCAGAGAAAATGTAAATTGACTTTGCTCTGTGATTTGTATAAGGTCATGTCTAAAGATGGAAAGCGGTGAGTTCTGTAGATTCCTGTGACCCTGCTCTCTCAGATGATGCATAGTCCTCTTAGCTGCGGCTTGTCCCTCAACAGTTATTGTGTGGATAATCATTTATAATCATTTATAATCACCCCTCTACCACGTGAGCCTGTAGCACCACAAGCCTCTTCCTTTAGAAGATGTGGCACAGTTGCAATTTTAGATTTAACCTCACAAATATTACTACTTCCTACATCATTGGGCGGTTTATTCATGAGGTGTGCTACCTGTGCTCAACAGTTGATCTCCTGACTGTGATAATGTTCAGACGGATGTAGATCCAGCAAGCATTGGATGGATGAGCCATGCTCTCATTCAGTGCAATCGCACAAGCCCCATGGGGCTATGAAGCATTAGAAAAGTGGCTAATCTGGATTGAGATTTGAGAATGTCAAGTCCACACTGGATTCTAAGGACTTAGTGTGAACAAAAATAATACAAACTATCTCCTAAAAATTCTTGCCTGGCTATCTGTTAAACTAGTAATAAGTCATATACCCTGCTAATATTAATTACACCTATTTTTCTTTTTTCTAATGTGGCTTCTAAAGATACAAATTTGGTTCACCTTTGTGTCTGACTGCATTTCTGGCACATGCTGGTCAGGATTCTGTAGTTCCTCACATCCTGGAGCAGGCCACCTTTCAGTAAATGATGGTGTCATGAGTTTTGAGCACAGAGAAGCTGGACCTCTCAGGACGTGTGTCCTAAATGCAGACGCCTGTCTAGAAATAAAGCCACAGAGCACAAGCTGTTGGCAACTTGGGGCCCGGGAGCCACGTACTGGAGACAAGGTTGTTGGTTCACCTGTCAGCATGGGGCTGTCTTTTGCCAAGTATGGATTTCCTGGACCAGGATCCAAGGGAATGCATGCCTGGTTCCCGGTGCAGTGCCAGCGGTCCAACATGCATTACATGTTCTTGTCTCCTAGATACGGGATGACAATAAAAGACAGCACCCCTGCCTTGTGGAGTTTTCAAAGCTTCCTGAAACTGAGAAGAATTACAACCTACAGATGTCGACTGAAACCTTAAAGTGAGTGCTTAACTGACTTGAAGTTTGACTGAACAGTGAGTCTATCATTTAATACTTCTAAGCCAATCTGCAAAGGTACAGTGAGTCTATCATTTAATACTTCTAAGCCAATCTGCAAAGGTATGTCTCTTGTATGAAAATATAGGCTGATAAAATCACGTCACAAGAGGATCCCACATAGTGACCTCGTCCACCATTGTGACCTGGTGTGTATGGTCTCTGAAGAACTATAATTTGCTAGGAATGTGGAAAAGGTATAAGAGGCAGAGTAAAAGAAGAACAGTTTATATGAAATCAGGCCAAAAAAAAAAAAAAGATAAGTCATCTTGGAACCAATAGAAAACTTGGCCTGATTCACAAAAATTCAATTTTAAAACAGCTTTGAGCTTCTCCATGATCCCACGCTTGATCTTACCCAAGATCTCTTCTAGCCCAAGGTGATATCTCCCATTTTGAACTCCTTTTGTGCATATTGCCTGTTCTGTTTCTGTGCAGTGCAGAATGCTCTGACACTGCTTTGCGGATGTAACAGTGCTCTGTGAGGGCTTTGTCTCGAAGGCTCACCTATGGGATCCTCTCAGTTATGCGGATGTTTGTTGAGGGAATTGTATGTGGTAGTGTCGCACTTCAGAGCTTCACAGAGACAACTAACTGCAAGTCTTGCTGGCCTGTGGATTTGGTATTAGGATCCTATTTGTCTTGCAGAATTAGAAGTCAGCTATAACTCAGAATGAAGTTATAAACTAGAAGGTGTTTCTGAAGGCAACAATTTAAAACTTCCCTTTTGTGTTTTTTGCTCACTGTCATCTACCTCTTCTAGAAGCTAGCAAATTATGGCCCCTGCAGTAATCAGACCAGCCACCTAGTTGCATAAAATAGAATTTTATTATTGCAAAGCCAAGCTCATAGGTTATGTCCTATTTATATAAAATAAAATTTTATTATTGTATAGCCAAGTTCATTGGTTTATGTCTTATCTAAGGCTGCTCTTTCCTTCATAGCGGCCCCTAAATAGTGTGTCCACAGACTGCGCACTGTCTGGCCACTGCAGCAAACATGTGCTAGCCATCAGTCTGAAGGAATGCCTGTTGTCTTTTTTTTTTCAGTCGTGGGGCCTGAACTCTGGGCCTGGGCGCTGTCCCTCAGCTCTTCAGCTCAAGGCGAGCGCTCTACCACTTGAGCCACAGCACCACTTCCGGTTTTCTGGTAGTTTATTGGAGATAAGAGTCTTAGACTTTCCTGCCTGGGCTGGTTTTGAACCATGATCCTCAGATCTCAGCCTCCTGCGTAGCTAGGATGACAGGCGTGAGCCACGGCGCCCGGCCTGTTGCCGTTTTTATCAGCTCAAATGTGTGTCAGGCTCTTGCTGTCCTTTGTTTTAGAGTTGACCGTGGTCTTCTTCCTCTGTTGTGTCACAGAACCCTCCTGGCCCTGGGCTGCCACATTGCTCACGTTAACCCAGCCGCGGAGGAGGAGCTCAAGAAGGTCAAGCTGCCCAAGAAGTAGGTGAACTTTCTAACGGGTCAGGACTTCAATGCTTCAGTCTCAGTTCCTACACCCAGAGTCGGAAGTCAACAGCCCCAGTAGGGGCTGACGCCAGCTCCTGTTATTCCCCTCAACAGACCCCAGGTCTCACACTACTCAACAATTTCTTTCTTTTTCTTTTCTTTCTTCTTCCTTTTTCTTTTTTTGTTAGTCGTGGGGCTTGAACTCTGGGCCCTGGGCGCTGTCCCTCAGCTCTTCAGCTCAAGGCGAGCGCTCTCCCACTTGAGCCACAGCGCTATTTCTGGTCTTCTAGTGATTTATTGGAGATCAGAGTCTCACAGAGTTTCCTGTCCAGGCTGGCTTTGAACCGTGATCCTCAGATCTCCGCCTCCTGAGTAGCTAGGATCACAGGCGTGAGCCACCGGCGCCCGGCTTACTCAGCAGTTTCTGTAGAGAGTGAGCCCTGGTTGGCCGTCAACGTTTGTACCAGTCTGGATAGGCGCTGGTCCTGAGACTGTTGGCGGCTGGACTCTCTTCGCCACACGAGTGGTCAGCTGCTCTCCGGGCAGTCATACCACAGCTGGCCACAACCTTCTCGACTCACTGATGTATCTATCCAGGCTCTAACGTTTGCACATTATCTATTTCCAACATTTGAGGCTGTGACTCCTGGCATGGACAGCTGGCTGCTAAGGTCACTTCAGTATCTCAAATTCACTTGTGTTTCGTTTTTAATAATTCCAAATGTAAGGTTGAACATTCTAAGACTGAGTCGATCTGGTTGTAACTTCTTGCATTTTGGGATGAAAACCAGGTTGGAAGAGCGTCTGATAATGTGCCAGAATACTGAATCATTTGTTAAACATCTTTTCTGGGAAGTAAGGATGTGTGTGTACTGCCCATCTGTTTCTCCCACAGTCTCCTTTGAAATCTGTGCCAGAGAGAATGGTAGAATAGGGGCTTCATCTACAGACTTGAAATAGATGTGAGCTGCCAGCCAGTGAGGACGATGGGTGGAGAGACAGACATGAATGTATACATGCTTTTGCATTTCCTTGCAGCTTCATGATGTCTAACGGCTACAAACCAGCCCCTTTGGATTTGTCTGATGTGAAGCTCTTACCTCCTCAAGAAGTTTTAGTGGACAAGCTTGCAGAAAATGCACATAATGTTTGGGCAAAGGACAGAATTAAACAAGGGTGGACCTATGGCATTCAGCAGGTGAGGCGTGCCGGTGGTGCATGCTGGAGGGGTTAGATGTGACCATCCATCAAAATGCCCTTTTGCTTTGGAGAGGTATTAAGTTGGCAGGTGGGGGTGTCCTTGCAATGTCCCTTTCCCTGGAATGCATTTGTTATTTGTAGAATCATGGAGCCGATGGAATTTGTGAAGGTCGCCTTGGCATTGACTCCAGGCATAGCTTCAGCTTTGCAGAAATGTATAAGGTTTACCTTTCCCTCTGTTAAGGAAATGCACTTTACCCAGTAGCTATATTTCATCTCGTTATTGCTCACGCTGATTACACTGTAGAGAGTTGTGCTGCCCTCCAAGGCCAAGGTGTAAGGAACAGGTAAACATCATTCACCAGTGGTATTTTAGGGATGTCCTAAATATCTACTAATAAGAATATAAAGAGGGAAAAGCAGCCTGCCAAGGAGCCAGTGCCAAGGATTCCTGAGCAGAATTCCTGGCCTGAGCAGGAATTGACTTAAAAGACAAAGTTCATAGCCAGGGACACATCCCAATCTATCTCACCTCATCCCTGAAAATATTCTCTTTGGCTTAATAATCACCAGAACTAGAGTGAGCGTCAGGGCAGTTCAGCTGATCATTTACAGCTGAGCCCGCAACCCTGCACATGGGGAGCCACGAAGCCTGCGGCTCTGGGCGTGAAGGGGTGGAGATTGAGGACGTGCAGACAGCATTTTACATGATAGTTGGGGTGGCTTTTCCTGAAGTTGTCCTACCGTCTTCTCAGTACCCCTCAAGATGGCGGGGGCTCTTGTTCACATGTGTGCCTTTTGTGATTAAAGGGGCCCCTCACACTCTGCCACTTTTCCATGAAGACCTTTGAAGGGGCCATTGTGGGGAGTCCTCACAGTTCAGACAGCGACTTGAGTTTTCACAGGGAAACATGGCGCAAATCCCATCTGCCCTGTCTCGGGAATGAAGGTTTCTAACCAGTCTCCTGACACTTTGTTGCACATGCTGGCTAGCATTATTGAAATGTTTTTTTCTAAACCTAGCTTTGAGCATTGGTACAACTTTTCCATTTATGCTCACTTAATCCTGAGTGGAAATGGCGAATGTGTACATTGCTAAAGATAAACACACTTGTGGAGACACTAATAGCCCAGGACAGCCAGGAATCGGTCAGTGGGATGAGCTGCTTGTAAAGCTGAAGTGTCTTTTCTTCCCTCTGCTTCATGTAGGATTTGAAGAACAAAAGAAACCCCCGTCTGGTGCCATATGCTCTACTGGACGAACGCACTAAGAAGTCAAACCGGGACAGCCTTCGTGAAGCCGTTCGGACATTTGTGGGTTATGGGTATAACGTGGAGCCGTCGGACCAAGAACTAGGTAATGAGCTAAGACTGGTGAATGATTCTTGCTCCAATTGACTAAACAGGTCCTCTTCTGAGAACATGTAAGTTTTACGTAGGTGTTCATTTTAAACCGGAAGTGGTGTCTTTCATGTGATGTAGAGCGGGGTTACAGTTACGTACATAATGTGTACATTTCTTGTCAAGCATCGTTACCCCCTCCTTTCTTAAATGCTGCATTTTTAAAAGCGTCATTGGAGCATCCTCCCATTAACAGACGCTTCTGTGATGGTTGCTTCTGTGATTCAACCCCTCGGAGGAGGTGTAGAGCAGCTGCAGAGAACCAGGTCACAGAACAATGCCATCTGCCCTCTTACTCTCCAAAGATTGACTGTCACCTTGCTTTGAGATCAGATAATTCCATCTCCAAGTTCAATTCTAACTAAATCACTAGCTTATGACTGGTGAGCACACCACCATAGCCCATCCCATCATGGGATGTCTTTAAAGTCAGTCCTGGATTCAGATCTTTTTCTTCTCTTCATTGGCTCTGTGAGTTTTGAATAAGGGAGTTAACCTCTCTGAACCTCAAGTTTTCTACCCTGATCCTGTAGGGGTAGCTAGCTATACAGCTCTCCTTCATCCTTGCATTGCTAAGATATGATGATGGTGATGGTGATTATTGTGGTGTGAGCAAAATGCTACCTTAGCTAGAGGGAAACTATGGGGCCATCTTGGTTGTCAGCAAATCCTTTGAGGAATGCTCCATAACCATGCTGTGTCCTCCTTTCCTCCCCATGTCTTTCACTCAGTAGCTGATCCAGCTGTAGAAAAAGTCAGCATAGACAAGCTCCGGTTTTTCCGGGTGGAGCGGTCCTACGCAGTCCGGTCTGGGAAGTGGTACTTTGAGTTTGAAGTGGTGACCGGAGGCGCCATGCGTGTCGGCTGGGCCAGGCCGGGCTGCCGCCCCAACGTCGAGCTGGGTGCTGACGATCAAGCGTTTGTGTTTGAAGGCAGCAAGGTGGGTCCGCATGGCGCCCACGTGCCCGTGAGGGGCTCTGGAGACCACAGAGTTGGGATCTTGGGCTTTAAAGTGACCAGTCCAGTGTGTTAAATGTTGAAGAAAAGTGACATTGTCTTGTGTTTGTTCACGTTTTTAAAAGACCTAATTCCTGATTATATGTTACATTTATTTACGGTATAAACGTGGGTCCAGGATGACATTTTTTTAACCATCTTATGAATGATAGTTGGGCAAGTTGGTTAATATAAAAAATACTTTCCCTCAGGATAGCTAAGGTAGGTCAGTCAAGTTGGTGAGGCCTAGTAACCATTGTGCATTATTCATTGTAAGAACAATTTTTAAGTGACTAGCCTGTACCACTAGCTAATGCATGGATTGAACGTGGCCTAGTGGTGCTTCTCTGCCCCTTGCTCTGCTGGAGAGACCTTCCTGTTATTACATCCGTATCAGTCTTTTCATTCAAACCCATTGGTTGGCCCCACTCCAACACTAACTCAGTGAACTCTCTGCAGCCAATGTGTTGGGAGAGGGTTGTCTTACCAATTTTGCTCCGAGAGAATTCTGGTTATGGTCTTCGCTGGGTGGAGCCATGAGACGCAGGCTGCCTTTTCTGTTGAGTCTTGTGTGTCTGTGGGTAGGCCGCTCCTCCCGGTGACATATTTGGTGGAGGGGGGAGTCCTCACGAGGCCATGCGCCACTGCCAACCAGAGGGGCTGCCATGATCACTCCTTTAGCGGGGGTCTTGTTTTGTAGGGCCAGCGCTGGCACCAAGGGAGTGGGTATTTTGGGCGAACATGGCAGCCAGGCGATGTGGTTGGATGTATGATTAACCTGGACGATGCCTCAATGATCTTCACACTGAATGGGGAGCTGCTGATCACCAACAAAGGCTCTGAACTTGCCTTTGCTGACTATGACATTGAGAACGGTAAGCCCCCCCTCCCCCTCCCCCCTCCTTGAATGTGAAGGAAGCTGAGGGCAGCTGAGGGAGCCCTCCTGCATCGTTACGTTGTCTTTGCATAATTGAAACTCTAATGATGAAGGCTTTTTTAATGAAACTAGGGGTGGGACACAGGGCCTTGTACTTGCTGGAAGGTGCTCTACCACTTGAGCCACACCTCCAGCTCATTTGATGCGGTAGTTTCTTAGATAATGTCTTATTTTTTGCCCAAGCAGACAGGCATGGATCATAAATCCTCCCATGTATACTTTCCCTCTGTAATTGGGATGATAGGCATGAAGCACCATGCCCAGCCTTTTTTTATTGGTTGAGATGGGGTCTTGTGAACTTTTTGCCCAGACTGACCTCGAACCACTGTCCTCCCCAATCTCAATCTTCTGAGTAACAAGGGTTACAGGCATGAGTCACTGCACCCAATTTGAAGACTTACCAATTTTGAAGAATCAAGACAACTAATAGTGATAGTTGGTGTATGCAGCATAGATAGAAATTCTAAACTGAGACACTCTCCCCTTCCTATAACTTGACATTTTAAGGTACTTAGGTTTCCTGGCAGTACATGGGAGATGCTAATTATAAAGGAACTAATGACCGTGGCAGGAGAGAATAATTAGCAAATTAAAGGATAATTATATTCTGCTTTGGATTATAAGTCTGCATGTTTGTATATTAGAACTTGATGTTTTGATGAGAACCATTGAAACAGAAAAGTTACATTCAACTATTCCTTTGAATGAAATAAAATTTTCTTTGAAACCAAAGCAGAACTGCACAAAGAATCAGTTAGAGCATGCTGTTTCCCGTCTGTGTACCTACACACAGTGCACACAGGCCATATGTTGGTATATAGGGTGAAGAACCCTGGGCTACAAGTCAGCAGACTTGCTCCTGTCCAGGTGTATAGTTCCCTGAGAATGTTTGCCAGATCTACCTGGGCTTTACTTCTATACCAGTGTAAGGTAAGAGATGAGAGATCTCTATGTTCCCAGATTTTTATTTTATTATTTTGTGTGTGTGTCAGTCATAGGCCTAAACTCTGGGCCTGGGCGCTGTCCCTCAGCTCTTCAGCTCAAGGCTTGCACTCTACCACTTGAGCCACAGCGCCACTTCCGGCTTTTTTCTTTTTGCTTATGTCGTGCTGAGGAATCGAACCCAGGGCCTCAGGCATGCAAGGCAAGCGCTCTACCACTGAGCCACTTCCCAGCCTGTGTTCCCAGATTTGAAGTTCCTTGGCAGTGATTAATATCCGCTGTCTGCACAGACCTGTGCTTGTATCCATCCATCCTGCTACCTCCTCACAGAGGAGGAAGATGCGTCGCCTGTCTGCCTGTGACACCTGCGAACTTTCACCTCTGTGGGCCCCATTTCTCCTTCTGGTCATGATCAGAGCTCCTTACAGCACTAAATTCCTGACTGCAAAAAGAAAATCCATGCTGAAGAAGGCTACATATACAACTGCATAGGCAAAGGAGCATGTGTATAAGATGTAAATGTCCTTTGAAGAGTGTTTTCAGCCTTATGAATGACATGCACACTCTTTACAGACCCCTCTGTAATATGCATGACAGCTGTGCCTTTCAAGAGCTTTAAAGAATTTCCTAAGACATAGGTCTTTGGGGAAACAGAATAGTTGCAAATTGATGTTTTTCCTGGAGTCAGGAAAAGCCATGTGGGAGATCACGTTTTAATACCTTCTGAGGAGTTTTAAGATCCTAGTTGTAAAGAGCATTCCATTTGGAGAGGCAAGTAGGAAAGACATTGCCAGCAGAAGAGATAGCCTGTGTGCTGTACAGAACCGCCAGAGGCTGACTCCTTTACACCAGGAAGACAATGGAAAATGAGAAGATACAGGCCTTTCTCCAGGGAAAGTCATTCCCTGGGGTAGAAAGAGCCAAAGACCAAGGACCTGTCCGTGGCTTTACTATTGTGTTAACTAGAAGAGGTTAGTACCTATCAGTGTTTGGTTCATGTTTAAGGAGTACATAAGAAGATTTTCAGTAATGAGAGTGTGAGTGTGAGAACTTGGGAGAGCCCAAAGCCTTGGTGCTCGAAGCATGTACCCTTATTAGAAACACAGCCCCCCAGCCCCATGTCGAACCAGAGCGGACACTGCATCCCCACAAGAGACCGTAAATCTGAGATGAAGAGTCTAGGCGTGTACAGTGGTAGCAGAGTTAAGTAGCTCACTTTCCAGTGGTAGAATAATGAACAGGAAAAGGTGACTGGCCAGTTATAGATGGCAAGTGACGGATGCAGGATAGAAAGTCTACAAGCAGGATTTGAAGTGAATGTTGAATAAGGAATGTGAGCAGCCAGCCTCTGCCGCCCGAGGATGGAAGTCAGTGAACTTTGAGCAAGGCTAGAACAAGAGAAGGTTTGCATGTGGAATGTATGAATTATGGGGTAAGAAGGGGAGATACGCTGCACAGGACACCCCAGATACCAACATTCGGGCTTTCTCATGCAAGAAACTATAGTCTGCTCTGAGAAAGCACACCCTTGGCCTTCCCCCTCTAGGAAATGAGCAGCTGTGGCAGGGTGTGAGCAGAGAAATGCGGTGAGGAGAGGCAAGCTTCAGGGCAGCCCTGCTTTCAGATCATCTGTGTTGGGATGAAAGAGGTGGCCCACAGGCCTTTCCTGTATGTGATTTGACCTTCAGAGGTGCAAAGTCTATGATTAGGGAGCTGTTTTATCAATAGAGCTGTACTAGAACATTCTCTCATTATATTTATTACTGTGGCATGCTTTAATCATACAGAGACAAGGTAATCTGGAGCTCTTTCCGATGTGGGTTTGCTGTGGGGTTGGTGAGGGGCAGCAGAATGGAAGTTATATGGCATTCTGCGGTAACGGTAGCCTGAGGCATAGAAGGATGGAATCGCATCTCTGTTCTCTGCAGAAGGTGGAAGGAGCCAGCAATCTTGCCTTGAGTGGTGTGGAAAACCATCTGTAAAAATAAGCGTTTTAGACATTGTAACCCCTTCAGGAAGAATGTCCCACAGGCATGTCCGCGGCCATCCAGGCCAGCGCCACAGGCATGTCCGCGGCCATCCAGGCCAGCGCCCCAGTGGGGAGTCTTTAGTTCCTTGCAGAAGGAATATTTTGTGCCCACTCCCGTCTGTGGCACTTGTAAGTTCCTCTCCCAGCCCTCCCCCTCACAGGTGATAGGACCTTACCTGGCTCGTTAGAATTCTTCTCATCAGGCCTGGTCCTTTCCTGGGCCGCCCTGGCTTTTTGTATTTTCACCGAAAGGTTTCTGGAAGGTCAGGAGCCTCAATGCCTTCTCTGGTCCACATTGAAGGAAAGAGATGAAATCCTGAGCATCCTTCCCGACCCCAGAGAGGCACCAGGAAGAGGAGACGGGATGACCCTCAGGAAATGTCTGCCTCTTGCTGCGGCTTTGGTGTCTGCAGGTTGCCTTCCAACTCTGGTGGCTCTGCAGTCGGAAGGCTCTTTGCAGAACGTAGCATCTGCAGACACTCTGGTGCCAGAGCCCCGCCCTCCCTCCAGACAGGGTCTGTGCTTCAGAAGCGACGGGGACGCTTGGCCTCTGTTCTGCACAAGGGCCATCCCCAGACTGCACCTTCATTGCATCCCCAGACTGCACCTTCATTGCATCCCCAGGCTGCACCTTCATTGCATCCCCAGGCTGCACCTTCATTGCATCCCCAGGCTGCACCTTCATTGCATCCCCAGGCTGCACCTTCATTGCATCCCCAGGCTGCACCTTCATTGCATCCCCAGGCTGCACCTTCATTGCATCCCCAGGCTGCACCTTCATTGGGTTTAAGAGGAGATGAAAAGTAAAGCATGGGCTCTTGAGACTAGGAAATGCCTGAAGAATAGTCTGGAATCATCCAACATCTGACCAGCCTTGGATGTAGTGTCTCCTGGGCTCCTTCTCTGAGCTCCCTAGCTATGCCTGTGTCTGTTTGGCGTCAGGAGGTCGCCAACACGCCTTCCTCCCTTTGCTTCAGCCATTCCCTGCCTCCGCAGTGCTCAGCTGTCCTCTGCAGGAACAGCCTGCACAGAGACAGCCCTGTGCTCTGCCGCCAGTTCATCCTGTACCCTGGGACACAGCCGCTGGCCAGGTCTGGGGAGCTTCCTCTCACTCCTGACTGCTTGGCCGTGGGACAGGTCCCATCTCATTCCCCCTTGTCTTGACCTGGACCAAGGGGGCGGCTCCTGCGTCTTTAGTTTTACCCTCAGTAATGCCGTTCCCTCGGCTGACGCTTAGTAATGATGAGGAGCCTGAGTTGAGGGGTGGGGGTGGGGGCGCTTCGGGCACACGTCACCACTTCCTCTTACATTGTGGCCGTGACTAGGAGTCGTTCAAATGTCCCAAGCTATAGCCAGTCATCTGCCGCATAATTATCCTGCTCAGCTCAGGAAGAAGAAAAAAGAAAGAACTTGTCAAGGTATCCTGCTCTCTTCCGGGGCAGGGCTGGGCGGGTGTTTATATGGTCCTGGCTCCAACATATAAAACCCTCATGATGAATTTTTATGTTGAGTTATATATAACCAAAATACCCTCTTGAGAGCAGAGCTGGTTTGCAATGAAAGGCCGTTTCATTCCTCACCCACGTTTCTGTGTGTTCCTTGAGATTTGGTCAGTTCCTTTTTAATCCCAGCACCCAGCAGAGCCCTTAGTCCCAATGTGGTTCCAGGAATTGTGCTGACTACCAGTGCTGTAGTCAGATTTCCGGGGGGTCTTTATTCACAAATGTTTCCATCTATGGAAAGGAGATAGTCTAATCTACCACAGCCCCTTGCACAAAGCTCCCAGGAGCACAGCAGTGCGTAGCGTGGGTGCTGCGTGACCGTGGGCCAGTTGAGCAGTCTGCCTGCTCTGCTGCGGGGCAGGCTGGGGTCTGGTCTGAGTGCTTGGTGTCCTGTGAGGAGCCATTGTGCTCAGTCTGCTAGGATTGCACGGATATTCTCTCTTGTTTAGCAGGGGCATTGGGCACATATGTGTGCTAAATGATGAACTCATAGTTTTAAAAGAAAAACAACCGAGCCTATGAGGGATTTACCTTTTGCTTATCTGACATATTATTTACATCATAGCTTGGGTATTAACAACTGACTTTACTAAGAGTGCAAATTGGCCTTGGCGTGTCTGAAGTAAAGCTCTTATTGTTGAATCTAAATGCTTCCAGTTTGGCCTTTAACTTTCCCTGAAAGGAATGGAGCGGACCAGTTTTCTTTGTGGGAAGCACATCCATTTTTCGGCTGTTGGCGTGAGAGCCCTTCTTCCCCTTGAAGCTCTCTGCGGCTCCAGCCGTCCCTTACCAACCAGCTCCCCACATCCCCGGTCTGAGGTAATTAGAGCTTTCCCTGCTTTGCTGATTTGTTGGCCCACAATTATGATTTATAAATAACCCACAAACCAGAATAGCAGACAGTTTGAACTTCTTCTTTGGTCTGTTCTGAATGGTAACAAGCAAGAATAGCAGACAGTTTGAACTTCTGCTTTGGTCTGTTCTGAATGGTAACGCTAAAACATGATCGGGACGTAGGCGTGGGCCTGGATAGATGCAGAAGCTGTAAGAGGAAGCAGGCAGTTTGTCCTGGCGCTCAGCTGAGCCTCTCCTTCTCCTGCTTAGGTGTGGATGACACTAGGCCCCGCAGCCGGCAGGCGCCTAGGACTTGTTAACACTGTCCTCCCAAAGCATGAGATGCTAAATGCCAGAAAAGCCAAGCTCCAGTTCACCCCTCTAAGTAAATGTCGTTGTGTAGACGTAAGGTATAGAGCATGATGTGGTGAGATACACTGAAGCTTATACTCTAAAGGAATAAGCACGTTCATTTTCTCACAGTCACTCACGTTTTTTTGTTTGTTCTGTGACAAAATTCTCCTCACCAAGTCCATCTTAAGGTTTATTGTGTTGTTTAGTTTTGGAAGCATTTATATTTCCCAGAGCCTAAGAACAATGGTAAGGAAGGCATAAATAGAGAATTTCACTTGTTCTTTTACTGACTTGATCTTTCCAGTTGGTATTTACTTGTTGAGGGTAATCCTGGCCCTAGAGTTGGGGTTAAAGTGCCTGCGAAGCAAGCCCAAGGCCCGACAGAGCGATCTTAGTTGGATTGGGTGCCACAGCTCACACTATGTTCCCCCTTACTCAGGAGGCTGAAATTGGAAGATTACAGTTTGAGGCACAGCGTTAGTAAGACCCCATCTTAATCAATAAGCCAGGTGGGGTGGGGCTCATCTTCTTCCCAGCTAAACAGGAAATGTAAATAAAATGTTGGTGGCCCAAGATGGCCCACACATAACCGTGAGACCCTGTTTCAAGAAATAAAAAGGGGGTAGGGTATGACTAGGCTAAAGCACCTGCCTGGCAAGCACAAGGCCTCAGGACCAGAAAACGCTCCGTACCAACCTCCTCTTAGCTCCATCCTTTCCCTGGTCATTTTAAAGCAAACTCACCCTTCTTTCCTATATACCAAGAGCAGGTGGCCTTTCCTCCTTGCAGAACAAAGGGTTATGTCCTGTGCTTCCTCCTGGGACTCACAGCCCTGAGGAAGCAAAGGTGCAGCGCCCGAGGGCTGACGTGGAACTGTTTCTGCAGGCTTTGTGCCCATCTGCTCCCTGGGGCTGTCTCAGATTGGCCGCATGAACCTGGGGACAGATGCCAGCACCTTCAAGTTTTACACCATGTGTGGCCTCCAGGAGGGCTTTGAGCCTTTTGCCGTCAACATGAACCGGGATGTGGCGATGTGGTTCAGCAAGCGCCTTCCCACGTTTGTCAACGTACCGAAGGACCACCCCCACATAGAGGTAATGGTGAGCACCGTGGGTGGTCCTGGCGGGCGGGCAGGCCCTGCTCCCATGAGTCCTCCTGTCAGCGTACCCACGCCTCTGCCCTGGCTTCCTCCCAGCCTCCTCCGCCTGTCCTCAGAGCCACAGGACAGGCACCTTACTTATTCCCGCTCAGCAGCGTCTCGGGAGATACAGTATCCTGCACACATAGTCCCAGTGAGGACCACTGCGTTTTCTCCAGGGTGCCAGAAACACACACTGTAACCCTGTCTACTCAGGAGGCTAAGATCTGAAGGTTGCATTCAAAGCCAGCTGGGCAGAAAAGTCTATGTGACTCCAATTAATTAGCAAAATGCCAGACTGGAGTTTCAGCTCAAGTAATAGCGTACCGGCCATAAGCAAGCAAACTTGAGCAAGAGCATGAGGCCCTGAGTTCAAGCCCTGGTGCCAGAATGTGGGGTCCAGAATGAATGTTATTGATTGCTCATAACTTCATTCCTTCAGGCCATTTGATTTCAGCAGTGCTGTTTGTGAGACTGTGAGCTGGATGTGATGGTGGATTGTGATGCATCTCTTTTTAGGAGTAGATGAACGGAATGCACTGGCCTCTGGTTCAGTGTCTGCTTGCCTCTGTTGTTCCTGTGCCCACTGTCGTGTTTCTTATGATGGGTGTGGGGAGAAGGGTGAGGAGGGACAGACAGACAGAAAGATCGACGGCCTTATCACTTGCTTCATTGGACGCTAGCTTCCCTTAACTCAGCCCTGGGTTTAGTATGCAGCTGCTCTTCATACCCCACTGTCCCTCACAGGCTCACATCATGGGCCTTCATGTTCTGGTCGCTCGCTGGCCATAACATTAGAAAGGTGTCTGTGGCTGTTTGGGAAGTTTGGCTGCCCTTTGACACCTCTGCTTAGAAAAACACACAGCCATGTGAGCTCATCTATAGACCTAGGGTTGGAACTGCTGTCTAAAGAGCAGGAACAAGGCTGCGATTTTAAGAAAGTCATTCTTATGGTGAACATCAATTTACCTACCTTGCCACCAGGCTCCACAGCCCTGGGTGCCCTCCAGGTGTTAGGACAGGCTGAAGGGGGCCGAGGACTGAGGTGGGAACTGGTAGCCTCCACAGGAACGCCTGTCTTTGTTGAGCATTGGGTTTCCTGGTACGTGTCCTTTAGATGTTACCATGCCAGTGACAAGGGACACCTGCAGAAAGGCTTTCTTCTCAGCTCTGTGCCCAGTGACCTAACAGGTCAGCCTTTCTATACACCATGTTCTATCATCAGATCCCACATCCCTCTCTGACATTTATTCTCCACTCTTGGCCTTGAAGAAAACTCACTGTGAACACTTTAAATCTCCTATCTGTCCAGCCAGGAGCAGATCTGTTGTTTCTTATAGGACGGGAACCAAGTAATGATGAGAATCGTAGCTTAGTTATCACCAGTGACAGGTTCTAGTCTGTAGAACGTCTTGCTAAATGTTATTCTTGGTTGGAGGGAGGCTGGAGGCAGGGAGGAGAAGGTCAGCTCCTCTTGCACATCAGCGTAAGAGTGTGTGATGGTGTTCCCAGGTCGTGAGGATTGATAGCACCATGGACAGCCCTCCATGTCTCAAGGTGACCCACAAGACATTTGGCACTCAGAACAGCAATGCCAACATGATCTACTGCCGCCTGAGCATGCCTGTTGAGTGCCACTCCTTCAGCCACAGCTCCTGTCTGGACAGCGATGTTTTCCAGAAAAGGTGAGAGGAGACCTCCAGCTTCAGGTGCTCATCATGTCTGCTCTGAAGTAGCCCAGCACAGGATCTCAGTGGGTAGAGCTCTCTCTGCATGCAGTCAGGTACCGTAATGAAGATGTATGCGTACATAGACACACACAGGGTCAATCACGCTAAACGGAGTCAGAGCTGGTAAAGACGTTTTTGCACTTCTTGAGTCCTCAGAGGCCAGGTGTTTTTGCTGCCAACGAGTCCGGGGCCTTGGGATGTGCCTGGGACTTACTTAACCTTGCAGCCGCATGACCTGGAATTCCATGACTTCTTCCTTCCTGTTAAGGAATAGATTGCTTGCCGTCTATCTTTCCTTTGATGTCTATGTTTAATTGCTGATAGGTGTGTGCTAGCTGGGGCTGTCTTGTGCAGATGTTCTATAGCATTTTGCTATCGACCAAGCTTTTAAATAAGCACACACAGCTGACTGAGGGAGCAGGATTGATCCATTCAAAGGCACCTGTGCATATGGTACTGCCCCCCCCCCCTCCAGCCACCCAGCTTCAACCTACCATCTGTGTGGAGGGACCAAGTTGGAGTTGGAGTCCTGCCTGTGCAACTTGCATATGAACATTTGCAAGACCAGTGGCCGTGACTCTGGTATCAAGAACAGCCAACTTCCTGTTTACCCTGATGGTTAAAGGTGGATCAATAGCCTGTCAGAACTGTGGGGTTCTCTGCACAGCCAGATAACTGAAGTATGGATTTTTTCTCCCTCCAGGAAACAGATGCATGAAATACTCTCTCCTACAACAACAGTAAGTAAATATGCCCAGTTATGCTTTTAATTATTTGACCATTGGTATGCCTTGTAATAAGCCCCTTGCAGCAAAGATTTGTCTAGAGATCTTCTTCAATTGCCAGTTACTCTGTCTTGTAATATCTGTCTTTGTGCTTGAGAACACCTCTGCGGCATTTCTCAGGTGAAGAACAGGATAGTCCCTCAGTGCAAAGCAGACTCCCCCTGGAGCTCCTAACTGGGTGCCATTGTGCCCTCGTGCCCTTGGCCACCGGGGACCCCACCCTGCCTTCCCTGTGGAGGGAGCGTCGTCGGAGGCCACAGTGAAGCCCTTCTGTCCGCTCTTTTGTGGCAGCTTCTACAGTACACTCCCCACACCTCTGCTGAGTGCGGGAGGAGAAGCAGGAATCCGGCCCTTTAGTCCCTTTTCCATAGCCAGACAGTAGTCAGAAGGCAGCGCTGCTGAGCTCTTCCTTTCTCCCACTCTTCCTTCACGCCAGGTACCTAGAAAAAATGCCTGCCATACTTTCTATAAAGTCATTTGAAGTCCTCGGTTGGTAGGCTAAGTGTCATCAAGAATAAGGTTCTTGCTGTAGCTAATTACACCCTGGCTGTGTAAAGACACAGTACCTGGCGTGGTGTGGCACTTTCCCATAGATTCTCTACGGCAGTCACTTCAGACGGGTTTACTTGGTGCCCTATGCACCGGTGGTATGTGCTTGTCCAAGGCGCACAATGAGTAGCTGACAGCACCAAGATTCAAGCCTAGGCTATGTATATGTAGGCAGTCATGGGGCTTGAACTCTGGGCCTGGGCGCTGTCCCTCAGCTCAAGGCTAGCGCTCTACCACGTGAGCCACAGCGCCACTGCCGTAAGCCTAGGCTTTTTGACTGACCCCTTTTTCCTCCCAGCCTAGAAAGACTGCAAATGAGAGTCACTTTATTAAACACCAATCTTTTCGGCATCATAGGAAATGGCTCCATAGTCACCTTGCTCATGATAAAGGAAATGGCTAAGTGGCCGCCTTCCTCGGGTCTGCGGCTCTTCCTGTAATGCGGTATATGCTTCACGAGTCGAAGGACACCCTTGCCAACAACTGCTGTTCTTTCTTGGCCCCTGAAGCAGGTCTGGCCAGAGCCTGGGCCTCTTCTTCTGCAGCCTCTTTCCAGAGTTTCCAGAAATAAATACAAAACTCTTGGCCTCCCTAGCGAGTAGAAAGTAACGGGAGTGCTGGGGCCCGGGACTGCCGTCTGAGGCAGGTGCCCTGCCTGTGCTGAGGGTCAGGGCTGCCCTGGCCGCGCTGAGCAGCTGCGCCTCTGTCACCAGTGTCTCCTGGGCAGTGAGCGATGAGCTGAAAGTTCTCTGCTCCTAGTGTAAGGCATAAAGTAGACACTAAGCCAATCTAGAGCCTAGCTGAGCTCAAGAGAGAGGCTTGGCTTCCTCCCAAGGCTAGAGCATAGCGTCCCTCCGTGTGTGTGTGTCTGTCTGTCTGTGTGTCTGTGTCTGTGTGTCTGTGATGTGGTGTGTGTGTGTGTCTGTATATGTGTCTGTGTGTCTGTGTCTGTGTCTGTGTGTCTGTGTCTGTGATGTGGTGTGTCTGTGTGTCTGTGTGTCTGTGTATGTGTGTGCGCATGTGTGTGTGTGTCTGTGTGCTGTGTGTGTGCATGTGTGTGTGTGTCTGTGGTGTGTGTGTGTGTCTGTGTGTCTGTGTGTGGTGTGTGTCTGTGTGTGTGGTGTGTGTGTGTCTGTGTGTGATGTGTCTGTGTGTGTGTCTGTCTGTGTGTGTGTCAGTGTGTGTGTGTGTGGTGTGTCTGTCTGTGTGTGTGTGTGGTGTGTGTGCGTGGTGTGTGTGGTGTGTGTGTGTCTGTGTGTGTGGTGTGTGTGTCTGTATATGTTGTGTGTGTGCTGTGTGTGCGCATGTGTGTCTGTCTGTCTGTCTGTGTCGTTCTTCGTGGCAGGGCTACGTTTCCTTCTCCTCTCCGTCTCTCCTCCGCTGACTGAGGCCACCCCCTCCCCTCTGTCCTCCACAGCAATACCACTATGCCGTCCGCATCTTTGCTGGGCAGGATCCTTCCTGTGTCTGGGTTGGATGGGTGACTCCAGACTATCATTTGTACAGTGACAAGTTTGACCTGAATAAAAACTGCACGGTGACTGTAACCCTGGGAGATGAAAGAGGCCGGGTCCGTGAAAGGTAAGGGGGCTCGGCCTGCCTCGCCCCAGCCGTCTCTGAGAGAAAGCAGGGCCTACAGCCCTGGAGTAAGCGAGCAGAGGGAGAGTGTGCTGTGGGGAAGACGGGGGGAGGGGTACAACGTCATCACACGCATACATTATGACCCAGGGCTGGAAGCCAAAGAGAGACTACTGGCATCTGAGGCTTTATCTGAGTTTTCTTCACCATTACCAGGCAACTACAGCATCAGAATGATACAGGGCAATCCCTGGGTGCTCGAGAGAAGTCAGTTCAGAAAAAGGAGGGAGGAAGGGAGGGGTACATCACATGGTGGCTGACCAATTCGGGACTCGTCATCCTGAGAGCTGATGCGGAAAATGAAGGAGGTGTAATCAATTCATGAAAAAATAACCACCAAGCAGGAATCAGAGCTCTTTACAGAACGCTTGCTCGGGTCCACCTCTGCCTCCCACTGCTCGCTGGCACGCTGCTGGAGCCAGGCCAGGGGGGCCCTAGCAGACCAGGGGGGCCCTAGCAGACCAGGCCTTGTGGTCCCTGCGGTGCACACCTACTGAGGGGCAAGAGCATCTTCCCCTCTGCAGAGAGCTGGTCAGCCTTTCCCTGTCCCGCCAGGAACACTTAGTGGTCAGTGCTTTTTAGGTAAGACTGGCACATCTAAGCCAAGTGGCCAGTCACCACCAGGAGAGACCCAGGAGCAGGCAGGTAAGAGCACCGGCTCTGAAAACAACCTGGATGCTTACTCAGTCAAAACCTAGGTCCCAGTGTTTCCCTGCAGTGAACTTGAGCCTGTCAGTTTGCTTTCCTCACCTACAAGATGAGAAGAATGCTTCGAATCCCAGAGTGCTGTGAGGAGTAAGCACCTTGATTCATAGAAAAATGCTTATGAAGTACTGCTCCCCAGCACACAACAAATTATTAGTTGTCACTATTACTTATTGAATGCCATTTTGTTGTGAAAGCCGGAATAGATATTATAAGCAATGTATGTTTTAAGCTGGAAAAACAAATTTTGTGAAAGCATTGACCAGCTCAGCTTTTGTTCCTCAGCCATCCACGTCCCCTGGCTTACTGCTCCTGCTAATGCTCTGCCACACCAAACGACTTGCTCTATCTGAACCTTACTGACCGTATTGATGGTGAAAATTAACTGACGTGTTAGCCCTTAGAGCAAGACCTAGTATACGGCAGGTGCTTAGTAATTCTTAGTTCTTTGTCCTACATAATGAGCAGTAAACACAGGATCGATCTTCAAATGTTTTAGGGTATATTTAATTTGGGCCCTTTAAACTATGCCTGGAGCCTACTGCTGCACATTGCATGGCGTTAGTACCTTATTAATCCAATTCCGTAATTGAATCACTGGACGCAGTAACGACGTGGCTGCAGGTTGACACTTATAAACTCCTCTCAGTGGCTCTCACCCTTTGGAAGACACCGTTTTTACTAGCCACTGCCTAAGGACCTTCATACTGAGAGAGAAAAAAAATTATTACTCAAGAAGGGAAGGAAGGAAGGGAGGTACACTCGGGGGAGTCAGAGGGAATCTTGGAGCCTCCGAAGGCAGTTCCGGGACGGGGTCGACAGTCAGAGCCGTGAAGCAGCCATCAAGGTGTGTGGTGGCCTGGGCTCCGTCCACCTTGCAGTGCTGAACGCACACTACTGGCCTTCACATGGCTGTGGTACAACCCATAGCCACACTGAGCTACGCAGCATTTACCCTAGTGTGTTAGAAGGGGCCCCTCAGACATCAATGGTGGAGGCCTGTGGTGTCATTTTGAGGAACCAGATCCCTCAGGTGCACACCAGGATGAGCTTAGGAGGCAGATGCCCACTGTGAGGGCCTCTGGGAGTTTCCCTGGCCCTGGCCCATCTCCCAAAGCTCACGGTGGTAGGAAACCCTGCAGTTAGAGCAGAGCTGCTGGGATGGATCTCCGTGGTGGAGCACTTGCCTACCACGTGCAGGGCCGTGGGTTTAATCCCCAGCACCACCTGCCCTGAGACAGGAATTAGGCTTTAAAGCCTGAAAAGCTTGGTGACCACTGCTGTTTCCTTTTTAAATGTCAAACCCTGGCGTGGAATCTTACAATCTGAGAGGAGGCTGACAGCCGGTGAGACAGAACCCTGCCCAGACCTCCAGGAAGCCCTGAGGGCTGAGGGGAGCAGATGGGAATGGTGGGAGGCCATCAGAGACAAACGACCCATTTCGCAGGGCCCGGGCGGCCATCCCAACAAAGGGGCTTTCAGGTAGTGTAGCCTCTTGTCCTAGGTGCCTGACTGGAACTCAGAGCCGGGTTGTTTCTGCCTTCCATACCAAGTCTCTATTTAAGCTGCCTGAGCTGATTGCTACCTCGGCGCCTTGAATCCCACCCCTGGAGTGGAATTGCTGCCATCCTCATTACCGTGTCGTGAAGGTGAATTCAAGGTGAAACCGTCACGTGCTCACTATGGTCCTAAGGAGGTGGTCTACTAGATCGTCATCTCTCCAAACGGAGCAATTCGTGCCTAAATAAGTTAGTTTGCAGCTGAATGAATTCATTTAAGAAAAAAAATGCGTGGAGCTGATTGTGAAGCTTCCCAGGATGGTCTGTCAGGTGTTTTACTCCTGAGTCTCACTCACAAAATACTAGACCAGATTCTGAGACTTTTCCTTCCCCTCCCCTCTCTCTTTCTGACACCTAGTGTGAAACGCAGCAACTGCTACATGGTCTGGGGCGGGGACGTAGTAGCCAGCTCCCAGAGATCCACTCGGAGCAATGTGGACCTGGAGATCAGCTGCCTTGTGGACCTGGCGGTGGGCATGCTGTCCTTCTCGGCTAACGGAAAGGAGCTCAGCACCTGCTACCAGGTGAGGGACGGGAGCCTGGAGCCCTGGCATCTCAGACCCGGGCTGGTGGTGGCGTTGCTCATTCCCGCTTGTGTTCAGCACACGTGTGCGTGCACACACACGCACACACATGCACACCTCTCACGGTTTGAATCAGTTAGGGCCACAAATAAACAAGAACACAGGGACTGATTTGTACTGAGGGAAAGCATTTATTTGTTGACCAGCTATGCTGGCCCTCCTTCTAGAGGAAGAGAAGAATTCTCTTTCGTATGAGCTCCAAGACTATTAATTTAATCCATCAGTATTTCTGTGAAGGCTTTGCTTCCTGATGCAAGATGTAAGCAGAAAAGCTTCTTGCTTTAGGAAATGTAGATCCTCGAAGTAGAAACCAAAAGAAATGGATTAATCATGTAGTCCCTCTGCAAAAGGTTGTTAATAACCCTCCAGTGTCTCCTAGCACTTGAACTCAGGACCTGGGCACTGTCCCTGAGCCTCATTGTACTCTACCACTTGAGCCACAGCACCACTTCTGGATTTTTCTGAGTCGTTGATGGCAGATAAGAGTCTGATGTACTTTCCTGCCTGGGCTGGCTTCAAGCCATGATCCTCAGATCTCAGCCTCCTGAGTGGCTAGGATGACAGGTGTGAGCCACCAGCCCCGCGATCTTCTTACGTGACTCTTAAAATGTATTTACATAAATTTGTTTTCCTATTTCGTGGGCCATGAACTTCCACAGAACTGCTCAGGGAACCTGCGGTGACGCTCATGTACCTCCCTGTTGTAAACACAAAAGCTCTTGTCTCCTCCTCAGGGGAGCCAGGTGGGCTTGGGAACACATTGCACTGAGTGCTTAGAACATGAAAAGCTCTGAAAAATACCTCAGAGAATCCGGCGTGGCCAAACACATTTCCAGTTATTTGACCAAGACGGTGTTTTGTTAACCTTAACAATAAAGAAATGGTGTCTGAGCCTGGAACTCCACAGAGCCCATGGGAAATGCCACCTTAAGGAGTTAAACTCTCATGCTAAATATTCTTGACACTTTAGAGCAGAAATGTACGTGGAGGCGAAGTCAGTGTTAAGAAAAGGAAGAGTGTGTTCCCTTCAAGAGCAGTTGTAAAACTGTTGATCAGGGAGAGACTTTCCAGTGTTCTGGGTGGAGGTGGCCCGTGCGGCCTTGTGCCTTGTGCCGATGGGGAATGCGATGCATCAGTGGGCAGACAGCATGCGGCTCTTCTTGGTGGAGAGGCTCGCTCTGTGGGTAGGAGGAGGGAGCTGCTGCAGGTTTCTGAGCAGGAGAGTGACTGAGAGGAGCCAGGAAGGAGGCCAGCATCTTCCGGGTCATCCGTTCAGACAACAGAGACTGTCCCGAGTCAGAGCCCTGATCCGTCAGCTTGCTGTAGGCCACAGCTTTGGAACTGAAGAGCCTCTTGGCAGCCGCTGTGTGGGCTGCTGTTGGAGAAGTGGGGGCCAGACAGAGACCGGACAGAGGGACCGCCCTCCCAGGGCCGGAGCCAGCCTCTGCCGCTGTGCCGCGCAGCGTGGCAGCGCTGCTTCTCTGTGGTAAAGAAGAGACTGGTGTCACTGCACATGGCCAGTCCAGCCCAACTGCCCGTGGTCAGCAAAGGACGCCCCCGGGGCCGGCGTTGAGGAAGGAAGTACGGTATTGTCACAATTCTGCCCCCCCAAGGCCTCTTAGAAAATGTCTTTTGTACATCCACTTCTGTCCTTCAGAATCCATTGGCTTTTCCCATTCACGTTTGACACGAGCTGAACGGAAAGGGTCCTCCCTGAGCTGCGGTGAACTCTAGCACTAATAACGTGGAAGGCTGGCTGGACGTTGGTGATCTACAAACATTCGTGAAATAAAAATACAAACAAAACCAGACATGGCCTTTGCAGCAGCAGCAGCAGCTTGCCTGCTCCAGGAAGAGCTCAGAGCGCTGGTGTTGAGCTTGGGGTCCAAGAAGGGGTGCTGTGCAGCTTCCCTCCCCCCCCCGCCCAGTACTTCCCTCCCCTCCCCTCTCCCCCCTCCCCCCACAGTACCTCCCTCCCTCCCCCACAGTACTTCCCTCCCCCCTCCCCCACAGTACTTCCCTCCCTCCCTCCCCCACAGTACTTCCCTCCCTCCCTCCCCCACAGTACTTCCCTCCCTCCCCCACAGTACTTCCCTCCCTCCCCCCACAGTACTTCCCTCCCTCCCTCCCCCACAGTACTTCCCTCCCTCCCTCCCCCACAGTACTTCCCTCCCTCCCCCACAGTACTTCCCTCCCTCCCTCCCCCACAGTACTTCCCTCCCTCCCTCCCCCACAGTACTTCCCTCCCTCCCCCACAGTACTTCCCTCCCTCCCCCCACAGTACTTCCCTCCCTCCCTCTCCCCCCCCCCCCCCCCGCCCAGTACTTCCTGGGGAACTGCCGCTTCCCCATTCCACCCAGTATTCCACCCTTCCTGCTCCATGCTGTGAGCCCTGCAGCACGTGCCTGGCCCTGCCTTCATCCTGAGCAGGCCTGCGGGGGGCTGTGGAAGGGTCCAGCTTTCTCCAGGACCCTGGGGAGGCCCGCACACCAGCCAGCATCTTCTCGTCCCCCACATGAGCAGGGCCCTGGCCGTGGGGTCGTTGTAATTCTGCCGCTGTAGCTATTTTCATCTTTCAATTATCTCAAGAGGAACAGGCCAGCAATATTTATATACTGGCTTTCAATTCAGAAAGAACCAGTGACCAAAATAATGAGAGAACGATTCTCTCAGACAGCGTTTCTCGAGGTTCCATTAAATAGTGCCGCGCAATTTGCAAAGCTTTCTCTATCCACTTAAAGCAATCAGGAGAGAAATGAGAACAAAAATGTGCGTTCAGGAGGTGTTCCTGCGAGCGCATCAGGCTGGTGCAGGGCTCCGAGGACAGGACCTGCTGGGAGAGTCAGAGCTGTGGGCGACGTGGGCTTCGCTTCTGGCCAGTGCCTGTGTCCTGACCTTCACACATGATTAGAAACAGAATGCCCATTATTATAAGGACAAAGCACATCAGCCGGTAATGAAAGGAGCCTTCGCGGCAACGGGAACAACTCCATGCAAGCCCTGGCCGCTCTGCGTCCAGGCTTCCTGCATCAGAATGGAAGCTTCTGGTCCAGAGGGTGAGCTCTGAGGGCGCAGACCAGCACCTGGCCCCTGCCCAGTGCTCGCTAAGTGCTGTCAGACGAGCCGACGTGGCCGGGGACACCAGCGTTGCCTGACAACCTGCTTCAAGGTGACCGGCTCCAGCCACCTTTGTTGACCTCACAGGTCTGCGGGCCTGACTGAGCACGCCGCTCCTCTTTAGGCCCAACGTCAGTGTATCTTCTGGGCAAGCCGTCACCCGCTCGGGAGGCTCCAGCTTGTTCAGCTCATTGCTGGTGCCCAGTCCTTCACGTGGCAGATCTGTTGCTCTGCTGACCACAAGCTGGAGCCCGCTCTGTGCCTGGCCGGTACCCATGCGTCCTTTCACGTGGCCTCTCCATCCTCAACGCTGACAAGACCCAGCCAGCGCCTCCATGCTGCGGCCTTCCCTTCCGCCCCCAGCGCCTCCATGCTGCGGCCTTCCCTTCCGCCCCCAGCGCCTCCCTTCCGCCCCCAGCGCCTCCCTTCCGCCCCCAGCGCCTCCTTTCCGCCCCCAGCAAGCAGGAGAAAACTGACTGAAAGGACCCGCCGCCATCTCCCCTATCTTGAGCGCAACTGGTCAGTGACGTCGTTGACATCGGCAGAATCCCTTTGCCACATAAAATAGGGACAAAACAAGTCCTTGAGAGCCTTCTGGAATTCTGCTTGCTTTTTCCTCAGCCACACTGAGGAGCCATGTGTGTAGGGTTTTTTTCTTCTTCTTCTTATTTCAGTGATTGGCAAGAAGTGCCCAGGGCGAGGTCTACGTGGACCACAAGCCTGCCCCAAAGCACCTCCTGTCCGTGGGGTGGAGCGTGGCCCTGTGGAGCCTGCTGCGGCCTCTGCAGGAGCCAGGAACATAGGAGGCCTTCTGGCGACAGCTCCCTTAACTCATATGATTTAGGTCTTTGCACGGATGAATGCTCTGTGTCCCCCTTCAACAGGTTTCCTGCTGGTTGAGATGAGCTGTTCTCAGGCTTCAGATCTGCTTGCTAAAGGCTATGCCACTGGGAGCGCCAAGTTCTTGTGGTACACATTAGACGGGAGAGAAGTCTGGGGCGCCTCTGGGACAGGTCTGCCTTAGGGCCCACGTCAGAACTTGGCATTAGTGTCTCACTGCTGTGAGCTCAGGATCTGACACAAAGAGGAGACGCCATGGTTCTAAACGATTTGTTGAATGTTCTCTACATAGCCAGGTACGTCAGCACTGCACCTTCACATTCTGGCTTTATGCGCCTTAATGCTTAGGAATCTTTGGGTTCTAAAACATGGATGTAAACCACATATTTGTATCTAAACTATGGGTCTACTGACCTGAATGGCACTGTGTTGAGCCCAAGTTCAGGAATTAGCCAGTGGTATGTTTCATCATGAGAAAAACGAAAGCCTGATTCATCATAACCTTGCAGGTGACCGCAGCAACAACAAAAAAAGCTTTAATGCCAGGTACAGTAGTTCACACCTATAATCCCAGCTATGTGAGAGGCCATAGGGGCGGGAGGGGGGAAACATGAGACTCCACCTAAAATACAATAATCAAAAAGGACTTAAGACATGGTTCAAGTGGCAGAGTACCTACCTAACAGTCCTGAGGCCCCAGTAGTGCCAAAAAAATAAAATTATGTGATTTAATCAAAATACACTGGAGATTATTAAAAGGAATTATTATTTAAAGGAAGCTTATAGCAACTACTCTTGATAGAGTAAAAACACTCTGTTCATGTTCCTTTGCCACGTTAAAAACCGCATGAATAGCGGCTTAGTTGACTATGCATTGCTCCTCTGGCAGCTCTGGGCCAGGTTGGCTGGGCCTCTGCTCAGCTTCCCACATGGCCACAATCCAGAGGTCAGCCAGAGTGTCCGTCCCTCGAGGTCAGGGCCATGCTTTGGCTGTGGTCTTACGCGCTGCCGTGGTGTGGCGCCTCCATCAGAGTGAATCGATGATCCGTGTGGGTGAGTGTCGCTGCTCATTTCACCAGTGCAGGGTGCAGCCTGGAGACAGTGGTGACAAGCCCTAACCCTGTGCAGGGAAGTCCACAGGCTGCGTGGCCATCCAGCCAAGTGCCTGGGGTCTTTGCACCTGACCCTGGGGCCACTTAGGAAGCCAGTGTCAGGAGACCTGGCTGCTCGTCCTGACTGTAGTACAGACACTGGCCTCCAGAGGGCAGCGGGGATGCCACCCAACATGCTGCTGTCAGTGGGGAGTTCCCAGCTCAGGATGCTGGGAGTGCGCCCTGGTGCCGCCTTCCAGCCTCGGCCTTCGTCCCTGTGAGCCGGGGGCCCGCGTGATGGATGTCCTGCCACCGACGCGCAACGCCATTCAGGAGCAGCGGAAGTCCTTGCCTTTCGTAGTGAGTTAGTGACTCCGGGCCTGTGGCCGCTCTGTATACCAGAAAGAGTGCTTGCACCAAGACCTGAGAGAGGATACGCAGGTAAAGATCTCAGCCAGAGAGACAGCACAGTACTGCAGGCAGGAAACAGTGACTGGAGCCACTAAGAGACACCAGGTCCAAGGATGTCTGAGCTGCAAGGAATGACCGGCCTCTAGCAACGCTAGTCCAGCAGAGCTCGGAATGGCAGTACTATCTGCCGCACCCAGTAGGTCGGCAAGCTGTGCTGTTTCGCAACGGGCAAATCCCTCTCTGTGTTTTGGATTCCAGGTGGAGCCCAACACAAAAGTGTTTCCAGCCGTCTTCCTGCAGCCGACAAGCACTGCTTTGTTTCAGTTTGAACTTGGGAAGCTGAAGGTACTGTGTTTCCTGTCTGTCGTAACAGTCACGGAAGGGTGGGGGGAGTCACAGGCGGAGAAGGCCTCACGCTTCTGTCTCCCTGATTTGCCGCTGGGAGTCACGTGGCAGCCTGCCCTCTTTCTTACCCTCTGGTGCTCCGAGCTCACCTGTCGCAGAGCTGGGCTTTGGCTCAGTGGTAGAACGCTTGCCCAGCATGCACAAGGCCCAGGGTTCTACCCCCAGCATGGCAAAAACAAAACAAAGGAATGAATTCCTCATGGAACTCGTGGTGCCAGGTTCTGAGACGCCCCGGGGCCCCTTAGAGATCCGTGTCTGGTGTTTGCATGGACCGTCTTGGATACCACAGGGTAGCCGGTAAATGAGCATCTCCGCATCACCGGTGTCTTTCCCCATTCCTTTCCACCCCGCCCCAGAATGCCATGCCCTTGTCGGCAGCCATATTTAAGAGTGAGGAGAAGAACCCCGTCCCGCAGTGCCCGCCGCGGCTGGACGTGCAGACCATGCAGCCTGTGCTCTGGAGCCGCATGCCCAGCAGCTTCCTGAAGGTGGAGACGGAGCGCGTGAGCGAGCGCCACGGCTGGGCCGTGCAGTGCCTGGAGCCCCTGCAGATGATGGCGCTGTACATCCCCGAGGAGAACAGGTACCCGAGGGGACCCCAGGTCCGGGAGGCCATGGGGCTGGAGCCACGCGACCCCGAAGGGAACAGGGAGGCGCGTCCAGGGTGCCCTTGGAGGGCGGGCGGCCGCAGGCAGGGGAGGCAGCCGTGAACAGAGAGCAGACCATCTCAAGTCTCCCAGCGGCACAAGGTGCAGCAACAGTGTCCGGCTAAGCTGAGGTCGCAGCCCCCGGCCTGGACCCACACGCATGTGCTCTCAAGTCGGGAAAGACCTGAGCTGCGTCATGCTAACCGGTCTCAGTTTGGAGCCAGGTGCAAAGTTTGTGTGTGGTAGCTCTGTTTTATGGTAGGATGATGGACTAACAGAGCGCTGCACCCTCTGAGCTCAGCACGTCAGGAAATGGAGCACTGTCTCGAGCCTACAACAGAGACAGAGTACTCAGTGCAAGGTGACTCATGTCCATAATCCCAGCCACTCGAGAAACTGAGATTGGGAGGATCCGGCTTCAGCCAGCCAGGCTAAGCACTCGCCAGACCCTAGCTTACTAGAAAAGGCTCCAGGCCTGGCGGTGTACGCCTGTCATCCCAGCTGTCCAAGCCAGCCCTGGCAAAAAGTGAGACTTAGCTCACAGAATGCTAGGTCACCTGCCTAGCGAGTGCAGAGCCCGAGTTCAAACCCCAGTGCTGCCAGTAATAATAAAAGCAAGGCGTTTGAGTTTGCCTTGTATCTAATTTTTCTTTTTGGTTGGGGGTTTTACAGTTTTCTCTTTCCTCTTCGGTAAGCCAGTGTCTCGAGGGTTTTCAGTCTTGGGAGAAGTTTGGGTTAGTGATGGTGAGCCTCAGTTAGACCGGGTGTGGGAGGAGGGCGGGGCCCCTCCCGCACCGGAGCCCCGGGCCCCCTGCGCTGAGCTCCCGCACCGGAGCCCCGGGCCCCCTGCGCTGAGCTCCCGCACCGGAGCCCCGGGCCCCCTGCGCTGAGCTCCCGCACCCGAGCCCCGGGCCCCCTGCGCTGAGCTCCCGCACCCGAGCCCCGGGCCCCCGGGGGCCTCCTCCCCGTGGCTGACCCCGCTCTCCCCAGGTGCGTGGACATCCTGGAGCTCTGCGAGCAGGAGGACCTGATGCAGTTCCACTACCACACGCTGAGGCTGTACAGCGCCGTGTGCGCCCTGGGGAACAGCCGGGTGGCCTGTGCGCTGTGCAGCCACGTGGACCTGCCCCAGCTCTTCTACGCCATCGACAGCAAGTACCTCCCCGGCCTGCTTCGGTCCGGTTTCTATGACCTGCTCATCAGCATCCACCTGGCCAATGCCAAGGAGAGGAAGCTGATGATGAAGAACGAGTACATCATCCCCATCACCCGCGCCACCAGGGGCATCCGCCTTTACCCGGACCAGTCCAAGCGGCCCGGGCTGCCCGGGGTGGGGCTGCGGGCCTGCCTCAAGCCAGGCTGCCGGTTCACCACCCCGAGCGCCGTGGCCACCAGGGAGGAGCCGCAGAAGCAGAGCCCTGAGATCCCCCTGGAGGTGCTCAAGATGAAGGCCCTGAGCATGCTGACCGAGGCTGTGCACAGCAGCGGGGCCCACATCCGGGACCCCATCGGGGGCTCTGTGGAGTTCCAGTTCGTGCCCGTGCTGAAGCTCATTGGAACCCTGCTGATCATGGGCGTGTTTGATGATGACGATGTGCGCCGGATCCTCCTCCTGATCGACCCCTCTGTGTTTGGGGAGCGAGCCGGGGAGACGGAAGAGGGCACGGAGAAGGAGGAGGCCGCGCAGGTGGAGGAGAAGGCGGTGGAGGCTGGGGAAAAGGCCGGCAAGAAGGCTCCTGCCAGAGGCCTGCTGCAGACCCGGATGCCTGAGTCCGTCAAGCTGCAGGTAACCGGGCGGCAAAGCCGTCCCTGGGCAGGGGCCCTGGGAGGGGGAGGGAGGGACCGTGAGAGCAGGGAAGGACCGCGTCTGGCCCCGTCCTGCTGCGGCTGAAGATACATCAGAGACGGCAGGGAGCTCACAGGAGACACACGCTGACAAGCAGTGCATCCCCAGCCCGCCCAGCACAGCATCCATGACGCTCCGGGGACACAGCTGCTACCTTGCGGCACCAAAAAACCAGAAAGGAACAGAGTAGGACGTCTTTCCCAGCCTGCGAGACCGGGTCAGCCATTCCTGCGGCTCCATCACCGCGTCCTGCTGCTTACTGGTGGAGGAACGTGCCAAGTCAGAAAATAAGCAGAATCTTAGCTTTATTATTAGTGGTAAACTGTGAGTCCTACTTATGTCAAAATATAACATATAAATATTACCATAAAACAACAACATAAAGCTTTTTGTCACAAGGTGTATTCTAGTCAAGTAATCTTCATCCTGGTATCTACTGTCACAGGGTTTGTAGGTGGTCACTTAATCAGAACTTTGGGTTTTGAGGGGAAATATAACATTTTTATGTACAAAATCAGCATGTTATTAAGATACGCAAATGTGCTACTCTGTAGTAGGGCCAGGCCCCCTTGACCAACTCATGAAGTCCTGCCTTTTGCAGAAGTGACATCTGGAACTTAGCACTGTGACTGCCAGTTGGGGTTTTAAGTAAACCCCAGTGTAGATACCAGACAGCAATGGATAGCACAGCTGGTGCAGTAACTGTCTTGCCCTGTGGAGGGCGCAGCATGGCTGATCACCAGCGATGAGGTCCCAGGCCGTGTCCCTGTGGCTCAGTGAGGAGAGCGCAGCTGGAGAGCAGCCTGACTTCAGAGTCCCGCTGGACCGCTATGATTGATCTCCCCCAACTTCTACCGTTGCTTAACCTGCTCTTACAGGGTGATAGGACATTATAATAGCTCCACTAGGACGCAGATGGTGACTAACACCGTGCAGGTGAATGACAGGAAAATATGGGGCAGGGAGCCGGCCTCTCCACGTCTGTCCTCTGGGACTGTCAGAAGGGAGGCAGTGTGCACAGGAACTTGTATTGAGCTTCCTTACGAATGCTGTCTTCAGTGAGCTCGTTTTCCTCTTGGTCCCCTGGTCCTAATACTTGAAACAGCTGGTCCCTGAATCCTGGTAGACTTGGATTCTAGTACGTGCTTCTCAGTTAATTGAGTGGTCTAAGGGCCAGTCGCTGTTGCCATCTGCCTGCTGCCATCTTTGTCGGACGCCCTGAAGCACGGTTCTGACAGAGTGTGTGCACTCTATTACAGTTGTGCAAGCTCCTCAGCTACCTCTGCGACTGTGAGCTCCAGCACCGAGTGGAAGCCATCGTGGCATTTGGTGACATCTACGTCTCCAAGCTGCAGGCAAATCAGAAGTTCCGCTACAACGAGCTCATGCAGGCACTCAACATGTCTGCGGCCCTCACCGCCCGGAAGACCAGGGAGTTCCGCTCGCCCCCTCAGGAGCAGGTGAGAGCCATTCCCACGCTCAAACCCACATGCGCGCGCGGCACCGAAGCCTTGGGGCCTCTCAGGCGGCCTCCGTGCCGGGGAGGATTCAGGTCCCGGCTCGGCCTGCCAGTGACACGCGAAGAATGGCTCCCCGCTATCCTGGGCGCCGTTTCCAAACGCTACATACGGCCAGGATTCCTTTACTAATGAGCTGAAAGCCAGGCTACTGTTGGAGCTCAGCCGTCGCCCCCGCTAAGATCTGCGCTCAGCCTTTCCAGAAGTGACTGCCTCTCTGGGCGATGCCCAGAGGGGTCCTGAGAGCTGAGGCGGTCTTGCGCATGCTCGACGGCAGTGGCTCACAGAGCCCCCATCCTCAAGCTGGAGGACAGCTCATTAAGTGAACTGTCTGGTATCCCATGTGCTGTCTTAGTTCTTTGCTGTCCCCACGTGGGCTTGGCCGTGCCGAGACAGATAGCTTCTTTGAGAAGATTAGGACCCCGGTGAGAAAATGATCAGGGTGGGGTGGGAGGGGGTAATATCTTGTAGAGTGGTGGCTGCCATTGATCCCCGCTACTCAGCCGCAGCCTCCTGTCCCAGCTCTTAAAGATTCAAAAGAAAAGAGAGATCTTAAAGTAGATATACAAAAGAGAGCGAGAGAAAGATCTTCTAAGTGGAGAAAAGGGTTTCTTCAGATCTTTAAATCTTAATATCTTTAATAAGCAGCCTAGATTGCAGTCACTATAACTAACACTATCTTATATTAATGGCACAACTACAATTCCAGTTATCTAATCTGTTGTCTAGAACATAGATGTTTTTATTGGCTTAAGAATGAGCCGCATGGGGCTGGGAAGGTGGCTCAGTGGTAGAGCGCTTGCCTTGCATGCCTGAGGCCCTGGGTTCCATTCCTCAGTACCCCATAAGCAAAAAGAAAAAAGCCAGAAGTGGTGCTGTGGCTCAAGCAGTAGAGCGCTCGCCTTGAGCTGAAGAGCTGAGGGACAGCGCCCAGGCCCAGAGTTCAGGCCCCACGACCAGACCCCCTCCCCAAAAAAAAGAAAGATTGAGCCACAAGACTTGGCTCTTAAAAGCTTCACTTGAATGATGCTAAATAAAAGGCAGAGTGTATCGCCCTTCTGATGGATGCAAACTGAGAAGGCTCTTGCGGTCCGTAAAGAACTGCTCTGGAAGGCTTTGCAGATTCAGAGGCTGCTTGTAGACTGGCAGTGCGTAGGGAGGTCCCTGTGTCCCTGGGCCAGGGCCATCCTGTCCTGTTTTTGTGGATAACACACGGATTACAGCAGTGGAGTTGGCTTCAGACCGCGGACCCTGATTGTGGGTGCCCGGATCTTCCTGTGTGGTTTCTGGCACAGGACCCCTTGTGCCTCAGTGTCTTTGGCTCGTGTGGGCAGGTCATCTGGGTGTGTCCTCCTACCCTGTAAGGTTCTTGTGAGGATCCAGGAGAAGGTTGTTTTAGCTCGCTCAGCATGATGCTGGTCCTCAGGTGAGTTTTCTGCAGTACTACTCCACCTGCCCTAAGTGTTGGACTTTGCATCTGCTGCATGCTTGGTTTTTTGACCTGTCAGCAGCTAGATGAGTGGACACACATCTTTCATGGCATCTCTTTGGGTCACCTCCCAGTAGTGTTCTCGTGGTCCTGGCTCCCGGGGGGTGGGAAGCTTCGAGGTCTACCCTTTTCCCTGTTCTGCCCTCGGGCCTTCTCTATACTTCCTTGCCAGTGTTCTAAACAGTCCTCTGAGAAGCGAGTGCACAAGTCTGTAACTCAGGCCTCACCCCAATGTTAATTACACCAGTGCTTCTTTATCCTTCCAGAACTTAATCCAGATGGGCTCCAACTCAGCAGGTCTAGGGGGAGGCTCAAAACTTCGTATTTTACACAGGCTTTCAGGGGATGCTAATGCTGCTGGCGTAGGGATAAAATGGAAGGAGCAGCTCTGTTCAGAAAGCTGCTGCATGCGGGGTACGTTTCAGGGCTCTCCTTATTCTTCACTGTGGTATTTTGAAAGTTTCAGGGCTCACAGTAACATATTTGATCCACTTGGTGTTGATATTAGTATAGGATAGAGATCATGATCTAATTGCAATTTTGTGTCTACGGTAATTCAGTTTCCCATGGTGAAATCCCTGTGGACTATTAAAATACACTTAGAAAATGATGACAGGTAAAAGGAGACGCTGGAGGTAGGCGGATTTGGTCAAAACACTTCATGAGCATGTGTGAACCAGTGAAGCTGGTGGAGACGGGGTAACTGACCAGAGACACCCCGCACCTGTGCATCGCTGGACATATCTGTACACGTGATTCACGTTAACGAAGAAGCCAGAAAATAAACATGAAGGAAGTCACTGTCTGCCGAGAGACCCAGCTGTCCACCTGCCATTCCCCCCAGAGAGCCCATACGATTCCCAGCATCGGGCAGCAGTGACTGTCACCAAAGGACCTGGCAGGTTTAGCTCAGCTTCAGAGGTTAGCAGCTCTGAGCAACTGGGCAAACAGCATGCATGGAATTAGAACCTTTGAAGAAAAAGTAGACGTTTACATCTCAGTATCCAGAGTCTTCCGAATGATGACAAAAATACTGAGGATTATAACTACGTGCAAAAGAAAGTCAAAACTGAGATGAGGTGCAGCCTTCTCTTGTAAAAGGCCTTTGGGAAAGTGCCCGGCTTGTAGCTGAAAATGCCGTTCCGTCGACCTCTCCATCTTTTTATTCCCTTGCCAGTACCAGGGTTGGAACTCAGGGCTTGTAGGTGCTAGGCAAGCACTCTACCACGTGAGCCACGTACCCAGGACTTTTCCAGGTAGAATTGGCCAACCATAGACTACGAGCATCGTGCCACCACCCTCGGTGTACCTGGGATTACTGCTACGCCACTTCTGCCCAGACTTCGCTTGCGTTTTGCTGCCATCTGGATGATCCAGCAGCGGGGAGCTCTTTCAGCACAGAAGTTAGGGTTTTTCTTTTTGTTTTGAAACAGGATCTGCGGATCTTATATTTATTTGATAAGGAACTTACTAGTGTATATTGTTGATATAATTACCATAGTTTAACATCCCAGAGAAACCACAAAGATGACTTTCTCAACTTGCTTAATGGATATTATTTTACTATAAGCAATGTCTCTGCCTACTTATAAAAGAAAATGCTTTGTAATAGAAGCTTTTAGAGTCTTCCACATAATCTTAAGTAAAGCTCATGGTTTAAAAACAGAAATCTTTAGCAGATGGACGACAAACCCGCTTCACTTGGTGCTGGGCTACGGCGGCTGAAGCAGTCATGTGCACAAGGTTTTCCTTGTTTGGCGGCCCCTCCAGAGGTTCCCTGACCCCAGGTTGTAGGCCTGCAGAACATGTTCCAAAGTTCAGGAACCTGGCTGGGACACAAGATAGCAGCTTAATTCCGTCTCCACAGCGTGGCTTTCCACGGTTAATAGAAGCGTCAGAGTGAATGAGGGTCTTGCTTTGTCTGCAGTCAGAACTGTGTGTGTCTTCTCTTCACCTTAGTGGTGGGGAGCTGTAGAAGCACTGGTCGGTGTCCACTGCTCTCCAGAGTCGTGGTTATGCAAGGGCCGTGGGATTTTTCACCTCAGCTAATGAAACACAATATCATGATTTCACAAATCCTTTCATAGTTTAGGTAGATTTCCATACTATTGTTTCTGTTTGTAATTCTGTATGTCTTTATTTAAAATACTAATCTGAGGCTAGGGGAATGACTTAGTTGTCATTCCCCAAAAGAATGATACATTGATTACAGAATGTAAAACCTACATGTCAAACACAAAAACAGACCCTGTGAACCAGATTTAAAGCTCCATAAAAATGATGGAGAAATCTGGAATTTACATTACAAAGAGTTAAAATCTAGAAGACTGCAAAACACTTGCCAAGTCATTTTTAAAAGGATAATTACCTGGTATGAAGAAAACGAAAGAAGAACATAAACAGAAGATCTACAAAATGTGAAATCAAATTGGGCTTTATGTTTGGAAAAACAAAGTTCAGCCTCAACAATTAAATGCAAATTAAAGCAACAGGGATATGACATTTTTCACCCATTAAATTGGAAAATGTTTAAATGTGTTGACTCTCATTACTGTAATGGAGATGGCAGAGTAATACACGTACTTGTATAAATTTGGTGCTGATGCTAATTGTAGTGAGTATTTGGAGAGCAATTTGGCAGTTCCTATGAAAAGCCACTTTAAAGTTCAAACCTGTTGCTCCTCCACTCATTTTGCTTCTCTGAGATCATCCTAGAAAAATGATGGGGTGTGTGAACAGGATTCATATCTGGGACCAGGCACAGTGTCTCACCTAGCTACTTGGAATGAAAGCTAGAGAATCATAAAAGAAAAAAGAAGTTTGTGAGACACCCCCCCCCATCTCAGCAGACAAGTCATACATAAGCTGAGTGCCAGTAGCTCAGACCTCAGAAGACTGAGGCTTGGAAGATTGAAGTTCAAAGCCAGTCCAGATAGAAAAGTTTGTGCGATACCAACTACAATTAACTAGCAAGATGTCAGACTAGAAGCCTGGGTCGGGTGGTAGTAGCATGCCACCTCCTGTGAGCAAGAAAGCTGAGAAAGATCTCAAGGCCCTGAGTTCAAGTTTGCATACTGACCCCCCAAAAAAAGAGCTAGATAGATATGGTGTCTCTGTCTTCCATCCCAGCTACTCAGAAGGTGTAGGTGGGTGGTCACAATGAGAGACTAGTGTAGACACAAAACACAAGACCTGATCCTGTTTTATCTGCATTAGTGAAAATAACTAGTAGAGAAAGGATTGAGGGCAAAACTCAAGTACCACGCTTGCCTAGTAAAGACAAAGCCCCAAGTTCTAATTCCACCACCAAAAAAGACAGAGAAAAGGAATTGCAAAGCTGCTTTGTTTATGTGGATGTAAGAAACACCCTAAATATAATTGCACACATTTTTGTCCATTTGAGGAATGAAATCAATGCATCCACTCAAAATAAGGTTAAAAGCAGGGTACCAGTGGCTTACATTTCTAAGCCTGGCTATTAGAGGCTAAGAACTGGAAGATGGCAGTTCAAAGCAGCCCAGGCAGAAAAATCTGAGAGACTCTATTTCCAATTAACCAGCAAAATGCTAGAGGCTGGACAAATGACTTAGTAATAGAGCACCAACTAAGCAAGCAAGACAAGTGAATAGCAGAGGCCCCAAGCTCAAGCCCTGTCTGTTAGTGGGAAAATAAAATGTTCAGGATAAATCAAATGGAAATTAAGGAAGTATGAGCCCAGCTTGTGTGGCGCGCAAGTCTGGAAGGTTCTGGATAGTCGCGTGGCCCTGTGTGGACGCAGAGTCTGGAGGGGATTGGATGACCACAGTAGTTACCTTTGTGTAGTAGGGTCACAGTAAACCTTCTTTAGATATTTTCTTCATTTTGTACATTTGACAAATTACTTTTAGAATCAGAGGGAAAAAAACCTGAAAGCTACTGTTATATACCAGCCACTTTTCCTCCCTCACTACAAAAAACTAAGCAAAATTTGTAAAGAAAATAGTAGCTATGAACAGTGATTGCAAAGGAGTAGGGTGGGGAAATAGTTCATTATTTAATGGGAACAGAGATCCAGGGAGGCGTAAGGAAAGATTTCCAGATGCACAGTAGAAATGATTGCATGAAATGACAATGTACTTCATGCCACTGAACTATACACTTGAGAAAGATTGTCCTTTGGTGTGTGTGCTGGTCCTGGACTTGAATTCAAGACCTGGTGCTGTCCCTGAGCTTTTGTGCTCAAGGCTAGCACTCTACCACTTTGAGCTACAACTCCATTTCTGGCTTTCTTTTTTTGTTTTTGTTTTTGGTGGGGTTTTTTTTTTGGGGGGGGGGTTGGTAGTTAATTGAAGATAAGAGTCTCACTTTCTTGCCTGGGCTGGAAACTCAGCTTTCTGAGTAGCTAAGGTGACAGACATGAGTTACCCGTGCCATCTGAGAATGATTGCCTTGTAAAATTGTATCACAAAGCCAGGTGCCAGTGGCTCACACCTGTCACCCTAGCTACTCAGGAGGCTGAGATCTGAGGGCAGGAAATCACCTTGAGACTTTTTTTTATTGTTGTGAAAATACCATACAGAGGGCTTACAATTCCATGGGCAAGATAATGAGTACATTTCTTATTTCTTATTGTCGCCTCCTCCTTTGTTTCCCCTTCCCATCCCTTCCCATTCCCCACCCCCCACACACACACTCTTATCTCTAATTAACTGCTCCAAAGTCAGAAGTGGCGCTGTGGCTCAAGTGGTAGAGCACTAGCTTTGAGCACAGAGAGGCTCAGGGACAGCACCAGGTCTTGAATTCAAGCCCAGGCCCTGAGTTCAAGCTCTGCAATGGACTAAAAAAAAAAATCACAATTTTAAAAGTCTCTTTCATGATAAAACGAATTTTTTTAGAAATCTATTTATTCTCAGGAAGCCCTAAATAAAGTAGGTCTATTTTTCTCTGTGTTAAACATATATTTTGCTTTAAGATAAAGAAGGAACCTATCAAATGTCTAAGAAGGATCTGAATTTCCTCACTGACATAGAGAACTAAAGAGTCATTTCTTTCTTTTTTTCATCCTTTATTTCTTCTAGAGGTAAACTAAGATTTTTATCTTTCTCACCCATAAGATTTTAAGCTCTTAAAAATGCACCATCCTCTTCTCAAAGCATTTGAGTTGCTTCTTTTCTACCGCACAGGTCAACATGCTTCTCAACTTCCAGCTGGGGGAGAATTGCCCCTGCCCAGAGGACATCCGTGAGGAGCTGTATGACTTCCACGGGGACCTGCTCCTGCACTGTGGTGAGCTGCGGGCTGGGCAGGGGCCGCGGGCGGGCAGGGGCCACGTCCACGGGGACCTGCTCCTGCACTGTGGTGAGCTGCGGGTGGGCACGGGCCATGAGCGGCCACGGGCCACGGGCGGCCACGGGCCATGGGCAAGGCCCTCCACACCAAAATCACACAGAAAGTGGGCCTGGTGGGATGTAGGTGACTGAGGATCCTTCTGCCTGGAAGAGGCCTTGTGAGGAGACGGAGCAAGAGCAGGGGTCTCCACAGAGAGAAGGGAAATGATTCTCATATTCACTCACTCCGCTTTCCTGCAGCGGGGGCTCTGCTCCCAGGATGGAGGATGCTCTGCTTTTCAGTATCCATGTACATGGGAGGGTTAGTAATATTTTCCTGTAAGGATTCTAAGCGAGCAATCCCACCTGAATACAATCTCACAGCATCGTGATGCTGGTACATGAGAGGGTAGAGTCGGATATGAAAAAAAGACAAACTTGAATGCTGTGGTGCTTCTTCTGCTGGGGTATATAGTACTCCAAAATCACTCTGTTAAGGTGCTGACATTGTGGATTTCTTCTAACCATTATCCGTGGCTCTGCTGTTTGGGGGTTGGTTTTTTTTTAAATGTCTGTTTGAGAAAAGAAAAGTATTTCTTTCTGAAGACTTGAGAGTCCTTTTCAAGTATGTTAGGAAAAGTTAAAGCCCTAAGGTAAATATGTCTGATACACAGGAAATTTCTATTTAAAAACCTTTCCTGCTGGGCACTGATGGCTCACACCTGTAATCCTAGCTACTCAGGAGGCTGAGATCTGAGGATCACAGTTCAAAACCAGCCCTGGCAGGAAAGTCTGTGAGACTCTTATCTCCAATGAACCACCAGAAAACTGGAAGTGGTGCTATGGCTCAAGTGGTAGAGCGCTTGCCTGGAGCTGAAAAGCTCAGGGACAGCGCCCAGGACCTGAGTTCAAACCCCACAACGGACAACAAAAAACACAAAACCGGCATCATACCATCTCCTTAGGAAGCTCCAGAAGGCGCATTCGTATGCTCGTTCTTCTGCTTGGGGTTTTGTGTGGTATCCGGGTCTTCTCTCTGTCCTGCGGCTTGCTAGGTGTTCCCTTGGAGGAGGAGGAGGAGGAGGAGGAGGACAGCTCCTGGCCAGGAAGACTGCGTGCCTTGGTGTACAAAATCAAAGGCCCGCCCAGGCCTGAGAAGATGAAGCGGGCAGAGGAGGAGGAGCGACACCCCGGTAAGCCGCGAGCCCCCGCACCTGCCCCTTCCAGCCTCAATGGAGGCACCTGGCTCTCTACCACACACCAGCCAGTGCGTGTCAGTGCACCAGAGCGGCACAGGAGCTGTGCGCGGCGTTATCCCCGCTGCTGCTGCTGCTGCTGGAGAGCTGCCCGCTTCCTCCAGCTGAAGGAGCTGGCCTTCAGGCTCCTGAACTCTGTGGTTTCAATGGCTTGGTGTCTGTCTACCTGGAAGTCCTGCATTTTCCCTCGTTGCCTTCTTTTACCTGTTGTCATTTTCTATCTCTTTTATTTGGGGTTTGTTAATACAGAAAACTGACCTGCTGAAGAAATAAAATGATAGTAAAAGGGGCTTATAAAACATGGGTGTTTGGGGTTTTGAATTCTCATACTGGTAGCTCAGCACTGTAGAGGACTGTTCCTTGCTAATTTTCAATACAGAGACCTTATTTCTATCTTTACCTTGTGGATAATGCCTACTATTTGATCCAAGTTGAAACAAGATCATATTTTTTCCTACAGGGAAGTTGGCTAAACTATTAGCATTTCAAGAGGAAGATTGTCTGACTGTTAAACATAATCGATCTTCTCCTTGCTAGACTTAGCAAATGTATCATTTATAGAAAGAAGGGATTTCCCAAGTTTAATACAGCTACTTCTTATCTTCTCCTGTGTTCCTAATCATCTTGGAACACAAAGTGCAAACTAGAGCAATAGATTGTCAACACATGATAAGTTCATCTGAAAACACCACTTTGGGGGCTCATACATCTTATTATCCATTGCACTGACCTTTTGTCTTTGTCAGACTGTCTCTGGAGGGAACGCATCCTCTCCATTTGTCAGTGGGAGTTTTAAAACACTGGGGCAATGCATGGCATTTCCTGGCCAATCCATCAGTTACCATGGAAAGGGGGCATCTAGGAGAATGGAGCCTTTGTTTGGGGAAGGAGGAGGGAGGAAATGGAAGGAGGGGAGGGGCTGTGGAAGAGGGGCTCTGAGCCAAGGAAAGTGGGCTGCCTCTAGAAAGTAGGAAGGTCAGGGACGGAGAGGATTCCCTCTGAGAGCTTCTGAGAAGACTCTATTCCGCCACTTCTTGACTCTTGTCCAGGCGTGGGTCAGACTTCTGGTTTACAGAACTATAAGAAAACTGCATTTTTTCAAGTTCCTAAATGCATGGTAACTTGTCATGATATCAGTAGAAAATTAATACAGACCGCAGCAACAAAAAGTGGATTCTCGGCGCAGGCAAGGTGATGGTTGGAAACGTAAGAAGGAGGCCGAGGTTAAGCAAATCCGGTGGATTCTGGAGCCCGGTCAGTTTCCTGTGCAGGCATGGAGACCGGGGCAGCGGAGATCAAGCCTTATGTACACCTAGTTCCGAACAGGTCGCACACAGATCTTCTGTGCGTGCTCCTCTCCTTTCCCTCGACGGCGCCGCCTGGCGGACAGAAGGCCATCAGTCCGAGCACCAGGTGAGAGGCGTGCCGGCTCTGGAATGACAGTCGCGGTCTCGGCTCTGAGTCTGGCTCCCGTCACTGGCGTGTAGCACGCACCTTGCAGTCTGTTCCGGAAACGCAGGGCCTGCCTTTTGGTGGACTCTGCTTAGAGTTCGATGGTACTCGGGAGACAGAAACCGTTGCTGTTGTTGAGGCTTGCCGTATGCCAGGCATTCTGCTAGACGCCTTCCATCCGCACAGCTAGCCGCCAGTACCGTCACCGCCAGGTCAGGGTGACTGAACTAGAGAAGCAAGATAATTGGGAAAGTTCATGCAGCAAGTCAGAAATGGGCTGAGATCTGAGCCATTTTCCTATCTGCCACCCGTAACCCTTCGGGGCTGCCTGTGTCCAGGGCAGGGGGTGGGCCGGAGAGGCAGCACGGATACAGTCTGAGTATCCACCATCCTGGTTAGATAAACACAGAAACCAGACCGAACGCCTCTGATGATTTCTCCAGGAGAGTAAACACTGAGGTCGTAGGGCCCCACGTCCGCTGTGATTCCACCTTCATTTTGAAAGTCTCTGTCCTAACACATGAGCAAAAGTCCTCTGCCTCTCTGTGTTCCCCATCATCATCATCAGTCATTAATCTCGATGTTTGGAGACGGTGATTATGAGGCTGGTTGACTGATTTCCGAAGCAACAGGCCAGTTATCTCACTGTGATGGAGGAGACCCCAGGGAGCCAGGGAGCCGGACGGGCAGCATCTGGCTGTGGACACGGGAGCAAAGTTTCTCTGGTGGCTGGGGGTGAGCGGGCGTCCAGCCGGCCTGGGAACCGGCCTGGGCTGAAGCACCTGCTTCTGCAGTCTGCCCTGACACATGGCCAGCAGGACTTGGGTCGTTTCCGGGAGCCCACAGGCTGCTGGAAACAGAAGACTTCATATCCTGGCCTCTGCTTCTATGCAGCTCACCCCGTGAGCCCCCCAACCACCTGTTCACAAGAACCCTGTTCACCAAGTTTCAGTGTTAGCCGGGCACCGGTGGCTCACGCCTGTCATCCTAGCTACTCTGAAGATCTCTGTTCAAAGCCAGCCTGGGCAGGAAAGTCTGTGAGACTCTTAGCTCCAATAAACCACTCAGAAAACCAGAAGTGGTGCTGTGGCTCAAGTGGTAGAGCACCAGCTTTGAGCTGAAGAGCTGAGGGACAGCGCCCAGGCCCAGAGTTCAAGGCCCATGACCAACATAAACAACAAGAAAAGATTAGTGTTTCTTTGCCCAAACAAAGAATTAGGCTATGAAGGGTCACCATCATTGATGAAATGCTGTCCCCTATTCTTGCATGATGGCTGTGAGGGTGACCTATTAGGTTGGCGCAGTCTGACAGCGTGTGAGGGTCGAATGCCAGGTCTAGCAGCCTGACAGCGCATGAGGGTCGAATGCCAGGTCCAGCAGCCTGACAGAGTCTGGCACGTTGGCTGCCAATGAGGAAGCGCGCAGTGTGGATGCCGGCCAGGAGTTTGAACCTTGGCTCTGTTCTACAGCGCGAGGAGCCTGTGTAGGAGTAAAGGAGTAGTCAGGTCCAGAAAGTGAATCCCAAGTGTGCTCTGCTCGGTGCCTGTGCGCCCCGGCTGGGGCTGCTTCCTGGCTGGGACACGCTCAGGAGCCTGCTCCCTCCCGTCCTGGGGAGCAGCTCCAGGGGTCTTTGGGCTTTTTTTCATTTCAGGCGCCTTTGACCTTCTAGTACCCCCTGAGGAGAGACAGTGGTCCCAATCGCAGAGCCAGACCCAGAGGGGGCGGGAAATAGAGAAATTAGCACGAGGATTCTCCCAGGTCTCGTTGGAGTCAATCTACTTAACTTTCTCCCTGACCTCCTTTGCTAATAAGTAGCAGCAATTTGGCGGGGAGATGCGTTTGGCCTCGGGCGCTCCGGGGCACTGGCCCCGAGGGTGTGAGGCCTTCCCCGTAGATCTTCCCAGCAGGGTCAGAGTGTGTCCCCGCATGGTGTGACCCCTGAGTCAAGAAGCCTCCAGCGGCCACCACAGCTGACCCCGGGGCCACCCAGGCCCTTGCTCGTCTCCGCGTGATTACTGGTGTGCGCTGATGCCGTGATCGGGCCGTTCACCCCTCGGTCAGGAGCCCTGAAGCCCCCAGCATTCGTGTCTCCCATGTCGGGTTTTGCTCTTCGGAAGAGCAAGCTGCGTAATGTTGAGAGGAGGCAGTAGAACGTGGAGGTAGCAGCGCGCTTGACACTGGTCCAGTAACACTAGTGAAGCCACGGGCTTCTTTGATGCATTAATACATTGGAGTTCAGGGTTCAGGTATATAACCTTGGACTATGAAGCTCAACTTGACTTTGTAGAAACTTACAGAAACAGACGCACTGCTGTAAGAACCTACGAGCAAAGTCCCTTCTTCCTCTCCTCCTGCTCTTGCTACTATGTCATGCTTATTTTAATTTTCATCAAGGGAAACTTTATAGGGTAATTTTATTTTATTGGTAAAGAAATTGGGGCTCTGGTGAGTGAGTAGCCTGACTAGCTGCGTGTCAAAAAATCAAAATAAAAGGAACTAAAGCTTTGTGGTTCTCAGGATTTTGTTTTTCTGAATCTCTTCCAGAATTTTATTAAGGAAGTGTCTAGACGGAATGCACCATATAAATTTAAAGCATTAATAGAGGCAACTACTTGTGGGTTTTATGTAGGCGAGCATCTCTGAAGTGATACAGTGGAAGAAATTAGATTCTGCAGCATTGTCCTGAATCCTAGCTCTGCCGATGCTAAAGGCGATGCTAAGAACTTCCTTAACCTCTGTGTGGTTCAGGTTCCCTGTAAATAAAGGGAGAATAATAGTAACTCCTAAGAACATACAAACTCCGTGAAACAGTGTTCAGCTTAGTGTTCCGGTACCTGGAAGTTCCACTTCTGAGATCACACGGAGCCTCGTAGATGCATTCCTATAGGTTTAGAGGTCGAACAGCATGGGATGGGCTCATCCGGCAGCTCTGCTTGCTTGTCCTCCCTCCCTCTCCCTCTCTCCCTCTCTGCCTCTCTCCCTCTCTCTCCCTCCCTCTCCCTCCCTCTCCCTCCCTCTCCCTCCCTCTTCCTCTTCCTCTCCCCCTCCCTCTCCCCTTCCCTCTTTCTCCTCTCCCTCCCCCACCTCTCACTTTCTCTCCCCCTCTCTCTACAGATGTTTTGTTCTACCTCTTGTTGTGGGGTGAAATCATCCCAGAAGCCACAGTTTGAAATATAGAGTATTGGAGTCTTTATTATACAGTTAGCAGGCTGCAGGCCGCCCGTTGTTACAAAGGCCTGCGGCACGCAAATACACAGGACACAGCTAGGAAACATGCTAACGAGGAAAGAAACAACACAAACAATACCAACAAGCCAGTTCAGCTCCAGTGGAGAGCTGAATTAGGACGCCATGATGACTGGAGACGAGCCAGGAGCCAGGACACAGGACACAATCGCGGAGACACACCTGGCGTGGTCTGCCACGCGGCTAGGCTGGTCCAGCTTGAATAGGTGCGCACAGGGGCAGATCCGCAGGAAATTCCC